TTTTTTGCCCCACCGCGGGGCCCATGGGGCCCCCCGCGGTATTCCCCCACACGGGGGCCGCCGACTTCTTGGCGCCGGTGGGGGTTAACCCCCTTGGTTACTTCGGCCCCCCCCCCCCCCCCCCCCGCGCCTCTGCTGCCCCCGGGATCGCCAGGTTGCGAGGTCCTGTCCCCAGCGCCACTGACACAACCGGCAACAGTGTCTTCCTGGCCGCGAAACACGCCGCACCGGCGATGCAGAGGACGTCGCCGGGCAAGGACAAGGCCTCGGGGAGCATCATCATGACGGCCTCCGTCGCGGGCCTGCGGTCCAACGCCGGGAGCACTCCCTACTCGGCGTCGAAGGCGGCCGTCGTGTCGATGGCGCAGACCACGGCCTACCAGCTGGCGGGGACGGGCGTCCGCGTCAACGCCATCTGCCCCGGCCTGATCGAGACGGGCATGACCTCCGTGGTGTTCCAGACCGCCCGTGCCCGGGGCACCGAGGGCAGGATCGGCCAGCTGAACCCGCTCAAGAGGGGTGGCCATGCCGACGAGATAGCGCGGGTGGCCTTGTTCTTGGGTAGTGACGAGAGCAGCTATGTCAACGGTCAAGCCTGGGCGATTGATGGCGGGCTGAGCGCCGGCCATCCCTACGTGCCCGGGAAGCTGGGCTGATGATACATGCTGTAAGTCGGAGGGATTCTTGGCCTTGGATACGCTCTAGCACGATGGTGAAATAAACTGGATGTCACTGTCGTGCAATCCAATATTGATCTCTATACATACGTGACTTCTCGGATCGAGGTGCAGTTAATGACAAGGAGATAGATGGCTTTTGGGCAACCCGAATGATGGCGCAGATATTGGTTGGTCATCTGAGAAGGAGCAGGACAGTCAATCTGAGCAAAATTGGGCCAACTCGATGGTATTTCCATAGCTATCCAGTAGCCCTATCTCCTATTCTGCTCGCAGTGGAGGTCGCAAAATGTTGCCGTCTCCCCCTTTGAGTTCGCCGCCTCAAAAATGATTAGCTTGCAAGAGATATCTCTCCCATGCTTTTCGAATCATAGCTTCAACTCCAGTTGTCGGACCAAAGCAACCCTCCAAAGGCCATTGCGCGTTATCGTGGGAAAAGCACGCACCAATCCATAAGTAATGATACAACAAGGTATGCAGAGCAACTGCTAGAGCACCGGGTGACCCAGTCGCTAGGTTTATTGGGCGACTGTCTGGGCGGCGTCCCGGTTCCGGTAGCCACCGCCACGACCACCGCGCCCAAACCCACGCCCGCGGCCTCCCCTTCCGCGGTTCCTGCCACGATATCCGCCGCGATAGCCGCCATCGACGCTTCCCTGGCCGAAAGTCTCCATGTTCTTGCGCTGTTCCTCCCCGCGCCACTCCCGGCCGCCCGGTTTCTGTCCGTGATTGTCGGCGCGGTCTTTAGCTTCGCTGGAAATGTTGTCGAAGAACGACGTCGACTTGTTATATGCAGAAGCAGGATTCGCCGGGTCAGACATTGCTGCTGCGGCCGAAGCGCTGTCATTCGATGTTTCTGTAAGCGGGGAGCCAGCAACTGCCTCATTCACCAGATCTTGCTTGATAAATTTGGCGTTCGAGGACGCGAAGTCGAAATCCGCTTCGGGGACCTCGACTTTGGCCGGCCGGGGTCCACGCCCACGCCCACCTCGGGGGGCTGTCCCTGTCCGCGCAGCATTCACCCGCATCTCGTTGACTTTCTTGGTGAGATTGTCCATAGCATTGCCACTCGCTTGTTGGCCGCCGGCGGGTACTTCGAACTTGGCCATGGCAACGGCAACGGCAGCCTTTGCGGCCTGGGTAGCATCCCGCAGCGCAGCTGCGGTTGCTGCGGCGGAGTTTTGGTCATTCGACGCTTTAGCTTTGCCCGCCTGGGCTGGCTGTGATGGCCTGGCAGTGAGAGCCATAGGTAAAGGCACAGCGGGCAGGATTTGGGTAGGCCGTGAACCCTTAGGGCCGGTGGGAACTGATTTGTGTGTTTCAGGCGCTGTTGCCGACGGCCCACTTGAGAGGGATGCTGCCGTCGCCTTAACTTCTTCTGTGGTCGGCTTTGAGTCAACTGGCGGTGGCGGCGCATTTGCTGGAGCTGGCTGCGCTGGTGCTTGATGGAATGATCTCGACTCGGAGGGGAGACCGGATTGCTGAGCAGGTGTAGCAGGCTTCTTCTCCGCAGTAGAAGTAGCACCGATTGGGATTGGCCGTGTGTCTGGGGCTTGGTTATTATGGACTTGGCGGTTGTTAAGTCCAGGAGCACCCGGAGGGCCAGCTGGAGGGCCAGTGGGAGGGCCTCCCGGACCGGGAAACTGGTAATTGTTCCACGGTGCCGGGCCTGGAGGTGGGAACCCCTGACCTGGCGGGAACCAACCTGCTGGAGGAGGATACTGCATGCCGCCGAAGGGGCCAGGTCCAGGACCTGGGCCCGGACCACCACCCCGACCCCAGCCCCCCATTTGTGGGGGGTAGTACCCAAAACCAGGACCACCAGGTGGGGCTTGGTGATTCGCATGGGGAGGAGGAGGAACATTTCCAGGACGAGCTCGGGCCTAGGCAAGCTGGTTAGCGATCTTAGAAGAGTAAGAGTCGGCTATCGTTTGCGAGAGGAAGGGTTATCGGATCAGAAGGAAGGCAACGGAGATATCAACATGGGGTTTGCGCTTCAGACAAGGTATGTTTACATCCGGAATGATTCATCATGATATCCAGGCTTGCAGAGCGAGTGGGCATTGGGGGTAGACTTACACCGACGATAGCAGGATCGTTAGGCACCGCCGGGGGCTTGTTCTCCTTGACGGTGCTTGGTCCTTCTTCGATCCTTAGGTCCTTCACATCGGTACCACGGAAAACGATGTATTCGTAAATCTGATCATTTGGCGGTACTTCCTCTTCGTCGGTATTGGCTTTCCGGCCTTCGGTGCCAAACGACTTCACATTTTCAAGCGAAACCGTAGACTCTGTCGAGTTGATCTCGTGTAGGATTCCGACATATCTAGTCATTGTCAGTATATTGCATATATTGCAACCCAACCTCGCTCCGAGAAGAGACAAACCGAATGTCGCTTCGAGAGATGAGAGAAATCCGAGACCTGTCCATGAAAATAGTCAGCAATTGGAAGGACCTTCGAGGTGATCTTGAGCTGCTTAGCCTAACCCCAGAAATTCAGACATGGCTGGAGAAGGGATGTTTTGGGAGCTCAAAAGCCCAGAATAACTTGGGTCAAGAACCGATTCAAACCCAAAAAAGAGGGCTCAGGTGCCGATGGAACTTAAGTTGAGATGCAGAGTGAATGAATTCGGAGGGTAGAGGGGAAGAAAGCTGCCTGCCAGGTAATACGGCTGTTGGATGGGCAGGTGAAAAGTTCAGAGAATGAGGAGGCTGAACGACGGGCAAATTTGTGGGCCTCAGGCATAAGCGAGAGGCTTGAGTTCAGCCTCACCAAGAGCACAGCCACACTTTGAATGCTGAATGTGGCGACCAAGGCTGTGACTGATATGGATCTGCTGCTAAGATTGGAGATTGGATGTGAAATCTTTGACTTATCTGATGTATGAATGGGAATGAAGGGAACTGCGAAAAGAGAATAATATGCAAGGCAGGAGGACATTGGAGGCTGTTGCTTAGGTAGATAGGTAGGTACCTACCTAATGGAGGGGTAGCCTTTTAAACGTGCATGATCCAACCACTCACAATTAACCATACCTCAGCGATAAAAAAGTTGGTGGTCTATCCTGCCAAACCCAACGACAAAGAAAGGGACGGGAGTAAATATGGCTGGTTGGTACCCTGAAGCAATCTATTCTCTACAGCACAAACAAATATTTTACAACCTCCGGGACCAGATATCTGTACATCCTCTTAGATACCTGAGTGATTTCGTCCTACCTCCTAGGTTGTTAAGCCCCACCTTTCCACCATACATTTTGGACCTTATTTCAACTTCCTCGAGTACCAGGGCGTGCGATCTTTAGATAACCTAGAAGATCGGCCTTCCACCTTGCAACGAGTATCGCGACACTGAGATACTGTCAGTCAGAATGTCTACTCGGCAGCTACGCAAACTCCGAAAACAGCAGGAGCTCCAGACCCTACAGGGGGCGAGTCACGATGACAAGGTCAGCAGCGATGACGATCACGACAAACCAGTGCGTGTCAAGCCAAGCGCCAATGTCTTCTCCGCATTTGCCGCCCTCGGAGGAGGAGGAGAAGATGAAGAAGATGAACAAGAAGAAGGCAGTCATGATCAGACCCAGGGGGAAGCGCATGCTGAGAAGTTAGAGGAGCCAAGGGTCGAGACACCAACCTCCGGAAAAAAGAGCAAAAGGTCGAAGAAAAAGAATCGGAAGAAGACCCAAATCCCAACAGAGACCGAGCCACTGAGTCAAGCCGAGGGCGACATCGACGAGATAGATCGGGCCATCCAAGAGCTCAGCCTAGAGCGGTCAAGCCAGCCCCAACCAGCCGATGAACACAATGCCGCCCTCGTCGAGTCTTCTCAACGGCTCTCTGCGCTTCTGAGGATCAATTTCCAACACTTGAAGGTCATAAACGAGATGCGTCGGGTATTCGGAAAAGAGGCAATAGAGGCAGCGCAAGCTGAAGAGGAGTCTGAGGCGAATACACGTCGAAGTCAACGGGCTCGACAGGGGCAACAGCAGGTGGACCTCGAAACCTTCTTGAGAGGCATCCCGGGCAAGGGCATATCCGAAGTGCTTCTGCGGAGGAATCCTTTCATAGATGGACGGAGCCACTGGCCGCGCGCCTCGGCCGGGGGGCTGACCATGACTACGACAGGGAATCCCAACGGTGACTGCGTAGAGTTTTCCTTCTCGCACGACAGCGCCTACGATATCTTAGAAGCCAAGTTCTTCGGCCTCGTCCAGATGTACGACCCCATGCAGCTTGTCTACTTCCTCAATCAGAACCCATACCATATCTCTACCCTCATCCAAGTCAGCAAGGTCGCCAAGCAAGACCAGAACTCGGCCTTGTCCGCCGAGCTCTGCGAACGGGCTCTTTTCAGCCTGGGCAGGGTAACTTTGTCCCCGTTTCGGAAGAAGCTGGAGCAAGGGAAGGCGAGGATGGACTTCCATCGCCCGGAGAACAGGCAGTTCTGGCTGGCAGGGCATAACTACATCAAAACCCTGGTTATGAAAGGAACCTATCGAACTGCCCTGGAGTGGACGAAGCTTTTCTTGGGTATTTCTCCGGATGACCCGTATGGGATGATCAATTGGATCCACGTCTTGGCGATCAGGACTCACGAGGCTCAATGGTTCATCGACCTGTGCGATACCGAGCTTCTGGGCGAGAAGGAGAATCAGATCCAGACAGGGGTTTATATCAAACAAACACTAGTTCTGGCAAAGCTGCAACGAGGCGACACGTCCGGCGCCGAGGCCGCTCTTATCCAAGGGATGGAACAGCTTCCATGGCTATACGAGGCTCTCTTTAGCGCATTGAACCTAGACACGCCGCCGTCTGTATGGGGAGTCCAGCCCCGGGGAGCCGACGAGACACTGCACACACAGTTATACATCCACATGGCGAAAGATCTGTGGAATAACGCGCAGGCGACGGCCTTGCTCTTCAAGGCAGGAGGCGCTGCTCGAAAGGTTGATGCCAGCGCCCTCCCGCCCGCGCCGCTCGTGACGCTGGAGACCGCCCGGTTCATCTACCTCGACAATACGCCGGCATTGATGGCCCTAGTGCCGCATGGCTTACTGCATGCGACTCCGAATTTCGACTTCGATCCACTGCCCCCGCCGAAGGAGGAAAACATCTTCTCCTCTCGTAGCCAAGAGCTGCCGTGGATTTCCACCGCCCAAGGCGGTGGCTTCGCTACTAGATTCGGCCTGATGGATATGGAGCCAATGCCCGGACAAATACCGGATGATCAACTGCGGGAATTGGAGCAGGTTGTGAACGACGAGAACGTGCCTGAGGACGCGCGAGGTGTGCTGCGCAGATTACTCGACTTGTTCGTGCCTTCTGGAGCGGAAGCTGCCAATAATGAGAGCGATTCGGACGACCCAACCCCCAGATTACCAGGGGCTTGGGACTTTGACGACGTGGACCTGTGGGGCTTAGAGGAGGATTTTGAGGGAGAGGACGACTTTGGCGACATGCCAGAGCTGGAAGGGGAGGAGGATGACTTTGGCGACACGGCGGACGACGATGGTATACACCGACAGGCGTCTCCCCAGGGGCGAGGCCAGGATTGATGGGGGATGGTGGCGATCTACCTTCTCTTCAGCCAATGGCGTGGAAGTATAGATGTCGGCAAGTGCGGCGTGCCTGCAGCTGCATGGTGACGGACAGGAGATCTCAGGGTCGGCCAATGAAGTCTGAGGCAGGGGGTGCTCCCAGGTCTGAAGTCGAGTTCGCCGCTTCCTCGGAGGATACTAGAATTGTATCCTAGACAAAACCTGGCAAAGAGGGATGTTTCAGTGTCTGAGGGCCACCTCCATCAGAGCAGGTTTCAGATACTTGCTCATCGAGCACTGTTTGCTGCTGTTTTACTTTTCGGGTTTGACTGTTTGGGATGTGAGGGTACCTATTTCTAGGCCTAAGTAGGTAAGGCCAGCTAGGTACCACGGGGGTAGTGTGTAGGTGTGTTCCAATGCGGGTACCTGCCGCCAGCTGTCGTAAGACAGCTTGCATATTAGAAATCCGTCTTGTCTTCAAAATGCCCCTCTTGCTGACCGAACAAGTAGTCGCCACAGGTTCGCCTGATGATAGATAGGTGTCCCATTACTCATTAACCTGGAGGCTACGAAGGTATATAATAACCTCGAGACTCGTCCTAATTTCTCGGAACACTTTGTTCTTAGAAGCAAACCTTCCCCACAGAAAGATACCTTCCCGCGCTTGCTACTTGCTTCCCAAGCTCTCCAACAACCCCGCCTCGGCGCATTCGGTTCCCAGTGACTTTCCCAGTGACTTAATAATCAATCAAGCATCATCCTCACTGGCAGCACCAGCACCAAACAACCACTTCGCGACACACAAACTTACTGCAAAATGGCCGAAGTCGATCATACCTACAAGTTCAACGTCAGCATGAGCTGCGGCGGCTGCTCCGGCGCCGTGGACAGAGTCTTGAAGAAGCTCGAAGGTGAGACACAGATCTCTTCCACGCTGCGTACGGGCCTCGAAAACTACAAAAGCTGACACCAGCCCCTCTCCGTTTTTGCAGGCGTCAAGAGCTACGAAGTCTCGCTTGAGACCCAGACCGCCACCGTCGTCGCCGCACCCGACCTTCCGTACGAGAAGGTGCTGAAGACCATCGCGAAGACGGGCAAGAAGGTCAACACGGGCGAGGCCGACGGTGTTGCGCAGAGCGTCGAGGTCAAGGCAGAGGCATGATGATGCCCGTATTGTCTCTTAGTTGTGTGCGTCAGGAGTTGGGGGGGTTGATCGCGTGCATGGTGGTGTTTTGCGCTGCAGGCCGAAAGACAGAGCAATAGACTTTGCTGCCGTAACAATCACCGCCCAGGTGTGGTTTGGTGTGGCATGGACTGCGTGCTGGTGCTGCCGCGGTCCAACTCCCTGTGGTGTTGCCAATGCGCTCTCGGCCGAGTTCGGCCCTCATGTTGCATCTCGGATGCGCTCCTTCCATCGCTTGTCGAGTTCGTACTATGGTATGCTCGGCATGTGAATCCGATACGTCACCCACTCGCTGCTCGACAGCGCTTGGTTGCAGGATATGCCACCTTGATCCGATAATAGAGTATATTATTACTGTGTATGGTGCCGACACCCGTCAACGAGGGTAGACGAAAGGATACGGGGCAGGACTTCTTGGCAGCGGGTAACGAGCATACACTTTATCCTAACCCCCAGTTTGCGAGTCGAGGTTGGGGCATCCGGCTAAGCTAGCATGAGCTTCCTAGACGGCCTCGTAATCATTTCATGAGTTGTGAGTCCTCTGATGTTGCGACAATGGTGGTGAGACAAGCCCGCATTCATTGACTACCTACGGTCTATATCCAAAGCGTATTGGAAAAGTTGTTTTAATCAAACTGGGTTGGACCATGATTACATCTCAGAATGTCGGCTCCGAGCCTCCTTCAACATCCCGTCTTTGCCAAGGGACCTAATTACCTGGTCTCCTGACGGCAACCCCAACGGGTGTTATGAAGTGACAACAACCATTTGAAGCTTGTGGAGATACATTGAACGGATTCGAGGTACGTAGATTGATTCCATCACCTTCGACAGGCGATAACCTCCTCCAGGCCACCCGTCCAAGGTCTTCCGGGATTCACCAGGTATGTCGCAGCCATAATTCCCACGGTCCGGGCTTCGTAGCGAGGGCCATGTTGTTGATACCAATGCCCAATATTGCCGGCGGCTGCGCGGAAGCGACTTGGGCGTGGATACTTTATCCAGTGCACTGCAACCGGTTACTGATGCTTTCCGTCCCCCACACTTCACACTCAAATGGTGGGCAATCCTGGTATACAGGAGAGACAAGACGGCACAGATCTCAAAGCGAACCAAATCTGGGGTCGGTTGGCGAAGACCATTCCCAATACTGTTGTCACGAGGCTCGCTCATATATAACCAGTGAAAGTATTGGCCCAGCCATACCGCGCCTTGCGCTGTATGTACTAGGTCTCAGGGTCTGTGAGTGTTCCTAGAAGTTCGTGGAAGGGCGATAGATGAAAAACACTCTATTGCGCTCGTTCTGCGCACTTTACTTGCGCAGACGAGCTGGCTGGTGATGACACCATGCAGGCCGTTGGCTTGGGGGAAAGGGGAAAGGCCGATGGCAGAGAGTAACTGGGGAGCCCTGCCATACTTATAGGCGTGTGCCCCGTTCCTTGGCCGCCATTCGATATATTCGGAAGCATTCAGTGTCTAGGTCTGAGACTGAGAAAACACACAAGTATGGCACCGCTTTCGCCGCTACCTGCCGCCCTTTTCGGCGTGATCCTTTCTGCCGTCCAGGTCGGAGCCCATGGCATTGCTACAGCCATGGTAGTGTTTCCCACTGGGACTTTGTAGGTTAGCTCAGCTCATACGAGCTTGCCGAACTCTTAACGCTGACCGAGGAACTCCAGCTTCCAAGGATATAACCCGAGCTATCAGTACGAAAACCCACCCCCGACTGTAGTTGGGTGGTCGATCCCGCAAGATCTCCAGTATGCTGCCGGTAACCGAGAAATGCGAGTTGCCCGGGCTGACCATCTGTCTAGGAACGCTTTTATTAGTCCGAGCGCATACGCCACTCCAGATATCGTATGCCACCTTGGCGCGACTCCGGCAGGCGCCGAGGCGCCAGTAACCGCGGGGGACATCATCGAGATCCAGTGGACGCCGTGGCCGGATTCGCACAAGGGGCCGGTTCTAGACTATCTAGCCAACTGCAACGGACCATGTGTGAGTTATTAAGGCGGTCGGAAATGTAGCTGTGGGGAGGGGAGGGGATGCTAACTATCATCCATCTCAGACGAATGTTGATAAGACCAAACTGAAATTCTTCAAGATCGATGAGGTCGGCCTCGTGGACCAAGCCACCGACGTCTGGGGCGCAACCCAGTTGACGAACAATAACAACAGCTGGCTGGTCAGGATCCCCACGGACATCGCCCCAGGAAACTACGTCTTGCGGCACGAGATAATCGCCCTCCACGCCTCCGGACAGCCCAACGGAGCACAGAACTACCCCTCCTGCTTCAGCTTAGCCATCTCGAGCGAAGGCACCGAGAACCCCGACGGCATCCTCGCGACGGAGATGTACAAGGCGGACGATCCTGGTATCCTCTTCGATCTGTTCGGGAAGCGAGACGGATACACAATCCCCGGGGTAAGATTTCTCGCCCACGAAACACCCAAGTCTTCCCAACCCCCTACCTCCTTTCTCTCTACTTTACATAGCCTAAGCTGACCTGCGATTGCTAGCCACCGTTGTACTCGGGCGCCCTGTCCGTGGAGCAGACTAAGGGCGGCGCCATCAAGGCCACGGCGTTGGGCATCCCGAGCCTGGTTCTTGCGGCCACGGCGCCGGCGAGGGCCAAGGTGCGAGTCCCCGATGCGGCGCCGACGTTGTTAAAAATGCCCAGGAGGACCGAAGCCCCAAGGGTATAGGGGGGAGACCGAGGCGGGCGGCGAACTGGGAGCAATCATCCCCTGAAGGGCGTCTTGGACGTTCCTGAGATTATGAGGAGCGGACTACGTCTGGGTAATGGTGGAACCATGGAGGATCGATCCCTCAGATCTGATCGTCGATCTGGCTTGACGGGACGAGTTGGGTAGAATGCTTCAGGGGGGAGACTTAAATGATTTATTTATATTATATGCATGGTAGAAAGTTTGTAGAATATGCATCTGCCCAAACACCCGTTTGCAGTGACTGCCTCGATAACTCCGTCGCCATCAATGGCAAAACTACTCTCCGGAGCCCGTATGAGCATAATTGGGTGCTAAGTGTTTCCCATGAACGGCCAGGCCGAACTTCACGACCCAAGAGCTGTGTCGGTGATCCTCGTTGTTGTTTTTTAAAAAAAATGCAAACAAAAAAAAGACAAGCCAAGATGTCTCTCTCTTCATGTTACTTACCTCTCCCAAGTTTATAGATAACATGCACAAGGGACTCACTCTCCAAGCCTGAAAGGGGGTCGAGGAATAAAACTCCAAAAAGTATACAAAAAATATTGAGACTCGGATGCGGGGAGTCGAACCCCGGGCTGCTGAGAAGAGGCACTACTGAGTAGTGAGAGTCAGCGATGTTACCGCTACACCACACCCGACGAATAATCGATTGTGGCTCCGACCGACTTGTTGAAACGAGTCGCTAATCGCCACTAATTTCGCCCGTTTCTAGCTAGAGAATGAAAGAGAAAAAAAGAGAGGGAAGACAAAATGAAAGAGAAGGTTTTTGAGGAAGCCAAAAAAAATTGTGACTCGGATGCGGGGAGTCGAACCCCGGGCTGCTGAGAAGAGGCACTACTGAGTAGTGAGAGTCAGCGATGTTACCGCTACACCACACCCGATGGAGATCGATTGTGGCTTCCGACCGATTTACTGAAGGGCTGGCTAAATGGTATAATAAGGGCAGAAATTTTGCCAATTCCAAATCACATACATTGGTGGGGCGCCACAGAGCTGTCCCTACGGCTCGACATCCTGGCATACCTAGAAGCCACAAGCCTCAACTCTCAATACATATTTCTTACGCAAGGATGTCCCAAACCTTCATTCAACCCAACTTCGTTTATCGCCGTGCAATCAGGCATCGCTAGACTCACTCCAGAGCCCGGGAACTTTTACCCGCTTACAGGGCTGGGAACCCGCGGGAAGCCATAAGCCAAGTCGCCGTGTGGATGCCCGGCGCCCCGGCGGGATGGTGGCAACCCCGTCTTTGCCTCGGCACTTTTCCCCATCCCCGCAATCTCAATTGGAGTACATATCCGTGCATGGAGCCACGGTTAATCAGTACAGTTGATCAGCTATCAATATCATTCTATTGTACATGAAGGCATTTGAGTTGTTTGTAACTCTGTGAACGATTTCCATCACACTCTCTCCACTTGTATAAACCACGGTTCACCTCAGTGCTGTTGCATTCTAAATCCCTTTCTAATATTGATCCCCGTTCCTCCCTTGGCCACACTCATCCACCATGGCACCCGCTCAGAAGCAACCATGCTACGTGCTCGGCGTGGGCATGACCAAGTTCATCAAGCCGAGAGGGAAGGTTGACTACACAGAATTGGGGTTTGAGGCCGGCGTCAAGGCGATGCTTGATGCTCAAATCACATATGACGATGTCGAGCAAGGAGTGGCATGCTACTGCTACGGCGACTCGACTTGCGGCCAGCGAGTCTTCTACCAGTTCGGCATGACCCAGATCCCCATCTACAACGTCAACAACAACTGCTCGACTGGTTCGACAGGGCTGCAGATGGCGCGGAACACCATTTCCTATGGCGGCGCCGACTGCATCCTGGTAGTCGGGTTTGAGAAGATGATGCGAGGTAGTCTACAGACCTTCTTCAATGATCGAGAGAACCCTACCGGAACGACGGGCAAGATGATGGCCGAGACGAGAGGTATCACAAACTCCCCCGCCGCTGCTCAGATGTTTGGCAATGCCGGCCGCGAGTACATGGAGAAGTAGGGAGAATTCCCCCCTAACTTGATGGGACCGTACTAACAAGCATCGCAGGTACGGGGCCAAGGCAGAAGACTTTGCCGAGATTGCGCGGATCAACCACGCGCACTCGGTCAAGAACCCGTACTCGCAGTTCCACGACGTCTACTCGCTGGAGCAGATCCTCCAGTCGACCATGATCCACGAGCCGCTCACCAAGCTGCAGTGCTGCCCGACGTCGGACGGCGGCGCGGCGGCGGTGCTGGTCTCGCAGGCCTTCCTGGACGCGCGCCCTCACCTCAAGGACCAGGCCGTGCTGATCGCTGGCCAGTGCCTGGCGACGGACGCCCCGAGCCTGTTCTCCCGCAGCGCCATCGACCTGATGGGCTACGAGATGACACAGCGGGCGGCCCAGACGGCCATGACCGAGGCGGGCCTCACGCCGCGCGACTTCCAGGTGTGTGAGCTGCACGACTGCTTCAGCGCCAACGAGATGGTGGTCATCGACGCGCTGGGCCTGAGCGAGAAGGGCAAGGCGCACGAGATGGTGCGCAAGGGCGACATTACGTACGGCGGCAAGGTAGTCATCAACCCCTCGGGCGGCCTCATCTCAAAGGGCCACCCGCTCGGCGCCACGGGCATCGCCCAGTGTGCCGAGCTGGTCTGGCACCTGCGCGGCTGGGCCAACAACCGCGCCGTGCCGCACACCAAGTGGGCCCTGCAGCACAACCTCGGCCTCGGCGGTGCCGCCGTCGTCACCGTGTACGGGCGGGCCGACGGGAAGGAGGCGCCGACGGTGGACTCGGCCGCTGTGGGCAGGGCCAACCGGCTCGGGTACAACCCGGCAGTCGAGGCAAAGGGCTTCACGCTCGCCCAGGCGAATGCCGTGAGGAGTAAGGATAAGGTCAGCGACTGGGCCCTGCAGGATACGATGGACAAGGTTCAGGCCCGGTTTTGAGATACGCCGGCGGACAAGGACTAGGTTTGTTGGGATGTGTTTGGCTGGGTAATGGCATGCCTATTTCTATGTATTGTTTTAGCACCACAACACAGATATCAAGTGACGGATGGACCCTGGAGTGATCGTGTTCCGAAAGCCTAGTTGGTCCCCTTCTTTGGATCCCGGAATTGGGGCTTACCGCTTCTTGCGGAACAGATCTGCCTGAATGGGGATCACGCGAGCATTGGCGGCATTCGGAATTAATGTTGCCAATGGCCCCTACCAACTTTGTTCAATGCTTGGGGATGTTGGGGAGTCTTCTTTCTGGGATGGAAGGGGGGCCGGTGGTGGTTGGGTCCGTGCATCGTCTCAGGTTGTTCGATGAGGCTTCGACTTGGCGATCAGACAGCCCCGGAGCCGCCGAGACCCAAAATTATGCGTCCCTTATCCAGGCAAGGCACCGGCACATTTGGCGCCCACCTGCCTCGAAGAAGAAATCACGGAGCCAGGTGGCGTATCTTCATCCGTAGTGACCAGTGATGGCTGCTGCAGCGCCGACTCCTGATGATGGGCTGGCCGCCTCCGCCGGACGGCACCCTCCCTCCGCTTACAACCAGGAGTAGTGGCCACAGGCTGGATGACCCAACTCGATCCCATCAGATTCGAGTTGCTCCAGTTGCTCCAGTTGCCCCGGAACTCCAGTTGGCACCCCTCGCTTGCGCTGTTTCAAGACCCGTCCGGCACCAAGAATAATCTCCGGCCGCCGATTGCTGTTTCTCCCCCGGACTCACTGACTCTTTCGCATGAACTCGACCGCATTTACGCGGCCATGCCAACCTCATCTCCCCTATCATTGAGCCTCCTTTACCACCATCCTCTACGGATCCGTACAATGATCGCCCTTTGGCATTGTTTTAGCCTGATTCCACCCTTATAATGGCGGCGATTTTGACTCTGCTGTAGAAGAGACGCATGAAGACCAGTCAAGTCTGGTATGATATGCTGCCCCCCCCATTCAAGACCGAATGTTGGTGGTTTTCCCCAGACAACCACACACCCCCGTCCCCCGATTGAGGTGGTTGTTTCTCGGTCGCTCCTCTTCCCTCGCCTACTACCATGTTTGACATGGCCCGATTGATGTGTCTCTTGATGTGTGTCTATTAGTCCCCTCATCTTCTTTGCCCCCACGCCAGTCACCTCCGCTGGGCAAGTTGCAGAACCGCCTGCATCGAAACTTTGAGTACCACACTCTTGACTCTCTGGTATGAACTCATCCGCTGGTTTCGGAGCTTTCTGATCCACGATTCGGGTGACCACATACCTACCTAGCCCCCCGCCCTTCTTTTCCCTTCCCTTGAGTCGACCCCATTTTAAATACATTATCCCGCGTACCCTGTTCTTTTGTCCCACCCCAAACTCTCGTCGCCGTCGCTGCCGTCGACCTGCTCTTGCCATGCGCTCCCACCAGATGCAAACACGATAGTCAGTTCGGAGCCCTCGCGCTCAACACCCCCGCCAAAACCATGGCAAGCGTGACACCCGATCTCTCACGAGGGCCGGTCCTTCTCTCCTTCTCCGTCGGGACGGCGAGCTTTGCCTTCTCGACCACCATTGTCCGCTTCTGTGTGCGGACGCGGATCAGTAATAGCCTTGGTGCCGATGACTACGCAATCGCGGTGGCCACGGTAAGTCCCTCATTTCCCTTCCTACTAGTTCTCATGCTGAACGCCGCCCAGGTCGTGGCCGTGACAGGGACGATATTCAGCGTGCTCGAGAGCTCCATGCCCGACTCGGCGCGAGCGTTGGAATTCGACGTTCTGGGGCAGCCGTTGTTCATGATGGGGTCGACGCTAAGCAAGATCTCGATCTGTCTATTCTTCATCCGCCTCCTGGGCAGCGCGCGCCACTGGAGGATATTTCTCGGAGTCATGATCTTCCTCATGGCCGTCGTCAACCTCGCCTTCTCCCTGACCACAAACCTCCAATGCCGCCCGCTGGAGAAGCTGTGGAACCCGGCGACCACAGGTGTCTGCTGGGACCCGAGCGTGCAGCTTAACTTTGGCTATTTCCAAGGAGCCTTTTCCGTCTTCACTTGGTTCTTTCTCTCCCTCTTCCCGGTCACCGTCATTCGAGACATCTACATGCAGGGCAATCTGAGATGGCCGTTCTACATCCTCTCCGGTCTCAGTCTTGTGTAAGTGCTCGACGGGACGGAAATGCCATCGATCATTTCAGCTGACAAGCTCAACAGCGTGGGAGTTTTGGACACAGTGAGGACGTACGAGACGTCCCAAATTGGCGGCTTGAGTGTGTATACGTACGATACATTTGTCGCGAGTCTCATGGCGATGTGAGTTCATATCGAGCCCTGGAGCCTGCCAAGTAATCGGGCTAATCATCAAATCCAGTCTCGAGCAAAACGCGGGCATTGTCGCTGCCAATGTCTTGCCAATGGGCCCTCTGTTCTCCCGGAGAGCACGCAGAGCGGCCACCATCCGAGCCAAGACACCTAGCTTTGGAGGCAGCACAAGGTTGAGCATGGGCAATACTTCGATAGCCAGCTCTAGGACTCCCTCCAACCACTCCAGAGCCCCCTCCATCCAGTCTAGGATGTCGGGTCATTCCAGATCGACTTCGAGTCGCTCCTTATCATTTGCGGATCCTATGCGGAACAGTACATTGCCAATCGAGGGTCCCAGGAGAGTGAGCTTCGACACGTCAGGGAGCCAGGAGTGGCAAGCCGAGGCCTACGAACTCGAAAACCAGGGCGGCCGGGGCGTGCGGGACTCCTACGACCCCGAGGCCTGGCCGAAGGGCATCATCAAGACAGTCAGCGTCGAGGTCGTCGAGGAAGACAACCCTGACATCCCTGAGGGAGCGAAGATCGTCACTGTCAGCGACGTCAACGTGGAGCAGGATTGGGAGGCCATGCTACGTGCCGGGCCGGACCATGAGTGATACGCCAGTTCGTTTTGTTCGGCCGCTTGATAATGCATATCGTGACTTGGGAGCATTGGCGTTGGGAAGAGAGGGTTATCTACCTATCCACATTGGGCGTTTTGTCATTCTTTTATAACCAGGTTGCCGATAGATGATACCCTTGTACGAATATCGATCTCATAGCAGATTACACTGGGAGCATGGTATGACAATAGATGGGGTTGGGAATGGGCATGAGATAAACGGATCGCAATAATATCAACCATCATATTTGCTGAGACAAATCATGGCCGAAATAATATCAACGAGCTGCGCTTGTATTCAAAGAGTTTCAGGATTCTTATATTCGTACAGCCAGATTGGTACTTTGTGAACACAATAATAGTAGGCAAAAATTGGCGGTAGAGTCTCGGTTGACCAGCGCAGACCCGGCGCGAAGTGGGTCATTTTTCCGAAGTCACACCACTCACTTTCTCAAGCAACTTCGAACTTCTTCAACGTCACAGCTCTCTCCCAACTTCCCGTCATCCGCCGCACGACAGAACCCAAGGTACTACAACCCTCAAAGGCTCGCAACCAAAGGAACCTGCCCAATTGAAACCATAGCCAGCTAATTGACCCAACCCCAACCGGCCCAGCAGCGAAAACACGATGATCTCCCGCACCGTCGCCCGCGCCGCCGCCCAACGGGCCAGCAGCACCACCACGACCTCGCTCGTCGCCCGCCGCGGCTTCCAGACGACCCGCGCGCAGCTCAGCTCGCCCTACCACTACGCCGAGGGCCCGTACACGAACCTGCCCTTCAACACCAAGACCCGCTTCTTCGCCTTCCGGTACTGGTCCTTCTGCGCCGCCGGCTTCGGCTTGCCGTTCCTCATCTCCGGTGAGTTCATCCCTACCCAGAAAACCGTTCTCGAAATTTATCATTTCCCTACTCTGTGGAGGGGGAAGCTTGAAACGCTATTCCTTCTCCCCCAGTGCTTGTTGCAGATGAGCCGGGGTTGGGATTGTTTTATATCCCCCAGACAAGTGTGAATAAATTCAATTGTTCCGTGAGCTGACTTGTGAACCCCCCCTTTAGTCTGGCAAACCAAGAAGCCGAAGGCTTAAATTGGTCGAGGATATCCTTGGGGAACATGGCTCGATTGTACAATTTGGGTAGCATTTAGGGAGGAGGAGGCGCGTCTGCCGAAAACTCTTTGAAAGGGGGGTGTCTGTCGGGGGCTTCGTGTTGTGATATACAACGATAGAGATCATCATCAAACCTGCTTCTCTATGTTCTCTTCTGAGCTATGCACCTCAAGAGTGGCACCCATTGCCAATACGTCTAGCATTTGCTCCACGGCTTGCGTCGAAGCTACTGACAATGTAAATTCAAACTGTGACAAGAATAGTGATGGTTAAAAGTTGCTGAAATCTAGTACTGTTAAAATGTCATGCTTCTACAGTACATGAACCCTGATCATCATCCAAGGTGGTATCAAACAAGCCCGCACCTCCCCCCAACCCTCTCTACCTATGTTACATTGCAGTTATCAGGCAGCCCAGATAAACGTCTTTCGGGCCACTCACTCTCCATCTATCTCCCTATATGTACAGCAGCGCCTTTATTCAAGAGACCATGCAAGAAGTCCATCATGAACCTCGCGTTCGCCTGGTCCAGCTCCCACCTCGACTCGAGGGCCTCGTACGCCTGCAGGACGCGGTCCCGCGACGAGGAGCACCTCGCAAACGCCCTCAGGGCCCACATGGCCAGCCAGGTCTCGACCCTCAGGCCGGGGACGCCGTCGTCGAGAGCCTGCAGGAAGGCGGCCCAGATGCTGTCGAGCCGGCGCTCGCTCCAGGGGGAGCCGGGCACGCCGCCGTGGGCGTGGAAGCCCTTGAACAGGGCCAGGAAGATGGCGCCGTGCAGGGGGATCTGGTGGAACTTCATCTCGTCCAGGTACTGCGCCACCTTGGCCAGGTCGCCCATCTTGACGCCGTAGTGGTTGACCAGCACGCGGTAGGTCTGCAGGTCGGGCGTCAGGGGCGCCATGCTCTGGAACCCGGGCCGCAGCGGCGGGTGCTGGCGCCCGACCTTGGCGAACATCATCAGCACCTTTGTGATCATCTTGTTGGTGGTGTAGTTCCTGTGCGGCATCCCCGCCGCGGCCCCCGCATTGTCGTCGCCGTCGCCGCTGCCGCTGCCGCTGCCGCTGCCGCCCGCGCTGGCCTTCATCCGCTCGTACACTCGCTCGGCAGATTCCTCCTCGCCCGCCCGCAGGAGGCCCGCGATGACGCAGTTGAGGACCACGCTGTCGACGATCTCCCCGGCCTTGACCATCTCCTTGTAGGCCGCGCGGACGCCGCTGCCGTCGAGCTTGAGGCCGAAGAAGTGGATAAGGCTGACGTAGTGGTAGCGGTTGAACGGGTACCCGCGTGTCTCCATCTCCTTGTAGATCATCTCCGCGAGGGTGAAGTTGCCGGCCTTGGACGCGACGTCGAAGAGGATGTTGAAGGTGACGTCGTTGCCCCTGATGCCGGCGTCCTGCTCCATTTCCCGCCACAGGTTCAGCGCCGACTCGGTCTCAACGTCGGTGGATGTGCCGACGTATCTGCCGGCAAAGGAGATGGCGCCGTTCCACTCGGCCCTCGTCAGCGGGAGCCCACCGTTCTTGACGTCGGCGACGACGGCGAAATATCTCAACATGGACCTCGAGTCTTTCTTATCGGGTTGGCCTAGAACGCGGAGCAGCTGGTGTCGGAGTCTGGCGGGGATATAGGCCATCCGGGGTTCTGGGAGCCGTTGGTAGATCTGATATATCGTGTCTAGGTCCGCCCTAAACCGGTTCCTTAATCGGGAGATGACGGCCAGTCTGAGGTCCCGGAGGACTTCCCTCTCTTCCTCATTTGGTTGCATTACCTCCTCCAGAGAGGGGTAATCGATGTCGTCCTTCCTGCTCGAGACGACGACGTTGGGACCGTCGGCCGGGGCATAACCCCGGAGATACGGGTCCCGAAAGAATTCAAGGTGCTCCTCCACCGTCCCAGCATCTTGGTGGTCTACTAATGCGAGGAGCTCCTCCTTCGATCGAATCTGTGGTGGCTCCGGGAGAATGGTCTGCAGAGCGGAAGCGGTGGCGGTATGGTTCTCGCATGTCGAGGGGAGAGACGGGCGGTAGAAGGTGTTCATGTGGAAGCTGGTGCGTCGAGGGTTCGAGAAGGTCAACACCTCGGCCTGTGTTCGCCTTCTCGCGTGATCCCGAGGCTTGATAGTGCCGGCTTCACGGTGCGTCCTAACCGACAACGTTCCATATCTGAGCTTGGAGCTCCCACAGCCCCCGAGGCCGGGTCGTGCTGGAGCCGACGATGACGGTCGACTCGAGAGGATCGCGCCGTAAATCGACCCATCAATTCGGCTGGAGATTTTCATGAGCTGTCCCGCATTGCGGCTCCCCTGTCACCGTAGCCTCATGCCCTTTGGAGGAGATGCGCGTGGGGATGTAGTTGGGAAAGAGCACTGGTTCTATGGTCTTTGGGTTATCTGCGGAAAAAAGGGCACGGGAATATTTTGCGCTTATCTAGGTTCCCTGTCGATTCGCGCTGCATTGGCCCCTGTCGGGTCCAAGCATCCCGACTTTCCTATGTGGGGAACAAAATTTCGCCGACGTTTGGGAAATTCCATTATCAGGTGTATTGGCCTAAACCTAGCTGCCAAAGGTCTTCACGACTGCGGTAGCTCCGACAAGAAGACACTTCGACCTAGGACAGGGGAGAGGAGATTTCTGCATTGTTTCGAAATCCGGCCACTGCTCTGTTGGCAGAGATTCAATTGGCACGATGGGGCGACACTTTAGGCCCGCCCGGGTCTACCAGACCGCGAAGAAGAGCCTCGCAAGCAGAATCCTGCAAGACGAGGTCAGGACGCCGCCCGCGTGGCTGCAAACCGTCGAGACCATACCGCCGACAGAAGTCCTCACGAGGCCGTACGCGATCCAGCACACGGCACCAAACCCCAGGGCGAAGAAGCCGCGCAAGCTGTTCAGGCCAACCCGCATCGTGTACCCCGAGGACCAGCTGCGGAAGGACTTCTACAGGGACCATCCGTGGGAGCTCGCCAGGCCCAGGATCATACTGGAGATGGATGGCATGGATGGGCGGTACAGGGACTGGAGCAAGGGCCTGCGACAGCTGGGCATGCCGCTATGTGGCGAGAGGTGAGTGTCGGAGAGTGGTTGCCATGGCTCGGGACGGTCGGCTAACTCGAAGGTGCAGTGTCGTGCAACGGCAGCTTTGGGTCATGGAGAACGAAGGGAAGTCCAAGGAGCAAGCATATGACGAGGTACGACGCGAATTCTACAAACTACGGCAAGAAGAAGAAGTGGAGCGGAGGATAGCACAGGAGGAGGCTCGTATGGTGGGGGCATACTTCGGAAAGACGGCCTTGCAGGTCGGCATGGAGCTTGAGGACAAGGAGTTCGAGCGATGGAAGAAGTGGGCTCACGAAGAAACCATGAGGATCGAGTCGGAGCGCAGTCAGGCATACACCTCATTCGGGGATGAGCCTGCTGAAGCTGATCCAATCTTGGATGAGGTCACGCAGGCAGCAGTACCATAGAGGCGGAGAGAGGGAGGGAGGGAGAGGGGGGGAAAGGAGAGCTGTGTATCACTATCCGCGCCCTGCTAACGGCACGGGCTTGTAAATCTACGCCCTGTAGAATCCCCCTGGGGTATCTATCGTTTTATCATAGAAGTTGCCTTTCTTCAGGCCCAAACCATGCGTCCTGAAAACCCCGAGCCTCTGATTTTGCACCTCCGCAATGCGGCTGCAAGCCCGATGATATATGATACACACATGCACACGCTTTCCAGTTGCCGGGGTGGTAACATCCCTTTTCCCCTCACCGAACTGTTTGTGCAATGTCCCCACCAATTCTTGCGTTTCCACGATTTCGCAAGTCATCTCCGCAATCAGATCGACTGCAAACGGCGGATAACTCGTAGTGGTTACTGCGACCACTATCTTATCACCAATCCGAAGAGCTTGACGAATTAGTCGACGCAGGGGACCTTTCTCTCGGCGGCGGATACCACGGTCTCTCGGGCTCCTAACCCACAGGAGTGGTCCGCTCAGTCACCAAGCCAACGTAGTGCTTCCCAAACTTCTCCGCCAGATCTCGATGCTGGACACAGAATAGGTCCGCGATGCTGGTCCAGTGGAACAGCTTGCCGGTTAAGCTCAAAGTCCGAGTGTGGGCCCAGGATTCGACATACACCAACTTAAGGCGGTTTTGGGGAACCAGGTAAAATATCTTGAGCAAGTGAGCGACGAGGCAAAGGATGAAGCCCGTTCCGGGGCCGTTTGTGATGACGACGTGGGGATACTTGTAGAGCTGGCCGTATTTGTCGTACGGCCGTTGATTTGGTTCTCTGCTAAGAGCGTTGACAATGTTCAGCGCACTCCAGATAGACGTGAACCAGGCCGTGTAGAGGGGCTGATGAACCGCCCGAGCTCGTTTCACTTGGAAGTGATCCCAGGTTCCCCCGTTGCCGTCGATATAGGCATCCTTGATAAGTGTCTCGGTCATGGCTATGGACGCCGCAGAGTGTTCATCTCCAGTAGTTGACACGTAGCGGCGGTGGGTGTTTCTCTGGCCACGGAACTTCCGTCTGATCATCTCAGACATCTCGGCCGTGTGTCCACCGGAGCCCATGACGTAGAGGAAGTAGACGGCAGGTAGATGGCGAGTGCTGGGGCGGGGTCTAGGGCGGGCTTCCATGAAGACACGGCCTCTAGTCTCAGCTTGGGTGGCCCTCTTCAAGGCACGATGTCGCCACTTTTGTTTTGTCCTTAGCTCCGATTTCGAAGAGAAAAGGGGGTGAGTGTCTGAGTCTCGAGAAAACAATGCCCTACTTACCACAACAAAGCTGATACCAACTAGGAGGCAAGCTGCGATAGATGAGGATGATACGTAGAATGGTGCGATGGCGCTCGTAATTCCTAGGACGCCAAGCCCAACAAATATGTTGACAGCATAGGCATCCTCTTCGAATGAATCCATGCTGGATTTATCCTCTGGGAGGTCCTCAATATTTAAGCCTTTGGAGGCATTGGAAGATAGGGGCCCCGAACCAGCAGTGCCTTGAGATTGCGGAGCTAAGGATTGCTGAGATTGAAAAGGGGTGTTGAGGGGAAGCTTAGTTTGAGGGTCCTGTAGATGCTCGTGGGTCTCTGCAGCTGGTGACCTCGAGGACATGTCTGCTTGTTGTGATACAGCCATGTTGGCAGGAGACACCCAGGTGTACTACACATCAACAGCACGTCGAGAACTGCCTGGAGCAAGAGGAACACTGGCAAGTCGCTGGCGGCGAGAGTTACCAGTAGTGCCAGCCGAGGTAGGCTTGTCTCCTGGGGCGTCACAACCGCGCGGCTCTTCAGCACATAAACACCAGTAAACCCCGAGGAACCAATGTTACTCCAGTCCTGGGCGTCAGGCAAAGCTGTGAAGATGCCTGTCGTGCAACTTGCAGGAAATAAACACCTTCAAATGCTCCTGGATTCGCTTTGGTGAGGGTATATCTTATGATGGAAACTTCGTCACTTGAGTCCACAGTACCAAACGAAACAAGTCTATCTTCCTGGTTGAACATCAGCTTCCTAAATCTTCTGCACAATATTGTTGAAGAGAAAATCGAGTAAACATCAACACACTAGTTGATAGGAAATGTCTCAGAGACTGGTGGCAGAAAGTGAGTCCCCGTCAAACAGTCAGTGAACTGTCCACTTCAACAAATAAAAGTAGTTGGAATCAGCTTTGTTTCTGAGAAATATCAAGGGTGGTGGCCTTTCTTTGTGGTTAAGTCAGGGGTGAGGAGCGATCCTTCAGGGGTTAAAAGGTGAGTGGTGAAAGGAGCTGGAAATATTGCATACTTGACCTGTTTGTCCGAATAGAAGAGAAGACAATGTCAGTAGACTCTTCCAAGCTTATTTCTATGAGTGTTGATTGTTGGCGTGGCGAGGCGCTGGCACTAATCTCTCTATCTGGTCCTGGTTGGTTGTGAGGAAAGTACAGATCCGTAAGTAGCCACGCATTTGGAAGTCGTCGGGCTGGCAAGTTGGACAGTACCTAGGTACCTCTGTCCTGGAGGTCCATGCATTTATCGCAGCAATGGTCCGTGCATCCATTGTCCTTTTATGCAGGAACCTGGGCCATGACATTGGGCTCGAGAATCCGACCGCCCGGCAGAATCCTCGAGAAGCTCACCCAGGTCAAAGAAAGGAATCGAGGTCGATGAACGGACATAATAAAGAGTGTTCGGCTTGCACCACAGGATAATAATGATCTTCAAGCAATATGCCTGGTTTTAAGAGAACCAAATATTTGGCTTGCTTTTATTGCGGGCGCAAAACCTCGACCCCATACAACGGGCTCATACGGCAGTTTGACTGTCCGAACTGCGATGCAACAAATTACTTGGACGAGGTGAGGAGCTCTGCGCTTGGCCAGATTGAAGGAAGTGCTGACCTCAAGCCAGAGGGGAGATATTACAGATCCTCCCATTTCAGTAACGGAAGCGACTACGCCCAGGGCCGTCAACTATGCAGTGCCCCGATCCATCTCGCCGCCGTCCAGCCCGTCGAGTGCCGTCTTCTGCGAGACATGCCTCAAAAACCAGCATCTGCTCACGGCCTCTTTAGCGCAATACCTTCCAGACGACCCAGAATCCCCCGACTATGCCGAGTTGGAGAAGAAATACTACAAATTTCGGAAAGGGCTGGAGCTGCGATATCCTCAAATATGTCCGGACTGCGAACCGAGGGTGCGCCAGCGCATCGAAATGTCTGCTTATACCGCCAAGACCGACGTCCTACGGCGCATGATTGACCGCACCGAGAAAACCCGGACAACGAAACAACGCTCGCCACTTTATCTGTTCGACGGGATCGGGAGGTGGTTGCGCCTCGCTGGGATCGTGCTTCAGATTCTATGGCACGCAGCAGTCCTATATGCCCTCCTCGTCGACAACATTGCCGCCCGAGATTATTCCCCGTGGTTGCAACGTCTGTCGCGGTTGGGCGTTGCCTTCTTTAGCCTGTTTCCCTCACCCGACCGTCTCATCAGGTGGAGCTTCCTGGCAACTGTTTGCGGTTCGTGGTGGAATCCACGCTTTATACAGACTGTGAGAGGGTTCACGAAGCATCTGATTGGATTCTTGAATTGGTACATGTACCACGTCATGATTATCTTCATACGATTAGCATCTATGACTGTCTTGACCTCGACCCCCTTTCAAACTGCCCGAACTTCAAGCTTCGTTGGGGGTCATTTACTCATGTTGACATTCGCCCTTCTGGTAAGTCACTTTCCTCTTCCCTCACGGCATGTCCATTGACCAGCAATCAGATTCATAAACTTTCCGGGGCATCAATTCGGACAGACACTACCCCCCTCTTTGCTTCCAACTCGTCAACTCCCTCACGTCCCGTAGCAGCGTTGATGAGGGAGACTGCGGATGATGATGATGATGATGATGATGATGATGATGACAAGAAGAACATGTCCCAGATACTGGATGAAATCCTGCGGACTCCTTCGATGCCTCCAAAACCTGGCAACAGGGGGCAAACCACGGTTGATAGTGACGATTTCCAAGTCCGCCTTGCCAACGAGGTCTACAGTGGCGCAGATTCCGGTTCCCAACTCCGATCGTTGAGGATATCGGATCACCCTGACGCTAATCCCACACCGAGCTATTCACCCGTTCCTTACGAGGAGGAGATGGACTGGTCTCCGACCCAATCCAAGCATCGAGCTTTCAGTGCTTACCGGACAGACGGGCAGGGTTCCCAAGGCTTTAGCCAAGCTCCTACCGAGCCGCCAAACGGGCATTTCTGGTACCGCGTCCCACCGGCCCCCACGACTCCGGCACAACGGATCTTCAACCCCCCAAATCAGCCTCGTCTGCGAAAAAGCCCCGCCACAAACGCGGAAATATCGTTTCGGGGCGCGATGAGTGGCGTGGCGGATAAACCCCTCCAGCTCACCTCTCCAGACAAATCGAAATCTGTAGCATTTGCCGAGCCATCGTTCTTCTCCCCACCCACCCAGAATGACCCACGGAACTCATTATCGGAACTGTTCACCGATGGGTTTACTCTTACCCCGAGTCAAGAAGAGCAGGCAAAAAATCAACGGTCGTGGGTTGGCAACCTGATGGGGCTCGTGTACCCCAAAAAGACAGACCGTCAGCAATCTTGATTGCCACTGAGGGTTGTCTGTTCTGTTTGTCTCTACCGCGAGAACCAGCACTGGTATTCTAGGTTTCGCCGACGCGACTGGCCAACTGGATTATTATTGAAGAGGGTATGGATTCGGAAATGGAAGCGAAAAGGCTTCGCTCATGTGCATACGGCGGCGCTTGGAACTTGGAACAGGATATGACGGCATTCCGGACCCTGATATACAATTAGAAGAGTTGGTTCATACCCGTGAGAGTTAGCGTTGATTGATACGGTCTCGAAAGGTAACGGCGCCTCGAACTCGGAATGCCTCGAAGGGGGCCTTGTTGAGTGGAAGGGCCCCGTTTGACTTTGCAATTTCCAGCCCCGTTGTCGGTAGCCCGTCTTTCGCCGCTGCAGGTCTGGATGCTCCCGCCGGTGCAGCTCGACGGCCTTGTTGTAGTCGTTCACCGTTTGGATCGGCCTGGTGGGATCATGTAATCCCTGGTGGCACACTTCGCAGTCAGCTCCTCGACAATTTCGGCTCGGATCCTACCGACGCCGCCCTATTCCTTGGCGCTAAGATGCGATGCGACATTCGCGACCCATATCTGGAAGGCGATGCCGTCAAGCTACCCGACGATTGCCCTGCCGAACTTTGCGTAGTTGCCGGCGAGACCTTGCGCTGCCCGCCGGTGCCTTCGTCACCTCCTAGTTGAAAGCCAACGCGGTGCCCGACCAGCCGCCTGATGGTCTCTTGGGAGTCATCTACCAATGCCTCGACCAGGGCGCGATCGTACTTGCCAAAGTTTGATGGAAAAGTGAGTTGACTCATGGCCGACAAACTTTTCAGTCGTGCTTGGCCAATATACTCAGGTCAAACTACTCTATGGAATGACAAGCTCTGCCCCCTTTTTCAAATTCAGCCGTTGCACCAGTCTGAGCCCAGGATAAAGTATCACAAAGTGTCCGCGAATCGGGCCTCGCTCTCCCAACCATCATCCACGCACCCGCAGCCAGGCCTCCCATTTACCATATGTTTTTGTAGCCAAATTCCAAGCATCCGCGGCCAACAACGAAAGAGTGTATGAAAGGTTATCCCAATAGCCAACAACCAAAATCAGCCGACAGAGCACCTGCGCAACCCATGTGCAATACGCCGGGCACCAGGAGAACAGCTGCGGACCTGTCGTCTGATTCTGTGCTCCGAGAGAAACAATGATATCCGCCAATTGCTCTATTGCGCGCCGTGATCGTGTGCTGCATCCAATAGCGAGTCCGCAGTGGCAGTGTGAGGGAGGTCATGTCGCCGTTGCCGTTGTCGGGACCGGGAATGGAAAGCTGCCCTAGCCCTAAAAAAGGCGAGACGATTAACGGCAGCCATGAAAACAAATAAATTATAAGAAGAGCAGTAAAGGCGTAGGAATATCCGTATTTGGATCTCCTTGTATGGGTAGCAGCCGTTGCATTCTCCCAAGGCCGTGGCACCTCGTAAAGTGACTGGGCGATATCCCAGAGGTATACTTCGGTGTCTTCAAGAAGAATTGAGCACACAATGCTGGACTATATCATATTTTCAGTATCCGTAGGTAGTGTAAAGCTTAGCCAGGGGAAATCAACTTAAAAGATTTCCAGAACAAAGTGATAACAGAGCCAGCTGGTTCGCCACTTGCGATTGATCATTTGCCATTGCGGAAATCTTTAACGCAATAACTCCGAAACCGCCCAGGAGAACAGGTAGGGACATGCCATTGAATAAATCTCCAAACTCTTGCCAGGGGCCTGAAAAAGTTTCCCAGCCTCCTTGACGGGAAGTCTTCGTGCGGCGAAGAGGGGCTGGATGGGAATGGGTTGAAGAAGGTGGTAGGGCTGGATGGGAAGGGGTTGAAGGGGGCAGTAGGGCTATATCATGTTGCCCATTTTCGACCTCAGACTCCGCCATTGCAGCAGTGTCTAGCATACGTGGCTCGAAGCTGGTGTGAGATAGGATAGCGCCGTCGGGGAAGAGATCCTCGAGCGGACTTCCCAAGAATCAAGGCTCTGCTTTAAAGCTACAATTACAAAATGAATACTGCTGAGTTCGGGAAGAACGCTTATATATGGCCGAATTCTATCAACAGCTGAAAACTTAAAAATAGAAAAAAGAACCACACTCTGTCACAGTTCTGCAGCACAGTCCTATCATAGCTCCTCCTATTACATAAATTACCAAATTCATAACGCCTCTCCAGCCACCGTCACGTAAACTGCCAATTAAATAGCAAACGACTTCGAAGCATGGGGCATGCAAGGTAGACGCCCCTGCGTAGTTATGCAGCCCCTCCCACTCTTGAATCCGACCATGCCATCTTCAGCGGGATGCACCAGGGGAGATGAGTCGTCTATATCCTCGGATGGATGAGACGCTTGATACATTTTTAGACTTATTATTATCACCAACTCTGGGTCATGACATTGAGTATGTTTTTGTTAGTCTTTCATTGCATCAGGAGATAAGATCCCCACCTGGGGGAAGGTTGAGAAAGTGGTGCTGGGTTAAAAGGAAGGCGAGCCTCAAGCTGAGGCTGTATGGTCCTATGCCTTGACAACCTACCCTTACATAGCCTGTCCAGCGTATATGGACATGGTGATCGTTCGTTACAAGATGCCCCAGGCCTCCAAATTCTCCCTGTCCCAGTCTAGGATCCCGGCGGCAGGGGAACATTTCTGGGCCCGCGTACTCGGGCCGCCTATAGGGCCGCCGGAAGGCGGAAGGCGGAATATATGCCAATAAAAGTGACCTTCGAATTATCTCTGCCTAGCAGGTAAGATGGGCACCCAGTTTCGTTTGTCTGGCTAGCGAGGATAGCCTGTCACCCCAGCTCTATTCGATTCGGAGGAGTCTCAAGTTCTTTGAGATAAATAGTGACACAGGAAAATAGGACAATTTGATGCAGCTACTCAGATATGATTAGAGATGAGCATAGCACATTTGGCATACCTAGCACCTGCTTAGGCTTTACAAGAACTCATAGTTTCGAGGAGATGAGTGAGAGAGGTAGTTTCGACGAGGACAAGCTCATAGTTCCAATATAAGTTAAACACACCAGTTGTCGGAGTCTCTTAGGTTCAGGGAGGAGGATGGGACGTATTGTTGTGATGTAAATCAACCCACTTGGCCAGAACCCCTGAGGACAAGACCTTGAACCAGTCCAAACCCGACATGTCAGTAACTGAGGTCCAGAGCGAAAGGAAGAGGTAAGCACATTCCACTCAATTCCCTGCAACTCTCAACACTCGGGAGTTAAGGAAGGAGGAAAGCACTAGCACCGGAATCTAAAAGAAGCATATATTATCATACTGTGACGCTTTGATCTTCCATTAAGCATGAATAAAGCTACAAAAAAAGAGACACAATTATTACAATGTAACAATCTGCAGTATCAAAAACCCTCATGATATGCACGTCGATGTCCCACACCGTGGAAGACTAATGTCGGCGTCGAGTTTAACAAGCGCAGTTGCGGCTTTGTCTTGAAGTCAACGATATACGTTTTCAGCAACTACCTCGGTCTCTTCCAGGACTTGCGGTTTCCCTCCAAGTACACAAAAATCTTTCCATATCCTCAATGTTATTTGGCGCTCTTCATCCCATGACACCTACTATTTACAGATTCACAATACGCCTTGCTCAATTTTATTTACGAGACTCAGCTCAGGTCTGTCAGACTAGAAAGAGTGGCAAGATTGACGAAACTTGAAACTTGAAAGTCTGACGAAGCTGAGGAGGTTGACGAAACTCAAGGCTCACTCAACTTGCACTTACGAAACTCGAGACTCACAAAATCCAAGACCACGAAACCTACGACTCACCAGACCCTACAGGTAAGGTCAATAAAACTAAGACCTACGAAGCTACAAGATCCACGAAACTAACAAGTCTTTCATTAGACAAGTAGACAAGGACAGTTGCAAAACCACCTTGCTTTGCCTGGTGGAAGACAGCCTTTTGGCTGTGAAAGAGCAGTTGCAAATTCCTTCACTGAGAGTTCTTTACTTTGCTATCAGCCGACGTTCACATGGTACATTCTGAACTGGAAATGACACCATAGCTGATGAGCAAGTTAACAATAACGAGGAACAACATGTCGATTCGATCCATGTCTCTAGGCATGTACTTCCCGGCCACCAACGAACCGAGGCGCAAAAACCAGCAAGGCCGCCGCCAATACCTTGCCGAACTTCCACCTCTGCCAATCTTGAGAGAACAAACGTTCACAACATCGCCGTTGCTTTTCAACCCTCCAAGGGGGCCACGCCGTGCTTTTGGCCGAGGATATTTTAGATTTCGAAACGGGACACACGCCGCCTTGTCCACTCTTGGATATCAGGCTCGCCTTGCTACTCCTGGCCGAGCGATGGAGAATAAAACCCAAGCCGGTATTGCAACTGATGGCAATGGCCTAGAGGCCACGTCGTCTGCCAGTAGGTTTACGCCTGCTTAGTCCTCTCAGCCTGTCACTGACGCTCTATCCGAAGACCAGCTTCCGATCTCGCATTATGGCAGCTCCCTTGCTTGGCGTTCGGCCAAGGAACGCCTCCGCTTGGATTTCAAGAAGTTCCAGTCCGATGCGCACCACCTAGAGTGTTCCGATTCTTTCGCCCTGCCAAAAACCGAGGCGGAGTTCGCCGGCCTCATGGCAGACCTCCGCCTGGCCCAGGCCAAAAGCCTAGCTAGAAAGGCAAATCAGTTGGAGGAGGACCATGTCATGCTCAACAACTGCGGCGCCTCCACCGCCCCCAACCCCGCCGGAGCATCCGGCCCCTCCTGGCCCCTGAAGCTCTTGGGCCGCCGCGGCCCACCCATGGACGGACGGTCTACCATATTGGCCATGCCTAGTTCGTTTAACAACATCTGGACTTCTCCCACAGTCCCGGTCAACGAGCAGGTGGACTGGCCCACCGCCCAGGAGTATGCCGAGGAGGGCGACAACCGCACCAGCAAGGGGGCCCTCCGCGCTCTCCCAGGCCCACGCCGAAACGACCTGGACGAGCGCGCAGTGAGCCAGTTCGGAAACACTCAAGTCCAGGGCCGGGAAATCCCTTGGAAGATGCGACAGACGGTGGGCGACCGTTGGGATCTACATGCACATGAGCGGCAGCAGGAGAAGGTTATCATAACCCCTGACCAGGAGATCCCCCTTGGCCATGCCCCCGCCCAGATCCGGGAGCTCATTGCAGAGATGAAAAAACAGTTCAACCTCGACGACTAGGTTGTTTTCGCTGGCCGACATGGCTAGATCAACGAGGTTTCCAGACCAGAACGGGAGCGAAGGATTGAAAGCGGGAGGGCGAGAGATATCGAAAAAGGAGGCAACAGGCGCGGCATATCATGGGGCAAACTTCGAGACTCGTCACATGGACGACCGCTTCTTCGACTTCAAGGCTTCTTCGATGTTCTTGCAAGGAGGGGCTTCTCGAAGTTGCAGCGGCTATGCAAGACAGGTAGAAATGGTTTCCGTGAAGCTCACGTGGCATTTCACACGAAGATACGACCCTCCTGGCCCCAATCCTCGATGCGACAGACGCCTTGGTCTGATGCGCAAGGGAAGATGAGATCGGATAGATTCCTAGGAAAGACCATAATGACCCGACTGGGTCCTAATTGATTGGATCACGGATGGAAAACAGCGAAGCATGGCATACCAGGTGCCAAGTCACAGACATGGAGATACGCTGATGGTAGATAAATGCCCATTGCTCATAGATAGGCCAGAGTCTGCAGCTGGCCGTCATCTACAGTTAGATGGCCGAATTGAGAAAAGAGAGACCTACTTGCCCGTGGGACAACGAACTGTGGTGTTACTAATTGCGCATGTATAGCGCAGCGAAGGGAGCATAGTAGGGCTGATTTGCTAACAGAAGCGGAACCAGCGGGCCAGTGCATGATGTTCATTTCATTCGAGGACGATTTAGCCTTGCGGCTCCGTGTCGGAGTCAATTTTCGGCAGGGGGTTGCAGGCGATACAGGGACAGGGAGAGAAGCTGCAGTTTCCACGCATATGCGCGGAGTTTGAGATCGTCGAAATAAATGTGTTGCCGAAACAGATGACATTTGGACGATCGTCATCGAGAAGCTGCCACCTGTTGGAATGACCCGCAGCCGGGAAGCTAGGGGGAGGATTACTGTGGGGGAGGTTCTTGGTACCTATTCGTAGCGCAGTACTTGCCAGTTACATACACGTGCCCCCTGGCGGTAGACAAAATGTATGGATCTCGGAAAATAGGGGGAGTACTTGCAAGTCCCAACCTGGCGAGGATCTATGCCAGAAGACCACCTGCACCCCCGTTGTTGCTTTTTTTGGTGGCTGATGTTGTCCAGGGGCGTCATAATTGAGTCAACTGTTGGGCAACGAACGTACTCCGTCCAGTACGGAATACATAGCGCATAAATGGGAGGTCCAAATATTAGGACATTGGCCTGTGAAGATTCGTAGCTCAGCGGTTATGTGAAGAGCATCCATTGTATTCCCCGAGCTTGTGCTGTTGTGGAACATAGAAGGATTGAGATGAGAAAACAACACCTGTAGAGTTCCATGGTATCTAGTAGTCAGGTACCTAGGTAGGTAGTTGAAATGGAGGAACGCGAAAAGGAGTCTTGAAACAAATGCCAAAAATTGACTAATTTCTTGGTGCGACAACCTACCCCTGCTCTGTTCATCGCCCGCCACGGCGCCGCAATCTACTGTACAGTACTGAGGTAGGTAATCTGTACCTCCTGCAGAGTGGAAACGGGTGCATTTAGTGCATCGCCAAATTTCGAGGTCCTTCCCCGGTCGGAATCAAAGAAAGGAGAAAGGGAGGGACAAACAACAAGGACAAACTACAACCCCGACGCGATACTTGACTGACGGGATTCATTTGCCCTTATTCATTCTTTTGTCTCCACCTTCTCTGCCTCTGCACCAAACCTGTTCACTCCAAACCTCGACACTCACCCTCCAATCAACATCGGCCTTTCTCAGTCTCCATGGCCTTGTCGCGCCAGTAATCAGCAGTAGCAGCCGCAGCAGTGGACAGCTTTCTCTCCACGGCTGCTCCTCCACCAAAATAGCAGAATTGTGCCGCTCCTATCGACAAAACAATGCCGGAACACGAGGGCTCTCTCAGTCCAGAGGCAAAGGAGCAGAGAATGTCCTCGCCAGACGATTCCGAGAAGGAAACAGTAAGTCACAACTCCCGCCTTTTTCTCGGAGAGAAGATGCATCCCACTCTTCACCTACTACTAACTGCTTGCTAACCGCATCACCGATTTCACAGGAGGCCTTCGAAGATGCTGTTGACACGGGCTCGATTCGCTCCCTGACTAAACGAAAACCGTCCACTCCCCAGCAAAAAGCAAACCAGAGAGCAGAACAGGCAAATGTGAGAGCAGAGTCTGACGTGGAGGATGAGTCTCCAAAGCCTGTTGTGGAGGAGGGAAACCCAGACAGAGGAGAGCAGGAGCAAGAGGAAAAGAATAAGTCCACGCAGCGTTTATCTGCCACGTCGGCTGTATCTCTAGATAATGTCAGCCTGGACGACGACTCGGCCGCTGCTCAAAAAGGCAGGTCTACAGACTATCAAACAGCCAACGTAGCGAAAACTGCTAACTGGTCTTGCAGAGGACAAGAGTCCCTTGGAAAAAGAGGCGTCGAGAACGATTTCCTTGAGCAGCATCACCAACGCCCTGCCGTCGATGCCATGGTCCCCCCCAGCCACAAACGAACAACTCCCTAGAAGCCAAGTTGCCTCCCCACCCGTACTCGCTGCAGCACCACCGCCTCCAACAAGAAAGCTCACCAGTGCATTCTCGTGGTTGTCGAGGAATTCCACCAAGGACCCGACTGCAGTCTCTCCACCAGCAGCCATATCTCCGAGGAGGAATACGGCAAGCTCGATCGCAACTCTGACTAGTAATCCCGAGATGATGCTCAGCAAACTGGAAGAGGAGAGAGACGGGGATGCTGGCATAAATGGGATGAGAAACAGCCTGAAAGATCGATTCAAGTTGCTGCGGATGAGGGAGGAAGCAGGCCTCGCCATGCCGAACCCCGAAGACGACAAGACCGGCAGCACCATCGGCAGTTTGATAAGCAGGACGGGAACAGTTGGCCTTGGCATCCCCTCGAGCAGCTCCAGTGGAAACGACGAAAGGGAAGGGGGCCTGGCTATTCAACCCCCCTCATCACCCGTCCCTCCCAGCCCCAATCCTAACCTGGCGCCAGGGACAGCCTCGGGCTTCACTGCCGGGCCATCTGCTATGGCCGATGTGCCTGTGGACTGGGACCTCTGGCAGTCGGTTGTCTACGAGGGCCCTGCTGCCGTGGCACGTACGAGTGCCGAGGAGTTGAACAAGGCCATAGCAACTGGCATCCCCAATGCCATACGTGGGGTTATCTGGCAGGTGCTGGCCCAGAGCAAGAACGAGGAGTTGGAAGTGGTATACCGAGAGTTAGTTGCTAGAGGCACAGACAAGGAAAGGAAGCGGAATAGCAATGGCACGGCGAGCACAACCAGCAATGGCAACCTCAGCATCCAGAGGGAGCCCATGTCGTCGGCATCCTCAGTCCACTCGGACCAGGCCGGTGCAATTAATGGCAGTGGAACTCCCTCTCCCACCGAGAGGGACTCAGAGGCCGCCCTGAGGTTGCATACTACAGCAGCAGTGGAGCGGAAGCAGAAAGATAAAGAGGATGCTGCAATGCTGCAGAAGCTGGAGAAGGTCATTCGGAGAGATCTCGGCGCCCGGACCAGCTACTCCAAGTTTGCAGCGGCACAAGGGCTGCAAGACGGCTTGTTCGGTGTCTGCAAGGCCTATGCTCTGTTTGATGAGGGGGTTGGATATGCACAAGGGATGAACTTCCTCGTCATGCCCATCCTGTTCAACGTAGGTTGCCCTTGGGGGCCTGGCTTTGTGGCTTCTACATGATTCTCAATGGCTGACCCCTGTTTCTTAGATGCCCGAGGAGGAAGCTTTCTGTCTCCTGGTCAGGTTGATGAACCAGTATCAGCTGCGTGACCTCTTTATCCAGGACATGCCCGGCCTCCACAAGCACCTCTACCTATTTGAGCGGCTATTGGAAGACTTGGAACCCGCATTATACTGCCATCTCCACCGGCGAGGCATTTCTCCTCACCTGTATGCCACTCAGTGGTTCCTGACACTCTTCGCCTACCGCTTCCCGCTTCAGCTTGTACTCCGCATCTACGACCTAATCTTCTCCGAGGGTCTATCGGCGATTCTCCGGTTCGGCATCGTGCTCATGCAAAAGAACGCGGCTGCCCTTCTCACCATGTCGGACATGGCTCAACTCAGCACCTTCCTGAAGGACCGCCTTTTCGACGTGTACATCGATGCATCGCCCTCGTCGAACTCGATCCTGGAGAATGGGTTTTTCGGCAGCAGCTCATCTAGCATCGACAAGGAGGTCTATCGCGCCGATCAACTAGTGCGCGATGCCTGCGAGGTGAAGATCACCCCGGAGCTCCTGAAATCCTACACGGTAGAATGGGAGGAGAAGACAAGGGTAGAGAAGGAGCGGGAGGCCGAGATCCAAGAGCTCAGGTCTGCAAATACCGGCTTTGCCATCAAGGTCCGGCGGCTCGAGGAGCGCATCGAGGCTGTGGATCGTGAGCAGGCAGCCCTAGCCACCGAACTCGTGCACACCAAGGTGCAGAACGAGGAGCTCACGGACGAGAACGAGAGCCTCAAGGGCCAGGTGCGTGAGCTCAAAATCGTCATCGAAAAACAGCCGATGGAGATCGAGGAGACGTGGAAACTGGAGAGGGATGACCTCATGAAGCGGAATGAGAGAGTACACGAGGAGAATCAGAAGCTGGAGAAGGAGCTCTCGGAGCTGGAAGAGGAGTTGGTCCAGACCAAGATGCGTTATGCAGAGGTAAGCTCTCGGAAATACCCGGGGGAGGTTTGCTCGAGAATGAATCGCTAACAAACGTTGCGTAGATCAACTCCCAGCACGAGACGCTCACGCGGAGGTGGACTGACCTCAAGCGACAATTTGATTGATTCGCCGGGCCATGTTCCCTCCTCCGTTCCAAGAAAGAATATATGTATATTCTGTTGTGTCATATGCCCACCCTGTCTGACCATCTTCGCATTGTGGCAATTGTTTCTTTTCTCTCTTTCTCTTTTACCCCCCCCCCCCTTTTTTTGGCCCCCATCACCAAGACATTGGCCGGCGTTAGTTGAGAGCAACAGGGGCGGAGTAATGCCATGCCCGTTCCATCCCGGGCATGAGTTCGTGGTGTTTAATGAATGAAGATATCAAAACAGGGTTCGGCTCAGGCGCTAGCACGTTAAAAGGATTGTCTGTGTCTGTACAATTTAAACAATTCCAAATGTGCCTCCCCCGTTTTTTGTATACTTACGTCGCCCGGTGACGGCATTTCAACAACGGATCGTATGGGCAGGCTGCGGCCTATTGGAGATTTCAGAGGGATTTCCTAGCTAGGAAGTGAGGCATTTAGAGAGAAAGTTGTATGGGTTCGTGACTCCAGGAGAATGTAAGCGATCTCGACTCGACTGTCTGGATCGGCGTGGCTTCTCGCCCTGCACTGCCTTCGGTCTTTATTGACCTGGGCCTCTGCGGTTCCGGCGTTGGGGGCGGGTTTTGAGCCACCTCGGGCGAGGTCACTCTACTACTTTAGATGGAGGTCTGAGTAAGGACACAACATCGGTATGGCGGCCTGTTTTCTGTCAATGAGGCTTTTATTCAGCAGCCGGCAAGTCGCCCCGTGCAGATGACGGGCAATAACCTACCAAATGTGCTTGTAAAGTGGAGGGATGCGAGAAGGCGCCGCGGTCGTTCGACACCTCAAGGTTTGACGTCTCGGACCGTGTGTCTTGCGACTTTCGGCTTTTGCCAAAAGCGAAAGCCATCAGGAACTGGGTCCTCCTGATGAGTGGCGTGTCCTGCATAGCCTTTCTCGGTAGCTTGGGAAGGAAGGTGATTTTTACTCTACAAACAAAGGTCTCCCAGATACTGCTGTATTGCATCCTATTGGCACTGACGCGTGTGTGTATACTCTGGCTCGAGTTTGGGTATGTACAGGCAATGACCAGACGCTACTCTGCCTGAAAGAACGCCCAACAGTTGACCAGTCAGACTGGTGCAGGCGTCGTGGCAGTGCTGCCCATTAAGCCATCGTGACAATTCGAAGCTGCCGAAATCTGTCATGGTTATTGGACAATGGGAGAGCTAGAGGTACGGAGCCAGGCAGATCGCATATCCGACGCCAAGACCGGAACTCTTGGGGGCGGAAATCTGATATCAGGGCGGCGGAGAGATGACAGCCCGACAGCCGATAATGGCTGCAATCCGCCCAGCAGTTATCCTGGGCAGCCGGCGAGAAGATCCCAATGGGGCTATGTAAAAGTTGTTGGATGACCTTCCAGAAACCTTCTTCGACCCCGACATGCGTTCATGGAAAGAGGCACGTGAGTAGAGGATTACAATCCTGAGGCTATGCCAGGTCACACTCCAGACCAACGCGCGGAGCAACTAGATAGCTCGCGCTTTGAATGCTTGGCATGGACTTGGCAAGGCCGTAACATGGACAGGCGAATCAGGAATCCTGCTCAGACAGACCGGGGCGTATCTTCAACTGTGCCGTTTGTGATTGATTTGTGAGGAAAGAGCATCGCTGCAGTTGATGTCATTAAGACTGACCCAAACGGGAAAAGGGCGCAAAGAGGTGCCGTTTGTTTCGTCATTCTTTCGTTGATCCCGCAGCCATCAAGGGAATAAACGGTCAAATGGTGGGAGACAGCGATTGGCTGCCCCGCAAACGACCCGGCATCACATCCGTCCGTGGGCCATCCGTGGTATGGATGTCCATCGTAGGTACCTAGGTACAAGTACAAGTGCCTAGAGAAGATGGAATCCATGGATGCCTACAGGTAGGCAGGTAGGGAGGCCAAAGTTGCCCCAGCGCGGGAGCGAAGTCGGGTGAGGCTCGTAGGAACCCAATTTACGACCGCCGGCGATGAGGCAGTGATGGGCTGGGCAATTGGAGGAGGAAGCTAATGTTCGTTGCTTAGGTCCTTGACGCCGGCACCTGCGTGGCACTTTTGGGACTATACGAAGTACGGTACATGCCCGAACTACACCTTATTAGGTAATTAGGTAATTAGGTAGGCACCTAGCTCCGCCCACACACTGGGAGCCCCTGCTCCAAGGATTCCAAACACCCCTAGCTGCACGATGTCAGAGAACACGTCCCAACCGGGAATAAATACCCTCCATCACGCCCCTCTCCCACCATCAACTTCGCGACATCGCCTGACTGTGTTCTCCTTTATCCTCGACCTTAGAACGTATCCCATCCCCTCTTCGGCGCCCGCCCAGCTTTCACCATTCCATCCTCCACGCACCATCTACTCGAAATGGAGACCAATGACACGAGCTCTTCCAAGGGCAAGCAACATGATGTCGCAGGCCCCGGCACTGTTGGCTTCCGCCCTCAGGTCAACATGGCTGTCCAGCCTCCGAAAACAGATGATCTGCAGAAGAGCTACGCGGCCATTGTCACCAATGATGCTGATCCCAAGGGCTGGTACGGAAGCATGAGTAAGTCAATCGCGATGCGACGGCGCTGTTCATCTCCTGGTGGACTAACACGGTTCCCTCACTTCTAGTCAATGGCCTCGGCGCCATTATCGGAACCATGGGTGCCTTCCCCTGCTGCATCTGCTGCCCGAATCCGTACAAGGACGTTAACCAGGGCAATGTCGGCTTGGTGACCAAGTTTGGCAAATTCTACAAGGCCGTCGACCCCGGTCTTGTCAAGGTCAACCCTCTCAGCGAGCACCTGATCCAGGTCGACGTCAAGATCCAGATCGTCGAAGTGCCCAAGCAGGTCTGCATGACCAAGGACAACGTCACCGTAAACCTGACCTCCGTCATCTACTACCACATCGTGGCGCCCCACAAGGCTGCCTTCGGAATCACCAACGTGCGCCAGGCCCTCATCGAGCGCACCCAGACGACCCTCCGACACGTTGTGGGTGCCCGTGTCCTGCAAGATGTTATCGAGCGCCGGGAGGAGATTGCGCAGAGCATCGGGGAGATCATTGAGGATGTCGCCGCCGGCTGGGGTGTGCAGGTCGAGAGCATGCTCATCAAGGACATCATCTTCAGCCAGGAACTGCAGGAGTCGCTCTCCATGGCTGCCCAGAGCAAGCGTATCGGAGAGAGCAAGATCATTGCGGCCAAGGCCGAGGTACGAATCTTCCGTCTGACCCAGGCCTCTGGGATGACGCCCCCTTTTTTCCTTTCGCAATAGCTAACAACCTGCAACAGGTCGAATCCGCCAAGCTGATGCGCCAGGCAGCCGATATTCTGTCGTCGGCACCCGCCATGCAGATTCGCTACCTCGAAGCCATGCAAGCCATGGCCAAGAGCGCCAACAGCAAGGTCATCTTCCTGCCGGGCACCAGCAACTCCATGTCGTCGGGGTCGGCCTTCAACACAGCCGTGGCCAACAACAAGGCGTACGAGGGCGACACCACCATCGACCATTCTTTCGCCGACTTCGGAGGTCCGGACGCTAGTTTCCAACAGGCTCTGAACGCGCGCGTGGTCGAGAACATCTAATGTCTCTTCTCCCGCTGCCTTTTTTTCGATTGGAAAACGGGAAAAGCAGGCTAGTCGTGCCGACTTGCATTCTTTAGGTCGGCATCCGGCGAGAAACAGCCCCCTGGAGCTTGATTTGGCGGCACCCTTTCTTTGCGCTACGACTTGGTCGGAGCCGTCTCCTTAACTGTAATTTGTATTCATTGTGTGTGTGAAGCCTCGCTGCGGACGAACACCCCCAGGATCGACGTGAATTTGCGTTGGCCTTTCAAACGGATACCCCTGGATGGATAATGGAACACTGGAATTAGGCAGGAAGTCTGGGGATACCATATACCTCTGTTGTTATTGATAATGATACCACATCCGTTCGTTACGCCATGGCTGAGACGATGAATCTCCCCAATTGTTCCAGTGCAACAACCAACTGTCTCTTGATGCTTTGCATAGATGCGCTACTACAACAAGGGTATGTTTATCAGAGACATGCATCCAGCCCATGCCATTAATCCCCGAACCCTTCAAACTCGTCATCATCACCCTGCAGTGCCTTGGCCGCGTTATTCCTCCTCACCTCGCCGATCATCTCCTCCAGCTTCCTCCGCTCCTCCTTCTCCTGATCCGTCATCTTGCCCACCAGCTCGGCCTCCCTCTTCCGCCGCTTCTTCTCCCGCCTCGCGACCTTGACGTCCTCCCTCTCGTGCTTCCCGCTCCAGGCCTCGTTCTTCTTCCGCCCCGACGGCGTCCCGTCCCCGCCGTCGGCGGCCCGGCTCGCCTTGGCGGCCTTCCACTCGGCCAGCTCGGCCTGCCGCTTCCTCTCCCTGGTCTTGTCCTTGAACGGGATCTTCTCCGCGTCGATGCCCAGCCCCAGGGAGCGGTCGACGTCGAGCCCCCGCAGCTCGGGCATCTTGGGCAGCTCGAGCAGGCCGTAGCCCTCGGCCAGGTCGGCCCAGTCCAGGTCGGCCGTGCGGAAGATGCTCGAGGCCTGCTGCTCGATGAAGCTCCTGACCCACGACACGAAGGCGCGCTGCGCCATCTGGTAGACGTCCCTGTCGGCGCGCGCCTGCGCGCGCATGCTGGCCGCCGCGCGCTCGCACTCGCCGGCCGTCACGGCGACGGCGGGGCGCGTCAGCGGCGTCATGGGCGTCTGGCGCACCTCCAGGAACTGCACGTAGCCCTCCTCCCGGCCGGGGTGGAGGAACACCACCGCGAGGCCCTTGCGCCCCGCCCGGCCGGCCCGTCCGCACCGGTGGATGAAGTTTTTGGTGTGCGGGTCCATCTGGACGACGAGGTCCACCTGGGGGATGTCCAGGCCGCGGGCCGCCACGTCGGTGGTCAGCAGGACGGTCGGCGACGTGGAGCTGAGGAACCGGGCAAAGTTACGCTCCCTGGCCTGCGGCTCGAGCTTGCCGTGGAGCGCGATCAGGGAGAAGCCCTTTGGGAGGATGGACGGGAGCACGCGGCTGAAGTATTTCACCGCGAAGCAGGTCGAGAGGAAGACGAGCGTGCGCTGTGGCCTGGGCTCCAGCTTCTCGAGAATCTGGCACAGGGCGGGGATCTTCTCGCTGGCCTTGGTTACCTGGTACTTGATTTCTAGACTGGCCGGGGTTTTCTTGTCGACGATATCGCCATCCTTCAGACTCTTGACCCGGACCGTTATCTTGTGGGGATAGAGCAGACCAACCCGGATGATCTCCTGGACGGCGTCGTTGACGCTGGCGGAAAAGAGGCCTGTCCTTCTCGTTTTCGGGAGGAAGCCGAGGATTCGGGATAAGGGGTCGTGAAAGCCCATGTCCAGCAATCTGTCGGCTTCGTCGAGAACCAAGCACTCGAAGAAGGTCGAGGGTGTCTTCACGTGAGGCGAGGAGAGGAGCTCCGCCAACCGCCCCGGCGTCCCAACCAGGAGGTTAGGAGACAATCGCAGGAAGCCTCGGAGGTCCTCTGCAGCCTTGACGGTGCCGCCGACGCAGAGCTGAGGCACGACAACGCGGCCGGCCGTATCTGGACGCCTATCGTCGCTCTGTATGTAGGGGAGGAACTCTGCCGAGTCCTGGTGGAAGGCGAGCAAGTCGAGAAGCACCTTGAATATCTGCGCCGCCAATTCGCGCGTCGGGGAGATGATAATTGCTTTGACATGGTTCCGCTTGGCGGATTCATCGGCTCGCAGCAGGCGCTCAATGACCGGAATAAGATATGCGACCGTCTTCCCGCTTCCAGTAACAGCCTCGACAACGACGTCCTTGTTCCCGCGGAAGAAATCGAAGGTTGCTTTTTGGACTGGAGTGGCCTGTGTGTAGCCCATTGACGATACTGCGTCCAGAATCCACTCCGCCAGGGGCGGAGTAAGAGCATCCCATGCACGGGGGAGCTTCTTGCTAGCCACTTTTTCTTCAGCCATCATGTCGCGGCCCTTCTTGTCAAGCACTGAGGTCAGGAGCCAGGACTTTTGAGGGGTCACCGAATTCGATCGCAAGTGTGTCTCCCAAAATTTTGGTGTGTTATCTTATCAGCTTATCGATAATATTAGACCACATGCGTTCGAAAGATTGGCGCATGCACGGTCCACGAGATCTTCTCAGCTTGATCAGGTGTCGATACTCAAGTCATTAGGTTGTTTGCCACCAAGCCTAGGGGTGGTATTTTGGGGCCACAATTCTTGTAGTTCTTCAGCGGTGACACTTACTAAACTCTCAAGATCAAGTTGGTTTCGAGCCTCAGTAGCAAGACTCTGGCTCGTTGGTGAACTCCAGTTTCTTTGGAAGTTGACCCCCAAAAATACAAGCCTCGGCATCTCCGGAAGGTGCACTGCCTGTCAGCCGCCTGATCGCGTCCTCGGGCTCCTGACCCCTGTTGCGACCCCGAAATTTTTCATTTCCGCGTGTTTCTTTCTGCTCACTCTGGCTCCCTCCGTGCCTTATAATTTGACGACGCACTCTGCCTGGCAGCCATCACACCAATAGAAAACGGGGTGCTCACATCAGCCCGTTGGATGTTTCGGTGGAAAAGGAAACCGCCGTCATTCCTCGAACTCAAACCCCAAAACCTCAACCACATCATGCGGTGGAGTCAAGCTCTACCGCACCAACCTTCATCACCCTGGATTCGATAGTCGCAGAAGCTGCCCTCTTCCACCGCCAGCAACCCCAGACGGGCACTGCCGCTTCTGCCGCGACAACGCGCGAGTCCAGGAAAGATAAACATCTCCACTCCCACTTCTGGCCTGCCCAGTTTTACAACATCAACCGACTCGTCACAGGCCTCGTCGCCCTTCCAGCGCTCCCGCCGTTCCCCTACAACATGTCGTTCCGCGGGAAGTCCGCCGTCCCGGCCACTCCGCGCGTCATCTCTCCCAGTCCGACGCCGTCCGAACAGGAAGCGGGTTCCTCGCAAGATGCGACTTTTGGGGCGGTGACGAGATCCGCCGCAAGGAAGCGGCTGGCCACACCACAGCCCGTCCTGGAGGATCTGGACGAGGACAGCCTTGACGATAGTCCCGATCTGCGGAGGGCTCGGACACGGAGCCGGAGCCCCATCGATTCTCGGAGAATCCCTCCTCTGACATCGAGCAAGTCTAGGAAGGCGGAGAAGAAGGTTGTCAAGAAGGCTGTTGCTACCGTTCCGAACGGCATCCCTGTCCCCGAGAACGGGTACCTCTCTCCGACGTCAGCGACAGGATTCTGGAGCTGGAGGGACTTCAGTCGAAGCCCGAGTCCTCTGGGCCTGATACCGATTCACAGGCACTGGCGCACGTTTGTCCACAAACATGAGGTGCCGAGGAAGGTGCTGCATGTGTCCATCGGATTCTTCGTCATCTGGCTGTATCTCTCGGGGACCCAGACTCGAGCGGTATGCCCTTATCTGATGGGGGCGCTGATCCCCATCGCGGCCGTCGACGTTGCGCGCCACAACTACGAGCCATTCAACCGCTTCTACGTCAAGGTGCTGGGCGCACTGATGCGCGAGAGCGAGTTTGCCGGCTACAACGGCGTCATCTTCTACCTGCTCGGGGCCTGGATCGTCCTGTACTTCTTCCCCAAGGACGTCGGCGTCATGGGCACGATGCTCCTCAGCTGGTGCGACACGGCCGCCAGCACGTTCGGCAGGCTCTATGGCCGCTACACGCCCCGCATCAGGCGGGGCAAGTCCCTGGCCGGGTCCTTCGCCGCCTTCGTCGTGGGCGTCTCGACGGCCAGCTGGTTCTGGGGCTGGCTTGCCCCCTCCGTGGGCCCAATGCCAGGCGACGATGGGTTCATGTTCACCGGCGTCCTCCGCCTCCCGCATGTGGTCTCCGAAGTTCTGGGCTTGACAGACAGCCAATCCGCGATTTCGGGCGGCCTAGCGCTTGGGGTCATGAGCCTTTGGTCCGGCTTCGTGGCCGCAGCCAGCGAGGTTGTTGATGTGTTTGGATGGGACGACAACTTTACGATACCAGTTCTCAGTGGGCTTGGTATCTGGGGGTTCTTGAAGGTCTTCGGCTAGGGCATACTCCCAACGATGGTAATAAACGGTTTTGCCGAGCTTATGATGACTCGCACCGCTTTGTACACTGGGCTAACTATATGCATGGTTGGCGTTTTGGGAGCGGACTGGGGGCGGACTGGGGTGGCCCTGGATGCACGAAATAATAGCTGGCAGATGCTGGACGATGGGCCCGGTGAAATTATCTTATGTCGATTGTATATCATCATCTCTCTCCATTCTCACGACTTCACTCCGCGACCTAGTGTTTCAAACGGGGTTCTACGAGTCAACCAGTCGTCTTGTCCCAACGCCCCCTGTCGGTGACTACGTGCTCGAACCCCTGCTCCGAGGACAGCGAGTGTGCATCTGCGGATCTAGAAGCATTCAAAGTGGAAAGGAGGGGTCTTGTGAGAAGACATGGGACATGGGGGCCGGCAATACATGGGCCAGGCTGATCATGACGTTGGTTGTCAATCGCCTGGGGGGTATGTCGTGCATCTCACATCGATCAGGCTCCCGTCTCGGCACAAACAGGGAACTTTTTTTTCCCTACTTACTACCTATCTATGTAGACGGGATTAACTCCTCGACATCCACATCTCAAACCCCCGCCATCCAGGCCGCCAGTCAGGCAGGCCATCCATCCGATTGATTGTTCGATCCCACCGACTGCCCTTGCCCGGAATGGAAGGGCGCAGCGGGAGGAGCAGGCAGTAAAATCAAAACGGTCAACGAAGAAGCGGTTCGAATTGTACTGTAATACCCCGCCACCCCTAGAGCGAATTAGGAATCTGTATGCCCATAAGTACATATATACATCCATCGCTGGGCATTGGCCTCTCAGAAGGCAGACTCCATGTTCGGCTATGCCCCATTCCATCCTACCTATAGAAACGTGCCCAGTCATCAGTTGGTGGCGCATGTTGTATCCACACAAGTTTTTGGCTGGTCGCCATTCACTTCTCCATCTCCCCTTTGATCGACCCGCAAGTGCCTCTCGCAAGTGCCCCATGTACCTCTATGGGAGAGGACGAGGATGGCGATGCGTTGTCTCATCGCTTCCCCAGCTTGCATGCTTGCGAACCCCTTTTTGAATACCCTTGTCACCTGTGTGGACATGAGTCGTGAGCTGCACGCGGACTATGTTGGTATCAGAGGTTCAAACCCCAAAAGACAGGAAGCTAGTTCCTGGCAGTTATCGACTCGGGTCTAAAATTCCGGCTCTGTTTGGGCAATGGTCAAACGCGGCCGAGCCCTGGGACGACTATTTTAGTTCGCAGAGAAGTGCGCCCTCCAACTTCCTCGCATGTCCTACAGGTCATGACCCTTCGCCCCCGCCGTGTGACGGAAAGTGACGGGCCTGTTCGTTCGTGATATCGTCTGCCTTGTGGGGAGGGCCTTGTATGGGGAGTAGGTTCATTGGGCGTGGCTATACAGTACTTGCTTAGCGGTGGAACAATGATCAATATTCACGTTACCTTTACCAGCGTCAACCCTACCCACAGGCCGCTAGCAGGATGTGGAACATCATAGCCAATGGCCGTTGAGGGCAGTTCAGCAGGCAGACGGCACCATTTTTGTTCAGATACCCCCTTCCCGGCAAGCTCGAAAGGATGTGGAAAGTGGACGTCCTTGATCGGAATGGATAATCGATATCCATGCAACCCATGACCCGCACCCGCACATTCTGTCCGGCTGCCTCCCAACGGCCAAGAGAACGCCGGCCGAGCTTAGGTTACCCTGTATCCGTACATGTACCATACATGCTCGACGGAGCCTCGCAAGGTAGGTAGGAAAGGGGGGTATATATTGCTACCACGGGCTCTCGCACCTGGCTTATAACACCACCAGATATTTACCCATAACAAGTAGTGATGTGTCCTGCGTCGGCTGCATGTGCTGTACCATTATCCTCGCCTCACATCATCCGAATCCGAAGTCGACGACTTCCATGATTGCTGTCTCTCTCCCGGCTCTTCTCAATCGCCCCCATAGCCCATATCTACCTACCCCTCCTCCACCCTCCACCCTGTCAACGTTTGCCCCTCCAAAAAATAATAATTCCCTGCTCCTTTCCCCCAATCCCAAAACTCTGAATTTCTAGCCAATGGAAATTCAAGAAACTGGGATTTATTAAGCCGACGGTTTGCAAGGTTCCAGACAATTTTCAGCGAACAGTTTTGGGCATCAAGAGGCGCACGGGCTGCCGTTCTGCTGGGTTGGGGGTGGCTTTAGAATGGAACGTCGTCAGAACTTCGATAATTAAAAGATGCAGGACGAGGGCTTAAAATATAAAATACAAAATACAAAAAATGTCCCTCCTTTAAATCCATGCTGACAACACATCATCACACACAATCTGCCCGACCCGCTGCACTTCTGCCTGACCTTACATTTCTTCAACGTCTGCTCTGCTTTGACGTCCACATCCATCTCGTCCGAGCCAACGAAATTGCACCATCAAACAGGAAAATCCAATGCTGCTTTGAACTCTGTTTTAGCGTCAGCGCGCTTGTTCGTCACCAAGGTTGTCTAGGCCCCGGTACTTTTTCGATTTTGCCTAGGCGTGTGCCTGCCATGGCTTCTTGCTGGCTAGCCTGTGTCCTCATCCCGTACCAACCATACCAACTTTGCCCGATCCATAGACGGCTTCCGTTTCCATCTTGCCGCTGTATTGTCCTCGCGCTTTTCTTGTCGGTCCAGCCCGTCATACAACGACGAATCCGAATCTAACCTGAACCTCTCCTCCCACTCCCACTCCCCCCTAGTCCAGCTCAGTCTTTAGGCCCATTGCGCACACCCCCCCCTCAACCCCACGGTTTTCTGCTTCACTTCCGGTTCGACGACTACTGCCGTCGAGCCTACGGTTCTACGACCTCGCGTCTGCGTTATTTGCCCCCCTTTGCCTTGGTTCCTGCCCCATCGCCCACACATGTCTCTTGCTGGTTTAAACAGATCCTTTCCCCCCTACGGCCCTCCACCGGCCCCTCTCCACCAATACAAACCGTGATAGTCGCCTCTCGGCATATGCAGACCTCCCTCTTATTCCTTTCTCTGATCAATGGAAACTCGCCTGTAGACCAATCCGAGCCCTCCCTCACTTCGCTTTTTGTCTCCAGGGATCACCCCATCAGCCATGCCATCCGTCCTTCCCGTTGGCCGTACCCCCCAGCGGCAGGGAAACGGCCGAGATGGCTGGCACTAGAGATGGCTAGATCACCATCGTATCCAACACGCCCATCGTCATCCTATCTCCTCCCAACCTTGAGCGGGGTCGTCGAGATGCTCGACGAATAGATTCACCATGTCTTATCCTCCTCCAGCTCGTGATTCCGGCTCGTCACCGGCCGGAGAGTCGCAGGAAAAGTATAAAAGGGGTCGTCCTTGACCGGCTCTCTTCTGCTTTCTCTTCCTCCTTTCTCATCACTTCTTCTCCTCTCCAGGCATCCCATCCACAGCTTCCAGTCACACATAGTTGGCCCCAGCCAAGTATCTTACATACCCACATACACAAACACAAGCGTCACCCACCCATCCACTCACCCACACGCATACACACACACGCACACATACTCATACACACACCCAACCCCTCGGCCATATCCAAGCACACACGGTCCAGTGCCCACATCACCCAAACCACCGCTCCACACGTCCCACACATTTCGTTTGAATCTACATTCAAGCCACCGTCTAGTCCGACCTTCCAATAAATCACAATGTCGTCGCCATACTCTGAGTACTACCCCAGCACCGGCGCCCTGCCGATGCCCGTCCCTGCCGGCAAGGGCCAGTATCCGGAGTACTATCAGAGCCGCGAGAGCACCTACTCCGTGTCACCCCCGGAAGGAGATGCCTCCATCAGTTCCGGATCCAATATGCTACCGTCGTACAGCAACGGCTACACTGCGACCACTTCCAGCTACGCCGGGAGCAGCCACGGCGATTACGACAGCGCCGCCTCTGCCAGCGGAGTTGACTTTAACGAGTACATGCAAGATCGCTTCGCGGGCACCTTCAACCCCCTTCCCCTGGACAAGTGCATGGCCGTGCAAGCGCAGACGTGAGTTTCTCCCCCCCACTGCTTCCCACCAATCTGGATTGCAGTTGCGGGCTTGCGTGAGCGAGCCACAAAAACTGCAATCTGCGAGGAATCTGAATTTCGTTTCTGAGATTGGCTTGCTAACCATCTTTCCAAATTCTGCAGATCTGGACATCTCAACGCCAAGCAGCGTGAGCTCATGGAACTGCAGGCGAAGGCGCAGGCACGCCTTGCAAAGTCCCGCGCCCGCTTCGCCGAGGGCCTTCAGGATGCTCGCGAGGTGCGCGCCGATCTCGAATGGACGCAGAAGAAAGTCTCGTAAGTACCCCCTCCAATGTCTCTATTTGCGATTATTGAAATCTCGACATCTTGCGTTCTTCGCAAGCGCCGAGATTTCTCGCAAAAACGGCGGAGCTACGCAATTAACGAGGGCAAAGAGGCTGACGGTGATTGAACAGATCGTTGAAGTCAAAGGCGTCAAAAAAGCACTCCAAGGAGTACAGCAAGGCGCGCGCAAGGTATCCATCTCCGGAATACTGATTCCGAGGCTCACTTTCGCAACCACAACCCCCCTTTCACCATTTTTACGTTTGTTACGCCGTTTCCTGGACACTCCTGGCCACCTCATAAACAGGCGCATACGGTACATATTCCCAAAATCATTTTCGGAGCCCTGCCACGGCGCGGGAAGCGAAGCCTCGAACAAGAGGTGACGTTGAGGCGAGGCGCGGCAATTAGGCGCCGATTCTCTCGCTGCTTTACGGCGGGGACTGCAGCATGCAGCGTTTTCCCATCTCCACGCCCCCTCCCTCCCAGGCGGCGCTTGCGACCGCCGTGGGGGGTGTGGGCGGCTGTTTCACGACGTTATGACTTATGATTGGATGATCCGGGACAATCTGGAGGCCCAGCGTTATTAAAAAAAGTACAGTACACCCACCACCCTTTTCCCTGCATGTTCGAGACGAGGCGGACAGCGAGCAAGCGCCAGGGCTGCAGTAGCGGAGGGTGGGAACTAGCCAGTCCCGCCCGGGCAGGGGGGGTGGTGTAGGAGCAGCTGGTTTCTTGGGACGAAAACAGAACCAAGACTGGCTAGTGGCAGCAGCCACGGGCAGGCCAGGATGGCACACATGTTTCCTTTGGCGTGGACCTGGACAAGGGAGGCTTTTCCTCTTTAGGACCGAAGAATATTGCCTGTTCTGGAAATGGGAGGGACAAAAGTCCTGTGGGTCGGTATTTTCCTTCGCCCGTCGAAGGCCTCGGGCGTTTATGGGATCTCATTGGGTCGGCTTCATGGGCAGGGCGCCATCTCTCAGTTCGTAGTAGTACCACGGAATATAAGCTCTCGTCTTCCGACCGCTGTGACCCGTCCGCTGACGTGAGGTGCCCCTACAGTGTCCTCCTGCCCGACCGTAACAAGCCCCCCCCCCGCTGAAGACCCTCCAGACAGGCTGCAAAACGACAACCGAGTGCCTCCTCACCCGTCGTATCATGTGATGAGTCGTGATGCCCAACCAGGCTGGGACCCGATGGGACCCCCTGTGTGGTCACGTGATCTCCCCCTGAATCCTCTGGGCCCAAGGGATACCCTGGGCTGGCGAATGCCAGATGGGCAATCAGCAGAGTCCAACAGCCATGTACCGCTCTGACGTCGCGTGGGGAGCGCGCTCGGTCTCGTCGGCCATCCATCCATCCATCCTAGGCCAGGCGTTCGTTACCCAGATCTCACCCCCCCACCCCGCCGGTCCAACCACGAGCCGACGGGCTCCAAACCCTTGACCGCCTCCAGTCTCCCCCACGGATTCTCATTGCTGCTCGGGTCGTAGTAGTCGACCGACCAGTCCGGGTTGCGCACGCCACCGCCCCTCCCGCCCCCGCCCCCGCCGCCGCCACCGCGGCCTCTCCATCCTCCCCGGGCCGGTTCCTGGTCGCGTCCGGGCAGCAGTCCCCGGGCCTGGCCATGCGCGCTGGCGCCGCCGGCCTCGGCGTCTAGCGGCGCAGGCGCAGGCGGCCTCGACGTATCGATATACTGTGGGCTCCCGCCATCGTCCTTTTCGTCGTCTTCGCCACCATCGCCCCCATCGCCGCCAGCGGGCTCGTCATCGTCATCGTCGTCGCCCTCGCCAAGGCCAATCTCATCGGCGTTCCCACCCTCAGCAGCAGCAGCCGCTCCAGGGGCGCCGCCGCCGCCGCCGCGACCGCGACGGGCCGGACGGGGATGGAGCGGCAGGCCGTTGGCGGCGGTGCCCGGGGTGAAGGAGGCGGGAGTTGGAGCGGGAGGCTTCGGCGGGAGCGACGGGGGCGCGGGGCCGAGGCCGAGGCCGGATGTCGTGGTGGTGGCAGCGACGGCGGCGTCGGCGCGCGGGTTGAAGCGGCGCTTCTTGGAGGGGCGGGCCTGGGCGCCGAAGCTGGTGAAGCCCATCGCTGCGGCGAGGGCGGCCGAGTCGGCGTCGATGTCGACGTCGACATCTGGGTCGGCGGCTGGGGGGGAGTCGCCCATTTTTTTATTTTTATTTTTTGGGGGGGGGAGGTTACGGCGCGCGGGGTTGGCGGTGTTTGGGATAGATGGTGGGCGAGGCGAGAGGATCGGAGTTGGGGGTTGGAGGGATAGAGCAAGGATTGAGGTGTCAGTGGGCAACGGAAATTATTTTGCTCTCAGGGCTCGAGTCTCTAGTCAGCACGGAAGTCCGCGCCAAAGCATCTAGTTTTCGAGCAGAAAACCACAGGCTCGGATGAAGAGCTGGAATTGGTTGCTCCGCGGAACCAAAGTTTGTATGCAGGGTCAATAACAGCCTTTCAGCCTCGTGAGGAGTTGACTTTCCTCGATGCAGCTACAGAGCACATGCCTAAGAAAAAGCACAGACCCTCCAGTACTCCAAAATCTCGAATTTATGCTGCATCATCGAGAACTAGCCCCCTGTAAGCCTCCTGCAAGCTCAGCCTGACAACCATACAAAAATGCCACTGTAAGTTCCTCAACAGAACCTTTCCTCTCCTCAGCTCTTGACCCCCCACCAACTAACCCCATTCTCCCAAAGCCACCTCCTTGGCAAGAAGTCCTGGAACGTCTACAATGCCGCCAACATCGAGCGCGTGCGCCGCGACGAGGCCGCCGCCGCCGCCCGCGAGGCCGCCGAGGAGCAGCGCATGCAGGAGGACGACGCCGCCCGCCGCCTAGCCATACTGCGGGGCGAGGAACCGCCACCACCGCCGCCGCCGCCGCCACGGCCGGAACCCGAATCATCATCCCGACGCCCCCCGGAACACATCGCGGGCGAGCGGCCCGAGCGGCGCAAGCGCAAGCGGGCCGGCGAGGACGACACCGATTTCGAGATGCGGGTGGCGACGGAGCAGCAGCGGACGCCTGCTGCTGCTGCCGCGGGAGGTGAGGCGCTTTCGCGCCTGCTGCCGGGCCCGGCCGCTGGTGCGGCGGTGTCGCTCGTCGACGAGAGGGGCCACGTCGCGCTGTTCGCGCCGCCGCCGCTCGACGAGCGCGCGGAGCGGGATGGCGGCAAGAAGCGCGAGCGCGAGCGCGAGGACCAGAGCCAGGGCGGGATGCGCTTCTCCGACGCGGCGGGGAGGGGAGGCGCGGGGCTTGTTGTGGGCGGGGCGGGGCCGTGGTATGCCCAGGCGGGAGGCGATGGTTCGGCCTTGGGGGCCGAAGCGCCGTCGAAGGATGTCTGGGGTAATGAAGACCCGAGGCGGAGGATGAGGGAGGCGGCTCGGCTGGACGCGAGCGACCCGTTGGCAATGATGAAGAGGGGCGCCGCGAAAGTGCGGGAGCTGGGGAAGGAGCGGAGTCGGGAGGCGAAGGAGCGGGAGCGGGAACTGAGGCAGCTCCGGAAGGAGGAGAGGCGGCGGGAGAGGCGGAGGAGGAGGGAGGGGAGGGATCGTGACGACGTAGACGATCTCGAGGGTTTCAGCCTGGATGGCCCGAGCCCAGGTCGGACGGAGAGGCGGCATCGTAGCAGTCATCATCGGGAAGGAAGACGCCGGTCTGAGAAGGACAGCCGTTTAGACGATAAGGGGCATCGTCCTTCTCGCAGGACGGAGGATGGCAGATCTAGAGATAGATCCCGCCACTCTCGGCATTCTCAACCATGAGAACTGCTCGTAGTCATTATTTTTCATTCGTACTCGGAATATTATATGATACCCCTTCTACATAAACAAGCCCAATCATACAGCCTACAGCCTAGCCCAATTTCACCTGCCCTTCCACGGTAAACTTATCTCCACGGGCCGCATATCCTTCTCGCACATCCGGGCAACGGGCTTGGCGTCAAGGCCCTTCAGCGCCGCCAGAACCTCCCGCACCGTCTCCTCGCTCCCTCCCTCCGCCCGGTCGCTGTAGATGTCGACGCCCTCCTTGGTGAACAGCGTCGGCGCGAACCAGGTGACGACCCACCTCTCCACGGCCCCCTCGCCGCCGCCGGGCAGCGGCCTCTCCCCCCACCCCAGCACCTCCCACCGGCTGCTGACGAAGAACAGCCAGCCCCTGCCCCTCCAGTCCCAGACCCCCGTGCCCGAGGCGGCAGCAGTGTCCACGCCGTCAACGGTCTTGACGCCGCCTTTGCCGCCTGCGGACTCGTACTCGACCAGGTCGTTGATGCGCGCGGCGCCGTCGGACTCGCGCGGCGGGTGCGGAGAGTAGGTGATGCGCACGTTGCGGGCCGAGCGCCACATGGCGAGGGTGGAGTGGGTGACGGTCCAGGTGCGGTGTAGCCAGGTGAGTGGCGGGGAGGCGGAGGCAGAGGTGTCGGGGGATGTGGTCGCGTATTTGGAGGGGGAATGGAGGGTGATTGTTGCGGGCGGTGTGGGGGTTGGGGCTGAGGTTGACATTGCTGCTTGCTTGAGAACTGGTAGTGTTGGGTAGAGGACGCCGTGAGACGATGAGATTGAATTGCAGCCCTTGATTATGATACTTCTCTCCTGTGGGTAGACATATGATATGAAGTTCAGAACTGGAGTTGTTTGTGAGGTTGGGTTGCAGTTGAACCTCTGTACTTGGCAGGGGTTGGAACGGTGTTACAGATCACAGCAGCCCGCCCTGTCCGTGAACAAGAAACAAGGCTGTCCCATGGCCAAGTCAAAGCCTCGCAGCAGCTATCGGTGACTTCTTTAATCCCAGATTCTCAATTGCCTAAGATCGGGGAGGATGTATACATCCGTAGCAAGTGGTGCTTTATCAGTCAATCAACGCTGCGATACCAGATAGTGACGTAGGTTGTCTCTCTGACAGGCGCGTGCTAACGAACCGCAGAAACAATTTGACAGTCCATGCCAAGCAATGACTCGGGCAACAATCACAAGGTTCTGCACAAGGTTCTGGCAGGCGAAACAATCCTTGGTACCCAGCAGTGGCTGTTCGGCCGATTCTCGTCTTGACGGATCTTCTATTCCCTATGGGAAATCTAACAACGGATCCTCGAAGAAGCGATGATGCTTCAACCACAAGGAGGTCCCAATCCCAAGTCCATGACGATCATCCCTCTTCCTCGGCCTTCGAGCCGGAAACCTTTTAGGCGGTATCCTTCAAGTCGAGTGGTTTGAAGGCATCCTTGATGGCGACAGCCTGCTCCTCGAGCTTGTCGATGCGATTCTTCAGTTCGCCAACTCCTTCCTCCGCGTCGAGTTCCTCATCGTGGATCCCCAGCTTGAGATCCTCGCAACCCTCGCCAAGCTTCTTGATGTCCTTGGCCAGTTTGTCGACCTGGCTCTTCAGCTTGAGGAGCATGGCAGCCGACTCAGCAGAGGCGTCGGCGTCGCGGGCCGCCTGGAGATGACCAATCTGGAAGTCGCGGTGCCCAGCCAGATGCATCAGTGTGCCCTCAACTGCGCCCTGGACCATGAGAGCGGTTTGGTGGTCGATGACGTTCACCGAGTAGTCGATCGAGTAGGGTGGTTGCTGGTAGGCCAGGGGATACTGGTAGGCCAGGGGATACTGGTAGGCTAGGGGATACTGGTAGGCCAGGGGATACTGGTAGACAGCTGGACCCGGGAATGGACCCGGGAATGGACCGGGGAATGGGCCTGGGCCGGGGGGAGGCATAGCCATTCCCTGTCCCTGCTGTGCAAACGGTGGCACGGCAGGCCCAGCAGCTGGAGTGGCTCCTGTGTCAGCGGTGAATTTAGGGGCAGCTCTGGGAATGTTACGGTTATTGCGCTTCGTACCACGCTGTGTACCCTCTTGGGGCTCCTCGGATTCCGCAGGGTGCTTCATGGGGCGACTGGGCCCGGGCGTAGCAAAGTAGGCTTCTCTCTCTGTCAGTGGTCGGCCACGGACCGGACGGGAGGGGCGGCCGGGTTTGCCAGGGATCGCAGATTTGCCTTTCAACACGACCTCGTCATCGCTGGAAGTAATCTGCTCAACTGCAGCGATGGTGGCTTCCACAATAGCAGGCATAGTCGCCGGGGCCTGCGACGATGCTCCTGGCTGGGGCGCAGCCCCTTCGCCGTCGTTCGGAGGGAGAGACGTGTCCATACTTTCAACCTGATACTTAAGCGATTTAGGGAGGGGATTGGAGCGAGAATGGAACGAGGACTGGAGAAAAACTGAGTTGTCAGCGAGGAACTCTACAGAATCTGGCGCGTCGACGCGTCTCTTTTCTCTTGGGTCACCAGTTACGCGATAAACGCAGCAGGGGGATCATGATGTATGAAGGGAAGCCAGAGTCAGGGGGCAGATGAGATGGGGGTGACCTTACCTGCAGCGGCGATGATACGTCCGGGCTTCAGCTCGCGGTAGCGAAATTATGGAGGTGGCAGGGAGCGCGGAGAGATAAAGGAAACAACCCGTTGAAGTCGAGAAGAGGCTAGGTAGAGGATGTTAAGGATGGACTTTTTTTCAGGTTAGCGAGGAGGATGAGAGAGGGTGTTTGGGTGGGAGAAGATGGAACCTCCGTTGGGCTGAGGGTTCGGAGAGGAAGGTCGAGGTGGGTTGTTTTGATGTGTTCTGGGGAGAGGATGGCCAGGGACGCGGTCTGCTTTTCAAGGGGAAGTAGATGGAGGTTAGCTCCCCGGTTGCCGGGGTGAGGAGTTGACTTTCATCTCACCTTGGGCCTGCTCTTCGATTTTCGGGGGAGCCCCCTTATCCTCAGGGCGCACCGTCGATCTCTCAGGGCAATCACTCCCGCACACCACAGTCATCCCCTATAACCTATCTGGCCTACTGCTGAGGCTCGTGAAATGGCCGACGAAGACGAAGGTTTATCTCCTACCCGAGTGTTGGCAAGGCAAAGGAGTGTGTTATTCAGGATGGATCTTCACGTAGAAGGGCTGTATATTGTGCCCAGTGATGGACATGCTAGGCAGGAAGACTTGCAGACATTGTAAACCATCCTAGCCCACGGTTTCTAAACCTTGCTGCTTACATAGGGAAACTCGGACGGGTAGCCCAGGTTATTTACTTCATAGAGTAAAACTACGCGTTACTATCACGACCTTCCCTTTCCAGTTTTAGTCACGATCTAACCTTTCATAGGTACCATGGGAACAGTCTTGGGTTCACTCCTCTCCAAACCGAAGCGAGGGGAAACGGCAACGGAGGTAATTAACAATAAGGAGCATAGTAGATAGGGACCTGCATTATTCGCCCATTAAGATGGGAAGATAGACAATTACATCTAGAAGCCATGAAGCCAAAACCCCCAATTTGCACCACACTGTCCATATGTACAGGATATTCAAAAATAAATACAGGGATACGCAAGCTGCCAACGCCTAAGCGTGGAGCGGGCGAATCAGCGGACCATAGACTTGCCAATCTCGCTCTCCCAATCCTTCGCCCTCTCGAACCCGTTCGAATGCGACCTGTAGTCCTCCAGGGCCTGGTAGACCTCCTCCTTGGAGTTCAGCACAAACGGACCATACTGCACGACCTCCTGGTCGAGCGGCGTGCCGGCGACGAGGACGAACCGGGCGCTCCCCGCGGCACCGGCGTCCACCTCGGCGTGGACGACCTCCCCCTTAGGCTCGAACACGACGTTGTGGTACTGGTCGACGGCGGTCTGGTTCCCGGCCTTCCCGAACAGCGTCTGGCCGTCGAGCGTGTACGCGAACGCGCTCCACCCCTCGGGCAGCGGCTGGACGATCTTGCCGCCGGGCTTGATCTCGACGTCGAGGATCCAGACGGGCGTGTAGGCCAGGTCCTGGACGCTGTCGACGCCGTGGCTCTGGCCCGAGATGACCTTGACGTGGACCCTGCCGTCGTCGACGTCGACGGACGGGATCTCGGCCGCCCGCAGGTCGCGGTACCTCGGCTCGCACTTCTTCAGCGCCTGCGGCAGGTCGACCCAGAGCTGCAGGCCGACGTTGGCGCTGCCGTCCGGGTTCTGGCGCGGCATCTCGGCGTGCATGATGCCCCGCCCCGCCGTCATGAACTGCAGGTCGCCGGCCTCGATGGTGCCCTTGTTGCCCGCGAAGTCCTCGTGGTCCACGCCGCCCGTCAGCAGGTACGTGATGGTCTCCTGGCCGCGGTGCGGGTGGTCCGGGAACCCAGCGCCGGGCTTGATGCTGAAGTGATCGAGCATCAGGAAGGGGCTGAAGTTGCGGAGCTGCGGCGTGCCGATCGAGCGGCGCACGCGCGCCCCCGCTCCCTCGGCTTGCTCAACAGCAAGGAAGACCTTGCGGATCGCGCGAGGGATGGACATGTTGGTTGCCGTGAGGTGGGTGTTTGGCGGGAGGTCGAGGACGGAGCTTTGAAGCTGTGGTGTGTCTTTTGCGCCCGTGTCCGTTGTGGTTGATATCGCAGGAGTGTTCCTGATCTTGTTCAGTAGAATCGAGGCTGTGTAGCTTGTAAGGTCTGTTATGCGCTCTCGGAGTAGGACGATGGAAGCAATTCCAATGATGATGGAGATCAGAAGCGAGAGGGACTTCATTGGAAACAGGAGACAGGTCGGGTATTTATGCTGGGAGAGCAGTCCGCAAGAGGGTCTGGGGCGCTCGAGGATAGAAATAGGGCGAACATATTCGTAGCTTACAGGCGGTTGCTCGCCATCAAGAGTCTTACGGTAATCAGGACTGCCCCGCAACCGCCCCTTCAGACCTTAGTAAATGTTACATCAGCAGAATCTTTCTGAGACTGGATGGCGTTTGGGCCATGTCCCGACGGGGCTTAGCCCAGCCTTACACCCGCCATCCTGGCTTACAAAACACTATGTAATCTTTGGCCAATCATTTGAACAGGAGAGGAGTCAGCCATCACTCAGGGCTTATTTTCATCTGGTAAGCTAGGCACTCGTCATGTGACAGAGGAACAGTAAGAGAGATGGAGCAAAGGTAAAATGAGGAGAAATCTATCAACTTTGTTTTTCTTTTAGCAAAGGTCGGGAGCCAGAATACCGTCTAACTTTACACCGCCTCTATGACCTCCAACGGAAAGAATTACTTTGAGTCCATCTACAACCTCCTGAGCAAACTGAAAGGGCCATAAACGGCAAGTGGGTATTTTTTTTAAAGACCAATCCAACCGACAATGTGAAGAAACCGGTGCGCTATATCATCTGATGGCCGTCGTGGGGTGTGGGTATATTTGAAAGGCAGCTGAGGCACCGACGGGAGGTCTCGCTGAAGATGATGACTCTTCGAGGCCGGCTAGTTGATGCCTTTCTCATCCCCGTTCACGGTTTGCGATGATCTCTCGCTGTTCTTGGGGCTGATGACGCTGCCAACGGTAGCGAAAGCCTCCGTCGTGACAATCACCGCCGTGTTGATGAGCGCCTTGCCGTACGATACCAGATTATCACCGCCAGCCTTCGACTTCGCCGAGGAATAGGTGCTCAGTACGTGGTCCCTGCCAGCAAGCCCGACTCGGTACGGGAGCAGTGCCAGGTCCCTAGCATCCTGGTAAAGCTCATCCGTGGGTTTCCTGACGGCAGGGAACCGCTTATCGACCTTGGACAGGGTCTTCTCGCCAAGATCGTCGGCCTTCTTGATGTACGGCGAGACGAACTGGTATGGCTTGGCGAAGTAAGGGAGGACGGGCGCAGCGAAGGTCTTGTAAGCAGAGTCGCTGAGAGCTATCGACCGTTGCCCGTAGGGGTTCGACTTGAAGGTTGTTATGCCATCGTTGATGACAGGGTACCCCAAGAGATGCTGTGTGTCTGTTAGCTGGCCGTCCTTGTCCATATCTAGCAGGTATTCTGGAAACTCAGGGCAGACGAACCTGAAGGAATGCCGAGGATGACGAGTCGCCAGTCGAATGTGGAACGTCTCCGTTGACTTGTGGGGAAGTCATTGTGTCGAGGTTCTAAATGCTGCCTTACTGTGAAGATGATGTATCGAATGTAGGGGGCGGTGGGAGCCTGGTGCTTAAGGAAGTGATAGAAAGGGCCAAGGTGTGCACGAGTGTGACGGTGAGAGAGTAAGAGGGAGGGAGGGGAAGGAGGGGGGGGACACCAAGGTCTGTAATATAGGAGACGAGGGAGGCTAAAAGCTACATACCCATGGGATCTATCTATAACGCCTTCTTCATGTGCTTGAGCTTCGAGCCACTTAATCGCGCCTATAAAAGGCAAAAAGCAAGGCAGGTGGGGTGTTGGTGTGCTTCATTTGGCGCCAACCTGCCACAAAATGCCACCATTTGGCTATCCCTGCAAGCCACGCATCCTTTGGCATGTGAAAGTCGCTCTTCCCTGTCACAATCCCATGCCAATCGAGCGGAATGGCCAGACTCAGGACGAACCCGTCAAGAAACTCAAGAACATGCTATCTTTCACGGTCTCCTCCCTTTTTGCTTCCCATCGCGGCGGGCTAGCAGCCTTGGAGGGCCCGAGTAGTGTGGCATTGACATCATTAACGTCATCAAGATTGATGAGCTCTTGGGTCAATGCTGAAATCATTCTTATCTTCCTTCCATTTTTAGCGCGAAGCTTATCATCATCCTCCTGAGCGCCCAAGATGTGTCACCGGCCCGAAGGGTACCTGGACTTGCTGGGTTGCCCAGGAACAACGCTTCTGCAGTAGGTGGGTAAGGTACATACCTTGCTACCTAGCTGGCCGGGCAGGCTCGTGACAGCAAACAGCTCCTTCTCCAGCCCATTGAGTTTAATGTCCCTCTGGTGACGGTCACGGGATTCACGGCAGATGGAACAGAACCGAAAGGCCCGGTTCGTTCCAGCTTGTGTCTTGTATCGACACGCTCGGAAGCCTGTCGTATTTTCCGCGTATCCCTTTAGGTCGGTACCGATCATGCAGCATAGTTTTTCAGTCTAGGCCAACCTATTTGACAAGCTGCCAAATGTGGTACATGAACGAGAAACGTGGGTGTCGTTCCGTCCTAACCGTCCACCCCGGCCCAACCGATCGCAGCAACCTAAATAATTTTAAGTGGGGACCTTTCACATGTCAGAGTGAAATCCAACACCCCGCCCCAGTGTGTCTCTTCCAGCCCACCTTAACCTCAAGAGGCTCAGCTCGTTCGTCAGGTAGGTAAGGGGGTGCGTTTGCGTGTACGTACGCAGCAGGATCGAGGCTTTCAGAACTACGTGTGCTTTCTTCCAGACTAGGTAGCTCGCCTTCTCCGCGGAGCAATCCGCACAGGAAATCAGAAAAAAAAAAACCGCCACCCCGAGCCAAAATATTGTGGCTGGCATGTGATGGCATTCTGTTGATCTATCCATTGAAGAAACCGAAACCAGACAACACTCTTTGTGGCCGGGCACTGGTCCCAAGGAACTGGTACTGGGGTAAATGTCAAATATCACCATCAGACCCCCACTACATCGCCGGAGGTGCGCAAAACCGGCCCTTTCCTGCTCCCAGTGCTCATGAGCAGAATGTGGCTTAGCATCTTGGTTGCCGATGCCGTGAGATTGATCCTGGGAGGTTGCAGTAGATCGGAGATTCTAGCTCGGAGGCGCGGATTCACGCTCTTAGCTGTCCCGACTCCCGAGGACATAACGGGCAGAGGCTTCAAAAAGGCTATTTCCCGTTTATGCCACCATGAAACCATTTTGAGCCCAGGGCCGCCGAAGCAGTAAATTAACGAGCCCGATCAGCCTCTGTCGGACCACGGACATTCCTGGAGGCCAACTGTGGCGCTCGTTGGTATGCCTCACCACTTTGATGGTTATTGTGATGTTGAGACACGGAAATCTCCAAGGGGCCTGATTTATCAGAACGGTGACAGCGGCTACGGAATTCGCAACCCTCCTCGTGAGCGTAAAGAAAACATATACCTACCGGACCCCTTATTGCAATCCCCTTATTTGAGTATGCACGCGCGCCGTACAGCCTTGGATCTGGGACATGTGGTGTTGTTCTTGTCTATCTTCTCGTCTTCTATCCAGCCCACGTCCTCCATCAAACTCGCCCCTGGATGCGAGTGAGTACAAATATAAGACATCCTCGCACCTGAACTGGAAAGCTCAGCCGCATACGTGCATATGATCGGCGCCAATTGACACTCCACGGTATTCCGTGGCTCCTCTGCTGCGGAGAAGGGATCGATCGAAGGAATTGAACGCTTCATGGCAGCCAAGGGGTAATCTGTAAACGAAGCTCACCACAGTTATCAACCCAGATCCCACCCTACGAGACAGCACGAGGAAGCACGTTACTCCAAGCTTCACAATAGTTGAGCACCAATTGGGGTAGTCTTGCTGCTTTGTAGCAGCTCGCAACTCTTACCTGTTGACGATGCCTTTGTAAACAAAAACACATGTCTCGTTACTGGTATGTGGTGGTGCGGCCCTGAATCTAGACCCGGGATACAGGCCGAGAATGACGGTCCTGAAATTGCAGGGGCATATTTTCGGATCTGATAAGAGAGAAACAGAACATGATGGGCGACTGCCGAACAAGTATCTGCATTCCTCGGGTATCATAAAGCTCGACCTCATCCTCTATCAACGTATAACTAACTCGCTTTCCACACTATTATTCTGAATCGCCCGATGAATCATAGTCCACGAGTCCTTGGCTCGCCTTTGACGTTTCTGGCTGTGGAGAGCCATCATCAGAGCTGTCTGTGCCGACATCGGCACTGCCACCTCTGCCGTGGTTACTGTCGGCCATGTGACCGGTGTCGTTGACGTCCACCTGCTCTCCCTCGCTGTTGACCTCGCCTTCCTCGGCGTCTTCGGCCCGGGGGCGCGCAACACGTTTGTAGCTTTGGCGCTGGCTCTGGAGCGGTGGCCGGCCTCCTCGCCTTCCTTCGAAAGGCCTCCCCCTCCGAGGAGGCTGCCTTTCGCCGTGCTCTTCTTCGACGGGTGGTTCCGGTCTCCGTTCGCGCCGCTCGGTAGAAGCTAAAGCAAAGCCGGCCGGCAGTTGCATCGTCGGGTTGAGGACATAGACGGTCGGGAACTCCACCACCGTGCGTCCGGAAAGTGCCTCCGATAGGGGCCCTCTTGACGAGAGCGGGATAAGTTGTTTGAAGCCGCCGTTGGAAGACGGCTGTTTGAGCAGGAAGAACCTCAACGTGGCTAGCTCCGCTTCCTGCTCTTCTTTTGTGATCGGAACAGAACCTGCAGTAGAGGTCTGATTCCATCCTGCTGTCAGGGAATACTGAAGGGTGTATTCGCTCGGTGTCCAGGCCGTCGATTCGGGATCTTGGCCCCCAGTCAAATCTACCTCTTGTAGTTGATGCACCTGTTTCTTCCGTGGCGTCTTCTGTTTCTTTCTGGGGGGGAGCTCAGCGTCATCCTCGGCCCCTTCACCGTCGTTTTCGCGCGCTCGTTTGATCCCAGCGCGGTACCAGTCAATGGAACTGGAGAAAGCCTGATAGAGTGGTTTCTCATCGAGAGCCTTATGCAATATTTGAACGGGCTGACCTGCCGCGGCCGGAGCCGGAAGGTCCAGGACGTCGGAACTGAAGACGAGCCACTCGACCTGCCAATTGATGGTGTTTGTCCTCCGGTTCCACGCCGTCTTGTTCTGTCGTTGCCGCAAAAGGCCCTTGGGCATGAGCAGTACCTCGATGTCATGCGCCCTCAGCCGCCGGCGAATATGCTTATCGGTCGCGCCAAGAGATCGACCGTCGTCGCCGGGCCGGCCTTGTCCTCTCCCTTTCGCATACCCTCCTCCCCTGCCACGCGATGTGGGCACATGATGTAGCTGGTCCCCATACCAGACCTTTTCGAACCTCTTGTCATCCCCGCCGCCCTCCGGCCCTCGTATGTCCTTCTCCGTCAGCAACCCTCTCCCGCCGGAGGTGACCTCCTTCTCGAACCGGTCCCTGGCCCGCTCGATGGACGAGATGAAGTTGTAGTCGTGGTCGACGCCGGCATCGGAGCACAGTTGCGCCCGGGGCACAAACGCGGCCGGGTCGCGCTCGCCGCTACACGAGGCCCAGGCCTTGTGCTTGCGGACGCAGGCGAGGGAGCAGGTGCGGGCGCCGCAGCGCGGGCACTTGTACTTTGGAGCCTCGACGTGGCAGATGCTGCAGAGAGCCGTAAGGAGGGGGTCGGACATGGTGTCTCGCGATAATTTCGAGCTCCAACCGTTCCAACGATGGATTTCGCACCGCTGCGTTTGCTGCCTTTCGCCACGAAAGTTGTAGTTCTATTTGTGACTTTTGGTTCTTATCGGAACTTTTTTTTCTGGGCTTGTATTTTGGTACGTTGATAAACACAGTCTTTTTAGCTGCCCGCCGAATGCCGCTTGAAGCTAAGCCCCATATTAAAGTTGGGCTGACCATTCGTACTGGTCCAAGAGCTTGTCTCCGCGTGCATCTGGAGATTTTTGCCCCTGCACGAGACGTGCTCTACAAAAAAACGGACAACGCTGTGCAAGGGTGTTCTTTCCGCACATAACTATAAGCTAGGAGGTTTATCAATTCATCTAGACTGCTAGATGAGATGGCACAAACGATCCAGCTGGCCTTATTCTATCAAGAGGAATAGCTAATCTGAAGTACTGTAGAACCAATGTTGGCTGCGTTTCCTTTTCGAAGACCTCCATAGACACGTCTTCATAACAGCTAAACTTCTCAATCCCGTGCTGTAGGACCATCTTAAGGCAGTTGTGATGGCCACCTTCCGTTCTCAAGTGCAGTAGCATAGCCCGTTACCAGTGTTTTGGAAGCAGTAGTTACCGCCTCGGGAGCACTCCCGATAGAAAGACAACGATCAGTCATGAATCACTGTCTAACACTAACATGCATTGGAATGAAGAGTGTAGAGGAAGGCAATAGTATGATTCAGACTCGTGGTGACAGAAAGAGGGCAATACGTACAGCTGATGTCTCGAGGCAATAGCAGTAGCCGGTGCAGATGAATAGACCGTCCCTCCAGTTTAGTTGGCATATCTGGGCCACCGTATTGCAGGACTGTAATCTGTTAGCTCAGACCTTGGTGAAGCTTGGAGACTTTAATAGAGAACGTACACCAGGGTAGCTGCGCTCGTCTAAAGCCTCAGTCTCGTTTATGCGGGTGGTGCTGGTGACTTTTATCCCGGGCTTCTCGCACTAGGCATCGTTCTGGCGCTCGAGCAGGTTCTCTCCTGGAACAGCAAGTGCTACTGCACCGTTCACTGCCGCAGAGAGTAAGATTGCTATTGTGGATATTTGGCAAGACTTCATCTTGGATATTAAGAGAAAAGAACAGATAGGTGTACTTGGTATCAGCTTGGTTATTGGATTAGCCTTGTTCGCCTTATGTTTAGAGGGAATAAAAGATTATTTGACCGTTGAGTTGGGTATTTATATGTCCCGGGAGCAGAGAAGATGTACGCATAATCTAGAGGTGGGAGGAGCTTGTACTCAGGTGTCGAGCGTCTGCTACAATCTTCAATTTCTCCCCCGTGATTCCTTCAAATCCATCGTTATTCTGTAGGATGCCCTTGGTACCCTTACAGCCTGCGACTGTTGCTTGAACTCTCACATAGGAGTAATAAGCACGATGATTGCTGTCTTACCCGGCTTGTGTGAAGATGTTGTCAGGTCTAATGCTCAGGCTACCCTTTTTCGATGATGTTTTCCCAGAAGGATTGTGGGACATGACCTTGCTCTGACTGGTACCTTACCCGTAACACAGTTCCGCTAAAACAGGCTTTCGAGCCATTCCATATACAGTCAGATGCATCTGAACATCCGATCGACTTAGGCGCGGCTGCAGCTAGGTTGGCAGATCACTCACTGCCTTAAGAGCACAGATACGGTGATACGAGTCGTACCAGAATCCGTTGCTGCTTTGCACAACGTCGGACCATAATTTTCTCATTATAAACTCGAATCCCACGAACACCTAATTCCACCAACACTTACGTTCTTGCTGTGCAGTCTCGCTGCCTGGAGCAATCAGTATCTCCTACTCTGCAAATACGAATATCACTGGTAGCACTGAAACAATGTCGGACGCGATCGCCAACCACATGAGAACCTCCATTATTGCGCGGAAAGACGGCGAGCAATCGGCTCTACAGGACGGAGACGAAAACACCATGTGGCAGTCAGCATGGAGCATGATGGCCTCTATCAACTCGCGCTTTGCATTGGCGGACTCGGTTTCGGCCCCCGACCCGACTTTATTGGACATTGACATGCACGATCTCTGGCATACGTACTGGCACGGCGCTGCTAACACCGCCCCCAACAGCCCCAAGCTGGACAGACTCGCACTGCAGATCATCCAGTCGAGGGAGCAAGGCACGCTGGCCGTGACGTCGGAAGGGTACCGGATCTGGACAGACCTTCCTTTCTTGGTACAGGACATGACGGCCCATTGGATTCACAACTGCGCCGTCATGGGCTCCGCGCAGCAGCTTAGCGGCGCCCACTTTCTGGCCCTCCTCGCCGCGGCAGGCACAGCAGCTGACGACGCTCTGTGCGGCATTGCGCTCGTTGTGCTACGGGAGGCGTTGGAGACACCGCGAGGACTTGGTCATCTGACCGCAAGAAGTCGTGATCCTGATCGTCAGCTGCAGGATCTCAGCGTAGCCGATCTGCTACCCCCTGCGAATGCGTGGCTCTTCACGGCTGGCAGAAAGCTGGTACAGCTTTCGGACGTGGAGTGGAACCGGTGCCCTACGGATGTCGGGAAGCTCGGTGAGCTTGTTCTGGCTCAGAGTGCAACTACCGATCCCACCTTTGCCGAAGTTGCTTTGCCATCGCATGGAGGATTCAGCCCGCAGCGATGGACATGGTGATTACGACGACTTGAGCAACTCGCAACGCTTGTATCGCAGGATCCCCTCGCCGCGGAGGTGCATGATGGCCAAAGGAGTCTCGTATCCTTGATTCGGGGAATGATGGACAACATGGTACTTATCGCGGAGCAGACGAGCGGCACGGTTGCAAAAGCTCTACAACAGTCGGACCGGGACGTTAGGCATCAGCCTATCATGCAGCTGCTTGGTCCTGGCCGGCCAGGTGCACCAGGCACTGGTTAGGAAGCGGGAAACCTGCCAGAGGGAGCTGTGCAAGCGACACAGTCAGATAGCGCTGCCCATTGACGGTCTCGATGTTTCTGACCGGACTCGTATGATCTTGCATGGTCATCCTTAGACCATACCTTTCCATCGATACGTGTTGACGTAAGGACTCGGGTGAGATCCAGTCGTTCAACTCCCACATGTATATAACGAACTGCGCCTCGTTCATCAAGCTCCCCATACGGTCTCTTTTCTGCTTTATCTTCTCAGTTTAATACGTCAAGCAATCAGTCACCAACAGAACCAAGGAACTTACATGCTAGACACACCAAGCGTCCCTACTCTCCGACTCTGAAATGTATAGCTGGAATAGCTTTTTTCTAAGCAGCGTGCCAAATGTTTTGACCTGTGATAATTTCCCCTCTGACGCCGGGCGACCGGGAAGTGTTAATGCTGACGGGGACCTCGGTGACGCGGGCCTCGGTGACGCGGGCCTGTGATGAAGTGGTTGCACAAGACAAGTGGCCGACACTCTCCCCAATTCTCTTTTCAGAAGTTTGGTTCAGGATTTGGTGAAAATGTGCTCAATTCTTTTAGGAGAGAGGGGTGGATGTACTGGTACTGGAGGGGCAGTGACTTGGCTCTGGCGCTGAGGGAAAACTGCCGCTCAAAACAGCGGCCACCGCCTGCCAAATCCAGCGGCAAATTTCCCTCCAACATCATATGGCAGGACAGATTTCCCAAGGTATCGGTCAAATACCATACGAGAATGCATCCGTAGTCCGTATGTGTATAAGTGGTGGTACCTGAAAGCAAAGGAGCCCGCTTGAGTCGTGGCGTTGTAATCAGCCTGTGACAAACAGGTCCAATCGGACGAATGCCTCTGTTTCTTGCGTGATGTTTCTTCTGTGTGACTACTTACCAACGTGATATTGATAGGCATCGTCTCTAATTTGCCGTGGCTGTAACCCGGGCCATCAAACTTGTCCACGATAGCAACCCGGCAGTGTGTTTTAATAATAGGGGATATTATTGATACCGCTGCAACACCTCGTGAAGCGAACCTGGAATCGGATTAGCGATCCCTTGAGATATTGAACTTGCCATTACATATATGGTGGGATTTGAGAACCGCCACAGCACAAGGCAGTCACGGGAGCTGTTCGTTTGAACACAACTGTTTATTCAAGCTGTCAGGGCCGTCAGGGCTGTCATGTCCTCAATATGTGTGTACTGTTCGTAGTGGATCCGTATCCGTGGGGCAAACAGAACCGGCACAGGATACAGGATGAAACATCGAGCCAATGGCCAGCCAAATGCTAGGGATCTTCGACCGTGTGCTCGGATGCAGCGGGTTGAAAGGTCGGGCAAGAGTCATGTTGTGCAGGGCGTTTACTTTGGGTGATGCACTGCATGCGGATCAGAAGCAAGTGTTTACTGCATTTGGCAGATGCGCTAGGTATGCTTGCTGCCGCAGGCCCCTCGGATCTGCCAAGTAGGTTAGGTATCTCCATAGTCGTACACTGTGCGTACTACGATGCCTCAACAATGAGCAGGCATCCATATCGATGAAGTCCGCGTGCACCTGGAACATAGGTAATCAGCAGGCCAACACTTTCAACCACTCCTGCGGAGGTACGGAATGCGGAGACACAAGTCATTAATCTGATGTGGAAGGAAGGGCGATGGCGTCGCTCGCGCACAGGCGCGCAGCCCAAAAGCCAGCGTAACGCCAGCCGGAAGGTCAAAGCGTGTACATCCCAGAAGGAAAGAACCTATATGTACGGATAGACAAGCATGATTCTGTCGTGGCTTGTGTGCTTGTACCGCAGTAGGAAAGAGGGGAAAGCCATGGTTCCATCTAGCTTGGGGTCTTGAGAGTCGCAGCAGGTGGCAGTTATTCCCTACCTGAACACATACACAGAGTATTGTGGTTTGACCACTTGTTGAACGACTTGGCCAACCAGCGTTTACTGCAGTCGTCCGGCGCCGGCTGCACAGACCTTGGAGTGTTTGCCGTAAAGTAAGGTAAATCATCCCGCAGCCGCACTGCATGTCATCGAGGCAGCTGACCGAGTCGAGTCGAGCCGAGCGCAAACACAAGTAATACCTCGCAAAAGGTTTCACGAGGCACAGCTCTTGGGCTGTGGCAATCAGGGAAGCTGAACCTGTGGTTCAACTCCTTGTCCTTATTACTATTGGTCTCATGTAACTAAAGTAGCCCATGCTGAGACTTTACGCATAAGTTCCAGGGTAGTTACCATTCCACACGTCAACCATGCTTACCGCAGAGTCTGAGAGTCGATTGTTTCTCGAAACGAAGCGAAGCCGTGGTTCTGGACCAGCCACGGGCGATCTTCCAGCAAAAGAGAAGCCACCCAAAGGCGTTATTCATCCCGTCGGTACCTTCGCATAGGTACGGATACACTAATAATTGGAGGCTTCCCGGGCACGGTTTCGGACCGGGTTCCTCCCCTTGTCTTTTCTTTCTTTTCTTTTTCCATTATTCATCCCTACCCCTTCGTTTTCTTTTTTGTCCCCGCCTCCGCTTCCTTCTCTCTCAATGCCAACATAACTGGATTTGTGCATAGTCACTTGTTCACCCTGCTCTTCTTTCGACTCTGGAAGCACCATTGACATTGTGTCGAAAATAAGTTTAAAAGAGGGCCGGGTCCCGCTTCTCCCAAGTCCAAGCCTCGAAGACCGGTGGTTGGAATGGAAGGGTGGGAGTGCATGGTCGAGCTAGGACCAGGGGTCAATGGTAGTGGGGCCCAGACAATTAAAAGTCGGGAAACAACAGGGGCCCGTTCTCATGGATTTATATGTACCTGTGACACGCCAGTTTTGCTGTAATTGGAGATCCCAGCAACTGCCTGCAGGTACATGGTACTCCCACCCCCTTAAATGAGGCGTTTTTCTAACCCCTTGGCCCCTGTTGTATCGGGGGGACGCCCCCCTTATTTGCTGCCCGTTGCATTGGTGCTTCACTGCTTCGATTCAATGAAGCCCCCATGGGCCCAGTCTTTCCCCCCAATTGTCCAATCTTAGCTGCGGCTTGACCGCGAATCCCTTCACTACTGCGGGAGAGCGATCCCAGTCATTTTCGTGAAAGTGGCTGGGTGCTTGGACCTTCACCACGTTGAAGTTGGATAATCCTTGTCGCTCCCAGCTTCCGGCACCATTCTTCCCCTTTTTGCTTGAAGCTGCCCACCTGAGATTCTCTTTCCTTGTTCCTTCCATCGTGTGTCTTGTTTCTTCCCCCCGAACACCTCCCACCGCGGTGATTCCAACAGCAGCAAGCCTGTATTGTTTGTTCTCAACACCACAGCTCTTGCTCTGGCGGACAGGAAGCTTTGGCTGAGACGTCCTCTCGTTTGGTAGCTGGCCTTCCCATCTTGCTGAAGCCGTCCACCAGTCAACAGCTCTCTTCGTTGAGAGACAGAGCATTGGATCCGCTACTCGCACCATCGACTTCCCGAGCGATCTGTTTTACCATTCAACCGCTCAACGACTCGGAGCTGTCTTGTGACCTTTACAGCCTTGACACACGCGCGTTGTCAAGCACCCAGACTCCCGAAGTCTTGCCGTTTACAGGCATACCGAACACGGATTCCACCGCGCCGAATCCCCGGGAACCACTACGCGACGAGCATTGTCAACCGGAGGAGGATTAGATTCGACGTTACGATGGCGCCCTCCTTGAATACCCATTCTTCCTTCCAGAGGCCCCGAACTAGCGACCGGGATGGCCGTCCTGGGACTCGCGATCATGTCGATAGCAACTTGATCATCCCTAGCCGTACCTCGTCTCTCCACTCCCGTATCACCCAACCCATCCCGTCGACGCTCAACATCAAGCCGCAACAGCGCACGCCCAAGACACTCACCCATGCGTACATGGTGTGCGGTGTTGGGCGGGAGCCTTCCCAATGGGTCAAGGCGCCATCGCCGGCCCAGGGGAAGATCGGCCACATGAAAGGGGCCGTGGGCCAATTCTGGCTTCCCGAAATTCTTGGGAGCAGCCCGCGTCTGGAACAGGATAATGAGATTGCCCGGTCGTTGCACGCGGCAATGAGAGTGAGTTGGCCCGATTTGATACCATCACAGCCCCTATGTATTTGGTGGCTAACATGAACAGGCGTGCTTCCCACACGATGTCGAGATCTGCACCGGCCGAAGCCAGCCTCACTGTGTTCATCACGCCTTCGTCCTGCAGCAGGATTCCTCGCATACCCTGTACGGCATCTGCCTGCGAGTCTGGTCGCGAGCAGACGAGAAGAGGGCCGAGACGATTCGGGACCTGAGGAAGCGAACCGAGCCGGACTTCTATGACAGCCCGGATGAGACGTACTGGATTCCCTACTGCTTGTCCTTCCTGTCCCGGTATCCGCTTTACAACCTCCTGGGCGATTATCTCCGAGGCATGTGGATCCACTGGAACAAGGCCACGAACCTGTTCCACGCCGAGGAGGTGTCACGCATCCTTAGCTTCCCGGCTCCGAGACTGAATGATCTGGTCCGAATTGACATGAAGGATTACGCGCTCTGCTATCAGTTCCCTTCGTCCCCCACCGGCTTCCAGAACTTCCCCATGTGGCCCCTCTTCTGTTGTCTTTCCATCCCCAACATTGTGGGTGTGATTGAGGCCGCCATCTCGCCTACTCGCAGAATCATCTTCGTCAGTCACTACCCGGCCATGCTCACCATGGCTGCCGAGACTGTCCGGTTCTGTGTGCGAGTCTATGAGTGGAGCGGGCTCTACGTCCCGGTTGTGCACGCGCGTCACGCGAAGGAGCTTGTTGAGGAGCCCGGCCCGTATATCCTCGGTATCACGGCCGAGTGCCGAAGCCTCTTCACTGCCCCTACCGACGCCCTCGTCGTCGACCTGGACCGTAACTTCGTTCTCACGTCAAACCCTCCTACCGCTCTCGCGCCCGGCCAACGGAATAAGTTTGTCACCCGCCTCACTCAGTCGCTTAACGGTGACGTGACACCGTCTGGTGTGCCCCAACACCTGCGATCTGCGTATGGTGGCGGAAAGCTGGTTCCCGCCGGCCAGATCATTGTGATGCGGGGGGAAGTGGAGTCGATCCAAGACCCCGAGTGGTGGAATCAAGATACCGTCATGGCCGTTATGGACCACGTCTGCGAGAAGATGGTAAGAGTCGACCGCGCGGCGACGCAGATTTTAATTCCATTTGCTAACATTGTCAGGGTCGGAACACGGGTATCAAAGCCGTCTTCGGTGGCTCCGTCAAGAAGCCGTTGATGACCAAGGTGTCCATGCGACACTTGAATGAGATTGTCCGGGAGAGAAACCAGTACTCGCGGGATGCTCTGGAGGCCTGGCAGGACTTCATCAACCTGAAGGGCCGCATGGACACCGAACTAGGCAAGGTGACCAAGCGGAACAACTACTTGGTTGAGGAATTGGAGAGCTGGAAGCAGCAGGTATGCTCCTACATTCAATCCAAACAGTGGCATGGCCGTACTAACGCGAATGTCACAGTTTCTCAAGTTCCAGGCCTTCGCAGAGCAACTTACCAAGGAGACCCAGGACCTCAAGGTCAAGATTGAGAACCACAAGCGTGAGAACCGCCGCCTTGCTGGTATGCTTGATCAACAGAAGGACGATGCTGCGCGCATGTCGGTCCGTCTTGCCGGCACTGAGAAGCAGCGTGATGATGCGCTCGAGGCTCTTGTGCTTCAGCAGGAGATTGCTGAGGAGCTTGAGCGCGAGCGGAAGAGGAACAAGAAGGAGCTCGCGTCGCTGCAGCACACCAACGTCACCATTGTCAGGCAGCGTGATGAGGCTCGCCGCGTCGTTCTCCATCTGCGTAGCCTGATCAGCGGCCAGAGCCACCACATGGAGCACCTGGTGAAGACGCTCACCACTCCCGATGAGCTGATCGCCGAGATCGAGGCTGGCTTCCCTGCCGAGAATGAACTCGTGGGCGGCACCCCCGAACGTAAGTTGTTTCTTATATGGATGCTTCGTATATTACAGCAGAGGCACAGGCAGACTAATTCGCAACAGAAGAGGAGAGCCGATTCCTCAAGAATCTCGAGCTCGCAACCAAGCGCCTCTCGTCGGCGAGCTTCAAGGATGTCGCAGACCGTCACCTCAAGGACAAGACCGACGCGATCGCACACATCATCCGCAACATTGCCGAGCAGTGCCAGGCAGCGGTTGAGAGCCTCCAGCTCGCCCAGGACAGCGATATGGAGCACCGTTCGCTTAGTCGGGCCAACAGCCCGTCTGCGCGCAGGGGGAGTAATCTCTCCGTGGCGCCAAGTGACGACGGCCACTCAGCCGCTACTTCTGAGATTGGGGACGACAGCCTGCTACACCCCGGAAGCGGACGTGCATCAAGCATCCCACCTACGCCGGATCTCATCCCCAACCGGAGCAGCACCAGCATGTCGATCGCCAGCACGGCAACGACCCCTGAGCGCAGTTCTCAGCAGTACGTCATCGGACATGACATCCCGACAAAAATCGTCGAGGACGACGAGGATGACCTTCCCGGCGAGCGAAGCGAGGGCGAGAACAACCCCATCCCCCAGGAACCGAGCATCGTGGGCAAGCACGCCGAGAGCCTGATCCACCGGCCTTCGGGTGCGCGCATCAGCGCTCTCGGCAGCACCCGTTAGGGATGTCCTTGCTGGATGACGTTTTGATCGAACCATCCATCCTTTTCTCGTTTTTATTTTTATTTTTTTATTTTTATTTTTGCGTTACTCTGATATCTGGTCGAAGATTTGGACCGTTTACTGGCGTTTTAAGAGATCTCTTTTTGTTACCTGTCCCGATTTAAGTTCCTTCTGCCTTGATCCAACGGCGGAGATTTAGACTCCCCGACAAGCTTTACAGATTTCGTTTTGTTTTTTCTGCTCCCCTATTCCTTCTCACTTGCCATGGGACCTTTGGTCGGAGTGGAGAAGTCTTAGGGAACGTTAGCAACTCTGATGGAAAAGAACCGCGGAGCTGATGGCTCGCGCCCCTTGCGCCCGTTCTTGTGTATCTTCATACTTTTACCTTTTTCGTACTCCACACTTTCAACAGCGGCTTTGGTTGGGTGGCGAGCTTTTGCCTGATGGTTCTCCGTCGCTCTCTAGCCTTGAGCATAACATAATCAAAATTTGCAAATGCAATCCTGCTGATAGCTCTGTTTGTGTGACTGTGTTCATCTTCCACTTGGCAGGATGCTGGCTCCATATTTCACAAAACGTCACTTCTTCCCTAGAGGCAGGCGATTCATCCGTGCTGGGCAACAGGCTAACCAGCGAACCCTTGTGCCGGCTGTCATTTGGCTTGCTTCACGTGCCACATGGCAGGCTGGGACAAATGACCATGACCTGGCGAGCTTCCCCTGGGTACAGCAACGTAAGCGATACTGTATTTGATACCGAGAGAAGAGATATGGCTGGATATATCCGACTTGGGATCTCCATTCGAATCGGAAAGCCCCCGGAGGGAAGGCTATTACACTAGACAGCATGGTAATTATAGGGGGTCTCCCTTTCCCGCCCCGCCGCATCGGCGGACAGCAACATTGCCGATCCCGTCTGTTTCGCCACGAAACCTACTGCTGACTCACAACCTAGGGATACAGTTGTAAGTAGGTGGGTAGGTACTGTCCGAGTATCTACCTGCCTAGCTCTGATTCGGTATGTCTAGTGATAATACCAAGCCAAGGTGGAACTGGGTCATAGCAACTAGGGAATCACCCCATACTCGGTGCTTTCTGGAAGGACTGGTCTGCTGGATTTGTTACCACTTCACCCTCTTAGTTCGTTTATCGGTGGCGGCCAATACCGAGCTGTCCTGCGCACCCCACCCCTAGCCAAACTTGGAATTCACAAACTCTGGAACCGGTAGGTTTGTGTTTCCTGCGTGCCTCGGGCTACGTAATTGTTACTCTGCAAGTATCAACCCTGCCCTTATCCCCGCCGATCAGGCCAGTGTACCCGCGATTGGGGACCAACCACGCCAACAAAGCTAGTAAAAGGCCGCCTCGGCCTCGAACATCTAAATTTCCCGCCTCGACACGTCTCGAACCACGACCAGTTTCTCCACGACGGGGCCAGCCATCGTGCTTGGCTCTTATCTTGGCTGCTCAAGGAAACTTCCTTTCTCAACAAACCCTTCCGGGACCACCGACAAGATGGCTAAACTCCGCCTTGCCTCTAAATACCCTTCCTGTCCTCATTGATAGGAGGTGTTGCTGGAATCGGAGCCTTCGGCTCTACCATCTGGCTTCGATTTGCCCTGCTCTCCTCTCAACCCACCCCCCTCGAGCCTCGGATACAACCCCCTATACTCTCGATCTCCGCGTCTTCCTCTCCGGCCTGTGTTTTAATACAACCATTCCGTACATCTTCGGGCCCAGACACCGTCTACTCCAACAGGCCGAATCCCCGAACCGCCCGAACTCCCCGGGGGTATTTGCCTCCATGAAGGCAGCAGACACCCTTGCATTTTTCTTGGATATGGCGGTGGCTAGCAAGGTGGTGTCTAAAAGGAGTGCCAGGACGTTTGTTGAAGACGGAATGGAAAAGGAACTCTACGAGCCTCATGCGAGGAAATCAACATTGAGGTTTGACGAAGTCAGACTGGAAGAAGTGGAGGGGCCAAGCTCAAAATCAAGCTCAAAATCAAGCTCGACAAGCCAGACAGATGTGGACATCTCGACCTTGACCGCGGATCGTACCGAGACGGGAACTGCTGGGATCGACTTGGACATCGGAGATGGTGGGGACCAGATAGTCGCCAGCAAGGCCCCCAAGCTTGCTGGAGACTCTGATGACGCAGAGCCAGAGGGACTATCGACAAGGCCTTATCCGCCGAATTTCGGGATTGTTGTGCCCGGTGTCTACAGAAGCAGCTACCCGCAACCCCAGGCCTATGGCTTCCTCCAGGATCTGGGGCTGAAGACAATCATGTAAGCCCACGTCTGTTCCTGCTGCTAAGGCCCACGCTAACAGAGTCCTGCCAGCACACTTGTCCAGAAAGACTTCCCTCCCGGATACAAGTCGTTCATCACCGCCAATGGCATCAAGCACCATGTCTTCGATATGAAGGGGACTAAGAAAGAGGAGATCCCCATCAAGACCATGAAGTCTATCCTGCGCCTTGTCCTTGACCGACAGAACCACCCATTGCTCATCCACTGCAACCATGGCAAGGTTCGTTACTCATTGCCGAAAGGGATACTGTCCAAGGCTAATACTGGCTGTAGCATCGAACTGGCTGTATCGTAGCTGTAGTCCGGAAACTTACCGGATGGGAGCTGTCGATGATTGTTGACGAGTACAAGTCCTATGCCGAACCGAAAGTTCGAGAATGCGACATCAAGTACATCACCACCTTCGATCTCTCGACAATATCGAATTTGTTCGTCAAAGAACCAAGCTGGCAGCTTCGGGCCAGGAGTTTTGTCCGCGTCTCCTTATTCACCACCTTTGTACTCGTGGTCTGGCTGTTCTCAGGGACGAGGATAGTGTCACACACCCCAAGCACATGATAACCGTCTGCCCTGTCTTGACGACCATGGGCTACCATGACGGAGCAGCGTGCAATTACAATCTGACATTGGAAGAGGGCTGGGAGTTGAGTGTCGGGGCGAAACTCCCCTTTACTGTCTGAGGTGATGGTTGGGTGGGCGCAACGATGATACCGAAACAACAGGAGCTACGTCTCTAACCGGCATCGTTTGGGGTAGAAAAAGGAGGGGACCATCAAGTGCTGAGGGCCTCTCGGAGTTCTTTGCGCAGGGGGACCGACTGCGTTTGCAAGGCTATTAAATTCTCGGCATGTCTTCTACCGACTGAAACTATTCTTACAACTAGAGATACCATTTTGGGATCGTCGCCGCAAGGCGTCTCCTCGATGGGATGTGTAATAGCGCTATATGTAACAGTCTTGTACAACTAAATAGATCACGCACAGCCCAACATTGATTGTTTGATGCCCCTTCCGAATGGGAGAGGGAGGATTGGCCGTGCCTTGGAACGCCATACCGCGGAAAGCAACCAACCCATCCGCCCCCAAACCGCCCCCCCAACCGCCCCCCCGAGGCAAACCCCAAATCAATCAGTCCCTATAGACCCCCCACCGGTTCCTCTCCCGACGCTCCTCATCCTCGGCCTTCCGATCGCCGGTGGCGTAGACCCAACCGCCGGCGACGCAGTTGACGGTGCCGAGGCCCATGGCGGCGGCTCGGACGGCGCCGCGGGCGGAGAAGCGGCGGCGCAGGGCGGCCGGGCTGATCCCGCGGCCGCCGCGTCGGGCGGCGAGGAGGACGTACAGGCCGCTCCAGGCGGCGGTCATGCCGGCGCTGTCGATGGCGAAGCCCGCTATGTTGAGGTAGCTGCTGAAGAGCAGCAGCGGAGCGAAGAGCATGGGCAGGGCCTGGAAGGGCCGGTAGTGCAGCGCCGTCACGAGGGTTGCGAGGCCCATTGACGGGAAGGAGGATGCTGTGGAGGCAGGTCAGATTTTGCTTGCGTCTTGTCCGTGGGGGGTAAGGATACGTACTGCCCCAGCCATTGAGACGGGATATTATTGATTTGGAGGCCGTGGAGGAGTCTTCGGACGACATTGCGACCGTGCAATGCTGTGCACCTAGTTTTATGGACAGCAGCTGCAGCTCAACTTGGGGATCGTATGGATCGTCATCCCACTTCTATTCGAGATTTTGAGGTTTGTACCGGGACCGAGACCATGACGTTGGAGATGCTGTGATGACTAAGCCCCGCAGCCAGTTTTATGTCCGGCCCATGTGGTAATACTGCAACCACTGTTCCGCTTTTTTGAAGTGTTTACGGTACAAGGAACCGACCCGGACCTGCTTGTCTCAGTAGTATTGACTGGGAAACCGACCTTGCCGTTCTTTTGTCCTTGTGCGAGTCCTGGATCCAGCAACATTAGCGCTGTCACGCCAAGGCTTTTTGTTCTGTCCTAGTGAATATCGCCCTCGGTACCTACCTAACTGCGACGAAGCCAATTGAAAAAGCCACGCTTGCATCCCCTGTGTCGCGAAATCAATCGCAAGCATCACTTTCTGCCGAGGAACGAGCCCAAATTCACACCATATGCATCATTAAGAAGGCATATACGTCCCCAGGGGTATTCAGTGTACCCTGGCAGTTGCTATCAGGGCAACGTCCTACTTTCGAAGCCGACCGACCGACCGTTGACCCTGCCAACTCGACGCTGACGTGCTCGTGCCAGCTTCCGACTCGCCGGCTGCGCAGCGATACAAACAAAAACGACCACACAAAGGTCTAACCAGGCCTCGATAACCGGGCGCGATGCCCACAGCGACCAGCTCGGGGGCGGACGCCGCGGGCGGCGGGGCAGGGCCGCGGCACCGGGAGCACAACCAGGGCAACCAGGAGCGCAAGTACACGGTGGAGCAGAAGGCGGCGGTGATGCGGATCCGGCGGTGCAAGGCGACGGCCTTCTACGACATACTGGGGCTGGAGGAGGCGCGCAAGTCGTCGTGCACCGAGGCGGACATCAAGAAGGCCTACCGCAAGCAGTCGCTGCTGACGCACCCGGACAAGAACGGCCACGAGCACGCTGACGAGGCCTTCAAGATGGTCTCGCGCGCCTTCAGCGTGCTCGGCGACAAGGACAAGAGGGACCAGTTCGACCGCTTCGGCACCGACCCCGACAGCCGCTTCTCCAGCGCCCAGGCGCAGAATCCGTTTTCCGGCTTCGCGAATAGGGCGGCCGCCGGCGGGGGCGGCGGTGGTGGCGGCGGCGGCAACATGTGGGAGGAGGAGATCAGCCCGGAGGAGATGTTTGCGAGGTTCTTTGGCGGTGGTGGCTTTGGAGGTCCGTTTGGAGGTACGTGATGGCGATCTCCTGATATTCGTCTCTTTTGTCCCCGTTATCCCCCCTTTACCTACGGGACGATAGTGGTTTATGGAGGGCTAACAACTGAGGGACACAAAGGCTTTGACACGGGGCCACAGTTCGTTTTCAACTTTGGCGGCGGGCCTGGCGTCCGGGTACATCAGTTCGGCGGAGGTAGGCCGAGGAGGCGACCCCGGGACCCCGAACAGGCGCAGGATACCAGCCTCACAAGCACCATCATGGGCCTCCTTCCCATCATCCTCCTCTTCCTCTTCCCGCTCCTCAACTCATTATTCTCGGGCGGCTCGCAACCGGCCGCGCCCAGCATGGTGTTCGACCAGCCGCAGCCGCCCGTGTACACGGCGGAGCGCACCATACCGAACCTGAACGTCAAGTACTACGTGAACCCGGCCGACATCGCGCAGTACAGCAACTACAAGCTGAGCCAGCTGGACAGGACGGCCGAGGTGACGCTGGTGCGGCAGCTCAAGACGGAGTGCGAGCACGAGATCACGCGCCAGCACAGGCTACGGGAGGCCGCCCAGGGCTGGTTCTTCGAGGATCCCGAGAAGATGGAGATCGCCGAGAACATGAAGATGCCAAACTGCAAGAGGTTAATGGAGCTCGGGAAGGTGTAGAGAGGCCTGGCTGGGGACTCGGGGGGGAAGAGGGGCCACGGAGAGGAAGCAGCATCAGTGTTTTGTCCTAATTATTTCCCACACTCGAGGCGAGACATTGTTGGAGACCGGCGTTTGGAAGGCCGGGGGTCGGCCATAACACATAGCATCCAGTCCCGTGGGTTTTAGTATTTCGGGTTCGACCGTGTTCTCACTACATATTCTGGCTACCTACCTACCTAACCTACCTTGTAGGTTTTGACTGGGCATCTACGTGGCCTCGTCAAGTCCATATATGCTCTACTGACCATATTTGGTAAAGATCAATATCACACAGCCGCCATTTGCGGTAGTTCTAAATATATGCGTTTAAAATCTTGAATCGGCTGAATAACAACGTTCCGGTACTACATGGTACAGTACCTGTATGTCCCATCATTCCGGGTTGAGCCTCTTTCATCATCATGCAAGACAATGGGATAAAACATGGGGAGAAAGTGGAGAGCAAAAGAAGCCGGACTTGTATCCGCCCTGCGTCATTGTCATTATTCCTTCCGCGTGGCTGGGGCTCTGCGGTGTGCGACGGCTCGAAGACACGCAAGCTAGGGGCAAATCCTTATGAGGGACTTGATTGTTGTTGCTCGAGGTGTGCTGTGGCGTAGCGGTTGTGAAATATGGAAGCCTTGAATGGGGGCCTTTTGAAGGATTAGTGGCCAGTCTGCTGACATTGTGCACCGCCACTTCTCTGTCAACATCCCAACATCGACAACAACCGCTCCTTGTCCTACATAGTTGAGCAACAGCTCATGATCCTGCCACAGTGTGCTCACCCTTCTGAGTTCCTGGTGGGGCAGAGAGATTCGAATTCTGAGCTTGCAGCCAAATTATTTCCACTCGCAGTGTCACCTACCCTTCACCCTACTCGCTACTGTTTGTGATTTAGCGCCTGGTCAATCATTACTGATGACGCAACCGCCCACGACGCTTCCAGCCTCACCTCCTATAGCTGTATGCGTACCTGTATGCAGTCTTGGCACCTCTTGACTGCCTGGAAGACCTCTCACCTCTCTCTCGCCGTGATATTTCCCCCTCCAAAAGCCCTGCTTTGAGATACAACTTCGGCATCACTGTCAATACAACACGAGGCAATAATCCCGGGCAATATTCCCCGCACCACCGCAGTGTGGCACATCTCTCGGTCATGGTCACCCGCAAGCCATTGCCCGATGATGCTGCCGTGGACCCAGCCGTTGGCCCGCAGCTTCGAATGCAAGATATGAGGCAAGAGCTCTGGTCGGCGACCGAATCCGAGGCAAGTGGTGATCAGATATGGGGGGACGAAACACCGAGGAACAAGGAGCAGTCACAGAGAGGGGCCACCACGGCGGAGGATATACCGAACTCACTACGCCCGGGCCTCCCGGCCAACTATTCCAACTTCTCGAACTTGGATACCGAGCCCAACGTATGGGGCGAGCCGAGCAACCCCACCACCGCCTCTGAGCACAGCAAACATGGGAAGACAGACTCGAACGCGGTGCCCGCCATTTTGCGGCCCGGTGGTGGTGTGGCTCCCCTCTCTGAAACAAACCCGTTCAAGAGAAAGCTCCCAGACGGAGCTACTCAGGAGTCCAGCAACCTACCACCAACGCTGCCGAACAGCGCGCCCCCGGCCGGTCCCGCGGCTGCGCTCGCTCCCCCGACATTGCCATTCTCCGAGCTGAGCTTGAACGAGACAAGTACCAACAACCCCTGGCAACCTGCCTTAGATGAGAAGAGGTTGGACTCGGCACCTCCGGCGATGCCAACTGCCCCTGAACCAGAGCTGCCAGAGTATACTTGGGACTTGGGCGAACCCTCGCGCCAACCCTCTACAGGTCCACCGCCGGCGTCACCCGCGCTAATATCGCTGCCGTCTGATGCAGATTCTGCCGCTTGGGATGAGGAAAGACCGAAGCCAGAACCTTCGCCACTGTCTCTCCCGCATCATGACGAGGGTCTCGGAGACTCTCATGCTTGGGACGATCTTGGGAGCCTGGACAAGCCGAAGACTGGCGCGAAGGCTCCGTCAGTACTCGGTGGAGGGTCGACCGGACTAATCGATGACTGGAACCTAATAGACGTTGATGCACCTCCGCCGGCGCATCCTCCAAAGCAAAGCATACCGGAGAGGCCTGAAGGTGTCGAAGATGGGACCTCGACAGCGACATTGCCGGCACAACAAGAGACTCCGGAGCAGCCACCAAGTGTCCCTCCTGGCCCGTCGGCGGAACAACCTCCGGCCCCGCCACCACGACCAGCTCCGGCTGGAATGACCGAAACTTATCAGATCAAGAAAATCACCTGGTACGACGTGAACGCTGCGAATAACCCGCGGAACTCACCCATCCTCGTTCAAAATGCCAACGGCCCCTGTCCTCTTGTCGCTCTGGTTAATGCGCTGACCCTCACGACACCCGCGGGGACTAACACGGCATTGGTTGAGACGCTGCGATCGCGGGAACAAGTCAGCCTGGGCCTGCTCCTGGACGCGGTCTTTGACGAACTCATGTCTCCGAGGCGGAACAATCCAGAAGTCTCGCTCCCCGACGTGACTGAGCTCTACGCCTTCCTTCAGGGGCTGCATACGGGGATGAATGTAAATCCACGCTTCATCCCGACCCCGGAGGTGATCAAGGCGTTCAAGCGCACGTCCTTGACGCACCTTCACCCGACCGAACGAGGAGACATGATTCCGGGTTCCTTCGAGGATACAAAGGAGATGAGGCTATATTCTACTTTTTCGGTCCCCTTGATCCACGGCTGGCTACCCCCGAAGGCTGATGCTGAATATGGGGCACTTGAAAGGCGAGCGGTCTCGTACGAAGACGCCCAAAACCTGTTATTCAGGGAGGAGGAACTAGAAGAGAAGCTGAGCAACAACTCGCACGAGGGCCTCACGGAAGAAGAGCAGGAGATATATCAAGATATCTTCACCATCAAGTCCTTCCTCGACATGTTTGCTACTCAACTCACGCCTTGGGGGTTGGACGTGATTCGGAAAGCGATGAATCCCGGGTCTGTGGCGATCCTGTTTAGGAACGACCACTTCTCGACTCTCTACCGCCACCCCCAGACGCTTGAATTGCTTACTCTCGTTACGGACGCAGGTTATGCAGAGCACCCCGAGATAGTGTGGGAGTCACTAGTTGACGTCAATGGCGAGCACGCCGAGTTCTTCTCGGGTGATTTCCGCCTGGTTGGCGGCGCCGGCCATCACCAGCAGGAACGGCCAGCTTCCGGCAACTTCGCCACTTCCAACGCCAGAAATGATGGCTGGACAGCAGTTCAGGGCCGCCAAGGCCGAGACCAACAGCAGAGTACAGGCGGAAATGACGAGCCGCCCGTGTCCCCGAAGCACGAACAGGAAGACCGAGATCTCGCTCTCGCGTTGCAACTGCAGGAGGAAGAGGACGAGCGGCACCGTTCGGAGCAGGCCCGCCGTCAACGGGAAAGTAGGCTGTCAGAACAGTTCATTGAACAGCAAGGCCAGCAGCCCGCAGCCGGCTCGGGGAACAGACGAGGAGGCAGCCAAGGTGCCAGCGCCCGTGGAGCTCTCGCAGCCCCATCAGCTCCCAACCGCCGGAGCTCGAGCAGCGTCGGTGGCCCGGTAAGCCCCGTCACGAGCAACGGCGCGCAGCTTCGGGGCGGGGCAGCGTCGAGGGGCCGGGGCGGCGTCGCGGCGCCGCAGCAGAACGTCCGCTCGCTCATACCCCCGCCGCGCGGCGCCCAGGCGGTGAGGCGGCCGGCGGACGAGGGGCTCGACGACGCGCCGCCCAGCTACGAGCAGGCCGCCAAGCAGACGCCGTATGTGCCGCCCGCGGGCCACCCGGCCCACCCCGGGAGCACGGGTCAGGGATCCGGGTCGGGGACCCGGGTCTCTCCGTCGCCGCTGGTCGGACGCGCGGGCCGGTCGCCTGGTCCTGGCGGCGTGCCGGGTCGGTATAGACAGGGCGTGCCTGTGTCGTCGGCGGCGGGGGCTGGGTCGAGCTCGGGGAGGGATAGGGATTGTGTCGTCATGTGAGGATTGGAGGCCCAGCTCATAGATTAAGACAGACGGGGTGACAGGTCGTCACGACAAAATTGGGGCCATGCAGGATCCCCTAGGTGTGGACTTTGCCATACCTAGGCAGAAACTGAGGGATGAATAAATGTGCTATGATTGGCGGTGGGCGTTACTAGGTTCCTTTCGACCGCCTGCGTTTTTCAAGGGAATCAACGTCCCCTTTTGGTTGGCCCTCCAACCTAATTAGACATGCTCCTTTTGTATCATTATCACGATATCCAGATGAGAGAGAGCATGAGTTCAATCATGCTTTAGCGACATTGGTTTAATCCCGTCGTCATCTGATGCACTGGGGAGATGGTTGTACAGTACGAAATTAGCGAACCAGGCGAGCGGATGGACCCTTGTAGCAAGGCGGAGATCCCCAGTTGACAGCTTCTCCCAATTAGATTCCCAGGGCTTATTTATACTTCTGTGGTTCGTTGACATCACACTCTAAAGCAGCATCGCGTCTTCGGGCCGGTTCTTGGTTTATCTGCACATCCGCTGATCCCCTCAAAGCGGAAGGTCCAGATCAGAGTCCTCGACCAGACTTGCAGACCCGCGCGTATTTAACTAGGTAAGAGAAGAAGGATCGCAGGCAGATTACCCAAGTGTCGTCTGGTAGGGTAGCAAGAAGAAAGGAGGAATTCCCAAATCCTGCGCCCTCGTCGTCATTACAGGAATATTGAGTCGTGCAAGTTCAACAACAGAGCCTAGCAAGATGGCACTCATACAGGACTGGGCTCCTCCGACAAAGGAGCACTACGAATCCATTCTATTCATCTGGAAATTCTTCCCTCTGGTGAGACCGACGGCATTGCTCCATCACTCTCACATGACTAAGTTCGTAAGCAGGCTGCCTCTCTGCAATGGCTCATCTCCTGGTACGGCATGGGCAAGACCTCGGTCAACAGCCGATTCAACATCCCAGGCCGGATAGCCTGGGTAACGATGGAAAGCCCAGGCTTCCTGCTCCTGCTCTACATCATGAACACACTCCCGCAACAGCACGGCATCACCGACCTGCCGTGGCAAAACAAGGTCCTAGCCGGCCTATTCGTGAGTCCCCCCCGTAACAACCCAACCGAAAATCCTCACACTAACCCGTCCGTGCCAGGTGATCCACTACTCCTACCGAGCGGTCCTCTTCCCGCTGATGCAGCCCTCCATGTCGCCCGTCCACGGCGTCGTCTGGGCGTCGGCGCTGTGCTTCCAGCTGACCAACGCGACGTGCCTCGGCGGCTGGCTGGCGGCCTACGGGCCGACGACCGAGGCGGCGTGGCGCGCCCAGCTGGCGCCCTTCCCGACGGCGCAGTTCGCGCTCGGCGCGGGGCTCTTCTACGCCGGCCTCGCCGCCAACTACTACCACGACGACGAGCTGCGCGAGATCCGCCGCCGCGAGATCGCCCGGCTGGAGAGGGTGGCGCGGGAGGGCGGCGGCCGGGGAGGTGGTGTCGAGAAGCATTACCGGATTCCAACGGCGGGGCTGTTCAAGATCTTGCTTTACCCGCATTACTTTGCCGAGTGGATCGAGTGGATGGGGTTCTGGATCGCGTGCGGCGTGTCGTGCCAGCCTGCCATGATGTTTGTCGTCAACGAGATCGCGTCGATGCTGCCGAGGGCGGTCAAGGGGAAGAGGTGGTACGAGGAGAAGTTTGGGAAGGAGAAGATTCGCGGAAAGTGGGCTGTGATTCCCGGCGTGCTGTGAGTCTGGATTGTCTTTCCGTGTTCTCTTCGGGGGACTGCTGGAGCGGACCTGGTTGGTGAGTGTCTTCTGGGTCGGGGCCGGGCCGTGAAGATGCTGGAGAGATGGATGTGTGTCAGCGAGTGCTTCCCATTACGGCGTTGCCCGCCGTGATTCGAAGACAGTTCCTTGGGAGCGCTGAGTTTGCGCCAGGTTGGGGAGTGCCTAGCCTGCCTTTCTGCTGCTACATGGGCCCCCGATTGTCTGTCTATACACAGGAGATAGGTATATATATCTACCGCCTCTACCTCCTGGGAGAACCGATATATCCTAGATTTCACTCACACAGCGCCCGTCTCTGCAACTAATACAGCATTTCGAATCCAACCCTCCAGGACAGTCCAAAAAAACCCCAACCATGTCGCAAGTAATGCTAGTTAGGCTCCGCCTGAACACCAGCGACATACATAGCTGTCTTGGAATGTTCGACTCCGTCTTTGGCGTGCAACCCACGCTCCGAGACCTCGGCCCCAATCCAGTCGTCATCGTCCCCCTCGGCTCGATCGAGCTGGAGCTAATTCAACGAGGCCAACCGAATCAGGGATCCGGCACCTGGCTGTTCGTGGTGGTGCGAGACCTCGCCGCCGTACGCCAGCGGCTTGCGGAGACGGATATGAGGATATTGTTTGGAGAGGAACAAGGTACGCGTGAGGTGATGTTTAGGGACCGGGACGGACGTGGCTGGTGGGTGCAGCAGGATGATGGCCATAACCGGGAGGATATGCCTCGTCACATGGATTTGCCTAATGGAGTCAATGGGCACTAGGCGGTGGGCATAGTTCAGGGGCCATTGCGAACCCATTTGAACTCGACAGCCTCTGAGAGAAGAATTATTTTGGAACTCACAGGCTCTGTGGAGGTCGCGGATTAATCAATTTAAGAGCCTTCTTTTCAATCGGAGCGAACAGCTCTCTATTACCGAGACCTCATGTCAGAACTGCATGTTTGACTGAGCTGCCGAGTATTCCTCATGGATGAAAACCAATTGACTTGAAATCAAGCAACTCAGCCTTGTGAGGGGTTGTGGGGTAGGACACCTGAAACTGTTCAACGCAACTGCGAAACAAAGCAGGTACTGCCCAAGTACCTTTCTATACCTAGGTAATTATACGTAGGTGCGTCATGGAGACTACCTCAAGGGGACTGATACCTAGGCACGCACCATAGAGAGGTAAGGTGAATCTGTTAGGAAGTAAGAATTGTAAAAATCAAAATTGGCAGCCTAATTGATTCGTAAGCTTGCAAGAACTAGGTATCTGGAGCTGAAGGTGACACCTTATGAGATCTGTCCGTACAGAAACACACATGTCACTTTCTCTGGGGAGAAAAATGGGTCATGGAAGCAGGCACCAACATGGGAATATAACAATGGATCAGAGCTCCTTAATCAGCAGCCACTGCGGTTGACACCTTTATGTGAAGACTCTGTTAAGACTACGACTCTTAAGGGGCGTAAAACAAGCAAGGCTTTCATCTCAAGTTCTGAATTGTGGCAATAAGTGCAGAGTACATGTAGTGTACATACCCCACACCCCTGCTGATCGGGAGCTAAGGTGGGCCTCGGGCTCAGACCAAAGGACATCTAACAGTCGCCGCGACAGCTGTTCTTACACAGACTTCCGCTTTCTATAAACAGCAAATACCTTCGAATGAGCCCGAGTCCGAGTTCGAGTTACTAAAAAGCTGGTTTATCGACAATGGATCAGAGGAACAGTCTTTTCTCAAAGGGACCACCCCGCGGCGGAGTTGGCCTCCCCGGCCGCCAGGTTCAACGACAGCCGCCTGGTGGTGATCCTGGCGCCTCTTTCGGCAGTCCTCGTCAACCGATGGCGGCTCCGGGAGGTGGCTACGAGAGCCAAAGGAACTACGGCAACTACGGCGCACCGTCTCCGGGGATGACCCCCGCAAACCAACGAATGCCCGGCGGGCCCGGCGGCTATGCCGAGAAACCCCCAGTGACCCGAGGCCGGCCCGTCGGCCTGAGGCTGCAGAAAATAGCAGACAAGACGCTGCAGGAGAGGTACATCTTTGGCAACGTGTGCGCAGTTTCTACCAACGACTTCCCCCCGAACCGCGATGGCTCCGACGTTCCTATACGCATCACCGGAAACATGATACGCGGCGACTATGTTGTCATGGGCAGGCCGACTCCCGGCTTCCCAGACGGATGTATAAGCATGTCGGATCCCCAGCGGTCATGGTGTGGGATTGGAATGATGGACGAGATCATCGGAGAGGCATACGATCCCTTCAGCCAGGGCGGGGCTGTATACATTGGATCCATGGATGTGGAGGTTGGGTTTGCGTCGAAGACGAAGATCGTCGATGCTCCGTACGACCAAGACATGCTTACCAGCGTTTTCAACAAAAACTTCGAGAACCAGGTTCTCGCTCCACAAGAGAGGATTCTCATGGACGTCAGCAACATCCCCCTCCTGATCAAGGTCAAGACCATCACGTTGGTCGATCTTGCCATGACGGGCGGTGATGCCGCCACCCGGACTGACGGCAGCGCGCGAGGCATCATCACCAGCCAGACTAGGATAAACTTCTACAAGGATGCGGCCTCACCCATCAAACTGAAGGGTTCAACCAAGCGGGCGGCCGCGAATGCCATTATTTCCCCAGATTTCAAGTTCGAGGACATGGGCATTGGTGGGTTGGACACTGAGTTCAGCACCATCTTCAGACGAGCCTTTGCCTCGCGCATCTTCCCTCCGGGCATCATTGACAAGCTGGGGATAATGCACGTGAAGGGAATGCTGCTCTACGGCCCTCCGGGAACAGGAAAGACGCTGATTGCCAGGCAAATCGGGAAGATGCTCAACGCGAGAGAACCGAAGGTCATTAACGGCCCAGAGGTGTTGAACAAGTACGTGGGACAGTCAGAAGAGAACATCCGGAAGCTCTTCGCAGACGCCGAGAAGGAGTACAAGGAGAAGGGCGAGGAGAGCGGCCTCCACATCATCATCTTCGACGAGCTGGATGCCGTATGCAAGCAGAGAGGCTCCGGAGCTGGTGGCGGGACAGGAGTGGGAGACAGCGTCGTGAACCAGCTTCTCGCCAAGTTGGACGGTGTTGACCAACTCAATAACATACTCCTGATCGGAATGACAAACCGCAAAGACATGATCGACGATGCCCTGCTCAGGCCCGGACGGTTGGAGGTGCAAATCGAGATCAGCCTTCCTGACGAGAAGGGCAGGCAGCAGATCCTGAGAATTCATACTGCTAAGATGAAGGATAATAATGTCATGGAAGCCGATGTCAACCTTGACGAGCTGGCCTTGTCGACTAAGAATTTCTCGGGTGCCGAGCTGAGCGGTCTGGTCAAGTCGGCCACCTCGTTTGCCTTCAACCGTCATATCAAAGTCGGTACCATGGCCGGTGTCGCCGACGACGTCGCCAACATGAAGGTCAACCGGGAGGACTTCCTCAACGCCCTCGCAGAAGTCAAGCCCGCCTTTGGCGTGGCCGAGGAGGAACTCGAAGAAGCTCTTGTCTACGGAATTATTCACTTCAGCCCCAACATCCAGTCGATCATCAACGACGGTCTCATCTATGTTGAGAACGTCCGGCAGGTCGAGCGACTAAAGCACCTGTCCGTCCTCCTCCATGGGCCGGCTGCGTCGGGCAAGACGGCCTTGGCGGCGCACATCGCCATGAAGTCGGATTACCCCTTCGTCAAACTGGTCACCCCTCAGGCCCTGGTTGGCTTCAGGGACGAATCTGCCAAGAAGGATTACCTGCACAAGGTCTTCACGGATGCCTACAAGTCCCCGCTCAGCATCTTGATCCTGGATAACATTGAGCGCATCATCGAATGGAACCCGGTTGGTCCGCGGTTGTCCAACACGATCCTGCAAGCGCTCATCACCCTGCTGCAGGCGCCCCCGCCAAAGGTATGTCACATACCGCCCCTGTTTGAACTGACTGCCACTCCATGTCTCCCTTTTCAACAAGCCCGCTTACTGACTCATGTTTCGCACAGGGCCACCGCCTCCTCATCCTGGCGACGACGTCCCAGCGCAGCGTGCTCGACCAGCTCGACGTGACGGGGGCGTTCGACAGTGAGATCCCCGTCCCCGCGGTGCGCGACCTGCGCGAGCTGTCGGCCGTGCTCGGGGACGCGGGCATGTTCGACTCGTCGGCGGACCTCACCGAGGCGCTCAACAGCATACAGTCGTACAACAACTCGGAGGCCGTCGGCGTGGGCATCAAGACGGTGCTGACCATCGCCGAGTCGGCCAGGCTCGCGGGTGGCGACCCGGGCCAGTGGTTCGCGGAGCAGCTGTGCGGCCAGATCCAGAGGTACAACCCTAGGGTGTGAGTGAGCTGGCTAGATAAGGGGGGGTGGCTGTGGACTATGGACTATGGAGCGTGCGTGTGTGTGTGTGTGGTCTTGTCATCAACGGGAGCAAGCATAGATTTCTCTTACTGTACGAACTACGGAATATATCGAATGGTCAGGTGCTTCTTTTGAGCTGTGGCTTCAGTATCTGGTTTTGATCACGCTATATATTTTCGTTGCCCAATTGAACTGCCTAGAGATTCCCAATCAGACTACCTTCCTCTGATTTCCCTCAGCCTCTCGAGAGCAAAAACAGAGCTCGTGGCGCTTTCAAACTTAACACAGTCGCAAACCTAGGGGTGTCTTCCGGTTCAGGGGAAACGGCGGCCGGCACGCAGGGGCAAGGGGGCGGCTGACCATCGATCACCAAACCTGTCCCGTGGGACGGACGCCGTCGGGATTAGCCTGCAGGATGGCGCGAGAGAACTGGGGCGCTAGGATGGGGGGAAGAGATCCGGTCACCGATGTTGGGACGAAGGATGGGCGCTAGAGAAGGGTGCTGCCGCCCGGCTGGGAATCACAACTTCGGGGACTGGTGGCTTGGGAGGCATTTTCTTCGCGGCTTTCATTTTCGTTCAGTACCGCAGTAAGTGTGTGAGCTAGTCATTAGTTAGTCTGTTGTGCCGATCCCGCAGTAATCAACTGACCACTGAGACACTGTAGGAGTTGACTACGGAAAGCTCGTCTTGAATATCTGACTGCGTCACCCGCCACCCATCTTTCGAGGCCAGTCAGTCAACGTCGAGGCTCTCGGGGGAAGAGAGCAAAGAGAGGGCAAACGTAATTAATGGTCCCATTTCTCGAGCTTCGTGTGCCAGTGTAGTGTGAGTGGGGGTTGATTCCAAGTTGCAAGGGGGCTTGCAGGGGGCCAAGATTGCTCGATTTCAGCGACCCAGCGACTCCATTCGTGGACGTTGGGTATCCAGACCCAGCAAAAAGGAACAAAGGTTTACAAGTGGTCTCAGGATTGGATGGCGAATGTGAGAACTGACAAGATCCCTCCAAGATCCTGTCCCGGTGCTCTGGGCAATCCAGAGGACTGGAAATGTTGGTTGCACTAGCGCACGACACTAACCGTAGCTCAGGAGAGAGCACCGCTCTCGAGTGATAGGGAACCACCTACATAGTTGTATTGAGTACTGTATCCGTAGTTGTTCAGGTCCCGACGGAGACTTTTATTTTTTGGTCCAGATATTCGAGGGCGGGTATTACTCTTGCCGCTCACAGGGTGGCATGCATGATGCTTGGGCATGAAGTTGACGACAGCTGACCGATCAGGTGATAAGAGTTTCGAGCCAGGGGGGTTTATTAGAGTCCGTTCTTAAGAAACCTAGGTAGGGTGTGTACCAGGTAGCTAGGTGAGTTCATAAGACGATACCAGATGCTTGGGACTTGGGAACGGCCAATTTGTGTCTTAATGCCTTGAACTAATAAGCTTTCCTGTCATCAATAGCTGGTGGTGACCCCCAACATGTCAAGTGGCAACTTAGTGACGTTATGGTCCCGACAGCTAGAATAATTAATTATCTCTCGCAGACCTTATGAGAGCCGCAGGAGGAACTCTACCCCAGGCAGGATCGGGCCGCCAAGATATAACGCTGAAAGCTGCGAAGCCGCAATGTATACGCAGTAGATAACCAATTCGAGGGGTCACAGTCACACACAAACCAGAGGCATATGTGACATCTCCCTGGAAAATTTGGCGCGGGGGTCTCATGCCGGAAGCGCAAGCCGGGGACGAGAGTGGGTGGGCGCCGTTACCAAATTTCCAAGCCCTGGTCAATAATTTAAGGAGACGCGACGGGCGAGCTGGGGGAGGCGTGATGACTGAGAATGGGAACAGGAAACGCCGCAGCAGGGTGACGTTGCAAAATCACTGCAGCCAGGCAGAAGCGTGTTGTTGTTCCTTAGTAATTATGTATCAGCTTTCCGGCATCGTATGAGTACCGACCAGACTCGTAAGCTACCTGCCCTTGGGGGCGGCGATCGTGGTCCGTGAGTGCATAAAGGTCGGCTGGATCGGCCAAAGATTGGGGGATGGGATGAATGTCCCGACTCTCTTGCCGTGCAGCACTGCGGGAAAGGAAGCACCGAGATCATTTACAGGCTAACTGTATGATCTCACACCGGTTTTTGCCATTGCCGTGACCGAATGTGTGTGACCATCTCGGCTGTTCAACCGCAGCAGTTGCTTCCACTAATGTCGATGCTCCCGCCATGTAACTCGGTCTGAGCACAGCAGGACTGATAACGATACATTGAATGGGATAACTGCATGACAACAACTTATCGAGGCGGCGACCTGCTCCCTGACAAGAAGGATACATACGTGACGTTACGAGGAAAGGACGTTCTATTCTCACCAGGTTTTATTGGTAGACTAATAAACAATAATAAAAGGAGCGTAACATCCATTTAACAGCCATTAGAGAAGCTGTGTTAGAGGGAAAATACGGTAAGAATCGAGCAAACGGCCGGTATTTATCTTACCTCTCTAATAGCATAGCCGCTTTTGCAGTACCCTGGCGCCTTATGGAAGTGACCAGGACTGTTGGGGGAGGGGATTGGGGAACGGGGATTGATTGGGCAATTCTTGTGCGCAAAGCATCACTACTGCAACTTCATAACTCCCGAGCTCCATGTATGTTTATTACACGAGATCCGCGTTCGCTTGCCATTTCTCATGTACCATGGCATACTCCTACTCCGTACTTTCTCTGTAGAAATTGCATTGTCAACCAGTCATGAGTATAAATAGACTAAATTTCGAGGCTGAAGTCTTCCAGGTTCAGTGCAGAGCCCAAAAGCCATGGGCTCCGCCCTTCCCACTGCGCTGGGAAATGAGCTTGTCCCCGGCAGTGGGGATGTTGGACATCACCAAGTGCCACCCAGATTCCAGGCTCGGTGCACCTGATGGTCTTAGGTACCGGATGCCAAAAAGGTGACCGTGCGAGTCGTACCCTAGATTTTTTACTAGCCTCCAAGCTACCCACTGGAGACTTCAAATAGTGACTAATAATGACATATGAGAAGTACATGAGAGGTCATGTATAGTGGGTCATGTTGTAACATCTACCTAAGTGTACCCTATATTGGTACATGCACACTCTAGCCGGGGAATCAACAACACCCTTGACCGTTGGGCCAACCAAGCAAATTGCCCACCCCCTCAGGCCCTGACCTACGGTGTTGCCGGCTGCCAACATTGACAGCTTGACTCCCGCCCCCCCCGAGGCCCAGGCCGCCCACCTCACCCCCCGGCCCATGTCCACCAAGCAAAAGAGAAGAAGCCTAGAGTAAGGCTTGGGATCTATGGTCGCTCATTCACCGACGACACTCTCATTCTTTCTTGACACTGCATTTTGTACCCACCCATTGGGTGACTTGTATGAATGGGCTGCTCTCTCGTCCGTTCTCTCCTTCTATAGCCTACGCGGTAGCGCTTTGTGCTCCGACCTGCTGTCCTTCGAGGCCACCCAACTTTATGGCGCCATCTAAGACATGTACGTGACTGAGCATACACGTCCCAGTAACACTGGCCCCGATTTTCTCGCTACACCTCCACCCGAGCTCCGGCCATTGTTTTAACCCCATGACTCAGTTAGACACGAGCAACAGTGGTAACAGCAGGTTCCGTTCCTCGCGAGCCTGAGCCGGTCAACGCGATGGGGACGGAGCCAGAGCTCGAGCCCGAGCCGCTCCCAACGCCTCCAGCGACAGCGTTTTCTTCTCTCCCGCGAGAACAACAACAACCACAACCACACCAGCCACCTCAGCACTCGACGCGAGATCCACCGACGCAGCAAGGCACAGCTCAGCGGGATCCTCGCCTCAGACGCACACCACCCAGACTGGGCCGGAATGGTGAGAGATGGCAAGGAAGAGCAGCACCAGCAAGAGGTGGAATGGTTGGAGGAGCTGCAGCAACAGCAGCAGCAGCACCAGGAGGTGGCGCGCCCAAGTCTAGGCTGCGCCTGTCACCCGGTGCCATGCCTAGATCTTTACTTCCGGTTACAGAACGCAAATCTCAAGAGGAAAACGCTAGTGGCTGGAGGTCAAAGAAGAGCAGTCAGGACGATGACAAGTGGGACATGACACCAGACGGAGGGTCAGCAGGGCGGGAAGGACGACAGTTTACCGTGTGGAACGTGGGGAATAACGGGCGCATCTACTTGAGGTACGTTACTGGCGCCCGCAAGTAGCAAGTCCCGAAGCAGCATCTTTCCTTCGCTACTGCTGCCAATACCCGTCATGGCTGGCTCTCGTTATTGACTGATATAGGCCGAGTGTCCGACCGGCAAATCAACGGTACCCCCAACCGCAGTTCGTGTTCCCCACGACTCCGCCGAGCACCGCAGGCTTGGATGCCCTGGCAATTGGGAAGCGTGGGGGGGACGGGGATGGGGACGATACGGCGACACCATTGACCGAGAGAGGGTGGACGCCAACTCCTGCGCCACAGACGCTGGCCACATCATACCTCACCAGTAGGGGACCATTGGCACGGACACGTCAGCGGCGTGCAATGTCGGACTCGACCATCCCCGACACTAGTGTTGCCCGTGAATCAGATGTCGGAGGCTTCAAAATCATCATCACCCAGCCCGGCGAGGATCAACGGCCGAAGACCTTGGAAGATATCGATGCGGGTCTCTCCCCCCTCTCCCCCCTCTCCCCCATCCTCGACATCTCCATTCCATCCTGGAGGATTGGTACCCCGCGGTTCAGCATGAGAGGGACCCCGTTTATTCATGGATCATCATACGCGCCCACTGAAGAAATGCACCCGAGCAACCCGTCGCTTCTCAACCGGACTCTGCGCGACCCAACCCCCGAGTTACCCGTCTCTGCTAGTCCAGATTATGTGCCGCACATCCAACCACCAAGTCCCCGTAACCTGGTCATGCCGCGCTTCCCCCCGCCGCTTCGGTCGACCTATCTATCCACACACCTCGTCGTCGAGCCTGCCATGTTCGATGCGCTTACCTTCAAACCAGAGTGTGATGACCGCTCCATTGTCAGATACGCACCATCGACGGGCGCCGTGACAGCTGCCAGCCCACCGCGACTCGTGGCCGAAATTACATCGCCCAGCTTCTTAGACTATGATCTGCTGTCCGACTTCTTCCTTACCTTCCGCTCCTTTCTCGAGCCGGCCGATTTGTTGCGCATGCTCTTCTCTCGGCTGCGGTGGGCAGTGGGCCAAGCAAACGAGGAAATAGGCACCGTCGTGCGTGTACGGACCTTTGTTGCCCTCCGGCATTGGATTCTGAATTACTTCCTGGATGACTTTGTGATTGACCACGGGCTGCGAGTTCAGTTTTGCAATCTGCTCAACGACTTGGTGGACGAATTATCGCAGGACTTTGGGGAGCGAAAACCCTGGGTGAAGATCTTGACAGAGCTGAAGAAGTGCTGGCGGCGTGTCTGCGCACAATTTTGGGACGGCCCGGATTTTGATGCCTCGGCCGGTCCAGATATCCCAATATCTCCAGGAGGAATCGCGGGGAACCGTGACTCCAGTTTGAATCCGAGTATCTGGGAGAGGATGGACTCGGATCTGCTGCAGTTGGACGGATTCTTTGTGCCGAATTCAAATCGAGAGGAGATGAGCTTCAACGCCGGTGTTTTGAGGAGGCAACCCAGACACATTGATTATACCGTTATCAGTGGTAATCGCCCTGGTACTCCGGACAACTCCCCGATCGAGGATATTGGGAGAACCCAGACCTCACCGGGCAGTATTACGAGCGTGGATGTGATATCTTGTTCGTTCCCAGCCAAGAACATGCGGTTTGCGCATCCAGGGGCCAGTCATCCGTTGGCAGCACACCCAGTCGATCCGAGTTCCGTGGCCATAAATGCAGACATGGTCGCGACAACTCCCCGGGCATTGATGGGCAAACGAGTTCGTCCTCAGCATAAGCGGAATGGGAGCCTTACGGATTCCTTGCGAGATCATGGGCCCTCAACTGAGAGAGAGCTCTACAAGAACCCCGAAACTTCTCATCCCTTGCTTTACGCCGGAAATTTGGTCAGGGGGAACCTTTTCCCCCCAGGGCAACCGTTCGTCGAGATTCTACCGCCCAGTGCAGCAGGTGGACCAAGCCGCCGGGCGACAGTGTTTCAGTCGCACCCCGCCGAACCGCAGAAGGACAAGCTGATGGCATCAGCCATGTCGGGACAGGGGATGAGAAGGCTGCTCGGCAGTGTTCGTCGCGCGTTGAGCACAAAGGGTCAGACAGTGTCCCCTACCCAAGGCAACTTCATCAACATCTCACCAATCGGACCGCGAGGGGCAACGACGAACAGGCTCCCTGGGACTGCGATAGTCCCGCAAGCCCGGTCGCCCCTGAACGGCGCCAAGTCCCCGGTTCGCATCGACCTCCTCGGCGCGGAGATCGCCGAAGATTTCAAGAAGGCCGTGCGGGAAGACAGCGCGGCAGAAGCAGAAAGGCAGAATACATTAACAGGCGGCCCAGCAACCGAAGCCAGTTACCCAGACGAGATGCTCGAGCGGTCGGAAGCGTTCGCTAGCAACCACCCGGGCTTCAGACCACTCAGTGATATGGCGATCACCACGGGGAGCAAGTCCATCGTCATTGTCGATGATACCCTGCCCATGGGCACGCCTCGCATGACCGGTGCTCTCCCTGCTGTGAATTCTTCCGTCGAGGCTTTTGCCGAGATGTTCATGCCAAATGGCGCTGATCTGACGCCGCCAAATACTCCGCCCGGTCGCCCTATGGGCACACCCCGAAGGTCGTCACACATCTTCATCCAGCAGGGCCCGCACCCGCCCATCCCCGTGGATCCACTCTCACCCTCTCTTCCGGACATGGACACGGTCGGCCCTGATTCCACCATAGCTCGGCCCTCGGAGGACGCCGTCCGGCCCTCCTTCGATCAGTCACTGGCATCACCTTACCTACCTCCCCTGAGTGGAGTGGGAGGCCACTTTAGACACCCTTCGAGTAGGTCTTATCGGTCGAATTCATCCATTTACCGTCGCCGGTATGCGTCTTTTACGAGTGGCACCGCACCTCAGCCAACCATCCGAAGCTTTGACGCCACTACCTTCTCCGAGGGGTCGATTGACTATAGGGCTGATGTCCCCGCACCGCAGCCTCTTCGGGTCCTCAGGAGACGCCCAGGTGGGGATCTCCGGGCTGTTGCCAACGTGGGCGATCTCGAACCTGGTAGCCTCAGGAGGTCCAGGTCAGTCGGATCTTTGACCACTTTCACGGACTCGGTGAGAAGTTCGTACATCCAGAGCCCTACCGGAGATTCAAGCGGGTTCGTGAATATAGTCAGCAGCGACTATTCGCGGGACCGGGCCGAGGCGTTCTCTCTTGGCGCCATTGCAGAGAAGAATCCGAAGCGGGGTGTCTCGTTATTCAGCACACACTCGTCGAAGCCCGTTATGCGTCCATCATTCGAGGCCGAAGCAAAGAAGCTCGCCCAGATCCCGGATGATGTAGATGACGACGGCGGTGTTGAGTCTGCTCTCTTGAAGCTGGAGGGCAAATACCAGAAAAGGATGACTCGATTTTCCATCGATCCGCTCGGTCTGCCTGCAGCGGCGGATGAACCCTTCCCGGCTGCTGGACTAGCGGAATATGGGCCTACGACAATGTCGGAGAAGGCCGAGCATCGCCAGGTGCAGGTAGCCGATGACCATTTGGTGCTCTTACCTTCATCACCTACCGCTGGAGATGACCAGGGGAGTTTGCCCGCTCTATCAAGCCTCGGAAAGCACCACGAAGATGTCCTCTCCTTCTTATCAGAAGAGTCTCGCAGCTCATACTGCTCCATTCCTCTCCTGGAGCGAGGCTTGACAGATGACGGGCGGAGCAAGAAAACCGCCACGAGGGAATGGACGGACCGGTCCGTTCTCCGTGCATCTGACGACGATAGCCCGAGTCCCATGATTCAGCAGAATCCGTTCGACTCACACCATCCATCGTATGACTTCGTCAAGAAGACCGAGAGTATGGAGAAGATTAAGCCCGGCGACACTGCCCCGACATCCAGCCCTCCTCGACCTAGCACGGAGCAGTCGTTCTTGGACGTTGACAGCGACGACAGCGGCGACAACAGCGATCTCTCTTCCGAACTATCGGCAGAACTACTCGGGTCCGGAGACGATGGAGTGATGTTCGCCCCTCGTCGTCATGGGATAGCCGTCTCCAATTTACCAACACACCCACTCAATGGGGATTCGCCGAGTCGCGAAGCTCCGCCTCATCCAAGCATGAATTCGCCGTCCTCACCTATGACCCTCGTACAAGCGCTACAAATGTCTCCTCCAAACACCGCGACCATCCCTGTGCTTCATGACCATCAACTGTGGGGAGACAAGCCGCTACCGCCAACGCCAGAGACAACCCCGATCATGGCGACGGCTGCATATGCACTCAACTCCAACTCGCCAGTGGATGCCTCCGGGTCGAAGGAGACGCTCCGGAACGTCCCGAAGCTTGATATTCCGAATACTCATACCCAGCACGTGGAACCTCAGCGTAACAAATTCTCGGTGCATCTGCCGTTCGTTCTGGCATTCGACAGCGAGATCTTGGCTCAGCAGTTCACGCTGATCGAAAAGGACGCGCTCAACGAGATCGACTGGAAGGAGCTCATAGATATGCGCTGGAAAAATGCCGAGCACAGCGGCATCAATACCCGCAGCTGGGTCTCGTTCCTGCGCGACACTGATGCTAGGGGCGTCGAGGTCGTGATAGCCCGATTCAACATCATGGTCAAGTGGGCCATCTCGGAAGTAGTCCTGACGCAAGGTCTGGAAGAGCGTGCGAGATGCATCGTCAAATTCATCCACATCGCCGCGGACTGCCGAAGATACAGAAACTTCGCCACGACGAGCCAGTTGACAATCGCGCTGACCAGCAACGAGATCGGCAGGCTAAGCAAGACGTGGGCAATGGTCCCAGCGGCCGACATGCGGACACTGAGGGACCTCGAGGCTCTCATCAGCCCGACTAGGAACTTCTATAACCTGCGCAGGGAGATGGAGGGCGGCGGGTCTGTCGGTGCCGCTAGCGCGGACATGGGCTGCATCCCTTTCGTGGGCATCTATACCCACGACCTGCTGTTCAACGCACAGCGACCGAGCGAGATCGCGAGCTCACCGACGACCGCGCCGCTCGTCAACTTCGAGAGGTGCAGGATGGCAGCCGGTGTGGTGAAGACGCTGCTGAGGCTGCTGGAAGCGAGCTCGTTGTATGCCTTCCAGCCGATCGAGGGCCTGACGGAAAGGTGCCTCTGGATGGGTGCCCTCAGCGACGAGGAGATTCGACAACATTCAGAGGCTCTAGAGTGAGATGAGGAAGATCCGAGGCAACGATACAAACGATACGACCTGGCGTGGAGGCATTCTTGATACCCCATCAACTTTCAACGAAACATGACTTTTGATTCGACATTTCGATAAACCGATATACCCCCTCATACTTTTTTTCCTTCGCGGCGACCTGCCCTTTTTTTCGTTTTCCTGTCTTGGTTTTTGCCTACCGACCCGCCATATACACCATGTACCATACAGTCATAGACCTGTCTGTTCTGCCCACGCACCACCGACCTTTATTTTTCTTCTCTCTCGTTCTTTTTATTTGGCCAGGCACCGATACCACCGATGCCACCTGCCATCTACCAACCAACCTAATCGTATCACGCTCGCTCAAAACCCACCTAATCTTCATCAATGTCATCTTTCTGGCATACTAGCTTGGACCATCTTCCCTTTGTGTTTCCCATTTCCAGAAGTCATTCGCAAGGAGGTCAAAGCGAAGGCGTTTTGCGCGTATCGAGAGACGGGAAGGGGCTGGAATTCGGGACTCCTTTTATCTGTATTTTTTTTTCCGTCTCCAGGAATGGAAGCGGGCCACGAATCGGGGTTTTTGGGGTTTTTGGGCATTTGGCCTTTTGGGAGGTTGGGGGAAGGAGGAGAGGTTGTGCCCGCCAACTCTGGCCGGGACTGCTATTTCGTTTTCGGGATCGAGGGGCTCTCTCTGGCTTGGGCGAAGCATGGCGGGCTGTTTACATTTACATCATACCCACATACCCACTACATATCCGCCCGTGGTTTGGTGGTGAGGACGACTAGATTTGCGGCTTTCTTTGGACCCCTGGATTGACCCGGTTCTCGAGGGACAAGAAGCTAAAGGAAATAAACCGATCATTTTGATACATCTTGATCCTGCCTTCTAAGTGACCCAGCATTGATGCGTCGTCGTGGCTCTCCCTAATTCATACCCCTTCACTGAGACCATACTAGGTGCATCGACAGAATAGACATACGAACGATCATGCGGTTTGCACCAGAGTCTTTTCCGATTTTTCGATTTCAAGGGGCTAGTCAGCGTTGGCAAACAAATGGTTCTTTTTTTTTTGTCTCCAGGGGTCCCAGTTTACGATTCCCATCCACCCATAAAACCTCCAGCCTCGCCGACAGAGCCTCGACATGTCGTCGGGCGGGATAACGATCAAGTCCACCCCTTTTGACCCCACAGGGCATTCCCTCTTCCCCGGAGGCCCGTCCAAGGACCGGCCCCCCGGGTTCGAGTATCTTTCCCTCATTAGTGCGGCCAAGTTGACCTTCGGACAAAGGAGAGCACCATCTGCGAGAGCCGAGAAGTTGAAAGGAGAGGGGGAATAGTGTAAGGATAAGAAAAAGAGCTTCCAAGCCGGGATATAGCACTCCGCGCCCCCCTTGCCACCGTACGCCCTTGATGATTGTCCTCCCTCGATGCAAGCAACATGTCCCCCTCCTTCCTTCTCCTCCGTTTTTGTTGTTTACCACTGGGTAGGGGCCGCCTCCTTGGTGGCAGCAGTGGCGGCCGGGTCGGCGCCCCACTCGCCGCTGGTGGCGGCGCCGGCGGCAGCCGGGGTCGCGTCCCAGGTCTGCACGGCGGTGGCGGGCGCGTCGCCCCAGTCGGCGGTGGCGGCGCCAGCGAAGCCGGCCGCGGGCGCCTCCCAGTCGCCGCCGCCGGTGGTGGCGAAGCCGGACTCGATGGCGGCGACGCCCTCGGTCTCGACGCCGGGGAGCTTCTCCTCCTCGATCTTGTCCTCGGCCTCGGCCTCGGGGTCGCGGTCTGGTGAAGGGGGAGAGGTGGGGTTAGCTGGGTTTTTGTTCTACGTTTGTTCTGTGCGCCTTTCACGGCTCGCTCGCGGGGCGAACAAGGGGGGGGGGGGGGGGGGGTTGTTATGGGAGGACTGGGGGGAAAACATACAGAAGTACAGATCAACCATGACGTCCCAAGGAGTCTCACGGTTGGCGATGGTGCCACGGAGGCGGAGGACCTCACGGGCCAGCATCCACCAGACGCAGCCGATGGCGTGACGACCCTTGTTGTTGGTGGGGAGGGCAACGTCGACGTACTCGGTGGGCGAGTCGGTGTCGCACAGGGCGATGACGGGGATGTTGACGTAGCTGGCCTCCTTGATAGCCTGGGAGTCGGTGCGCGGGTCGGTGACGATGATCAGGCGCGGCTCCTTGAACGAACGGGTGATGTAGTTGGTGAAGGAACCCGGAGTGAAGCGGCCGGCAATGGCCTGGGCGCCGGTGTGCGCGGCGAACTTGAGGACGGCACGCTGACCGTAGGGACGGGCGGAGATCACGCAGACGTCGGACGGGTTGTCGACGGCGACGATGATGCGGGCGGCCAGGACAATTTTCTCCCTGGCGCGGGGTTAGCCAAAAATTCGGGAGCAAAAAAAAAATGAATCGCCTTTCGCGATCAACATGGGCAAGAGTAGAGCTCGTTCCACACGTCTTCTCTGAGGCTGTACGTACCAGGTCTTGCCAATGTTGAGGACATTGACACCGTCCGCTCGGGTCTTCCACAGGTAGGGGTTCATGTGAACCTGGAGATTCTTGGAGCCGATGTGGCATTGAGCTGCGAGGAGCATCTCAATGTCCTGGCTAGTGGCATCGAAGGCCGAGGGAAGATTTGCGGGCGCCATCTTGACAGATCTTTCCTTCCTTGAGGAGTGAGAAAGTTGTCGACTGTAATGGCTGAAGAATTTGGGAATCTGCTTGGTCAAGGATGAAGAGTTCTGAGGATCTCAAAATCGCAATAACGGCTTCGATTCCAGCAGTAAAAGCTCGAATTCCTATTGGTCCTGCAGTTTGAGTGGGCGGAAAAAAGCCCTAAGTGCGCTTGCCTTAGGCCAAGGAACCTGGTCCGTGTGTCGACAGTCGTAACGGCGTCTCTTTTCGCCGGATTGCCGAACTTTTCCAGGGGTGTGAGCTAGGTACGTACCCACTCTAAAACTTCATCGCCATTCGTATGAGCCAGGAATGGCTCCAAAGATCCCTTGTAGCTCTTTGATTCTCTAAGAAGACGCGATGCCGCCTCAAATACCCGGCCCGCAAGGGCTTCGGGCTCTGACGCGTAAGGACCCGAACCTATTGCGATTTTGAAAATGATCAATTGTCTAAGTACACAGTACAGTATGTCTCCGACCGGCAGCGAAGCCACGCGCGACAAGCCTGCAGCCCTTCATCCAAACCGCCAACATTTCACGGAAAGAGAAGAAGAGGCGAATGAAGCAAGATCCCTACGGCTGGGCTCAATCGCAACAACGTAAGGCTGCTGGCGTAAAGCGGCAAGACGAACTGAAGAAAGTGCGAGACGAAGCTTGGGGCTCGCCTATCCATGGCATTCCCACTCCGTTTGTGGAATCCTTCGACTCGGCAGGCCAGGCACCATTCTCGACACCACCGGTGGACATAGACGGCAATCCAGCGGGAGAGGCCCACGAGCTCCCGACGTCATCAGAGCTCCGCAACTTCCTGCTCAACGAAGCCGAGATTCAGGACGCAATCTCGCAATCCTACATCCTGACCAAGCCCCAAGAGGCGACCATGCGTACCTCTACCGATCCCGTCTTGGAAGAAAACGAACGGGCCGAGCACGAAAGGAACCATCAGAAGGCTGTCGAAGCCCTGAAGCGGATCACGGATTTACATAATGGCAACGCGAAGGACAGGCGACATACCAATATTAGGCGGTGCATTGATACTTTCGGACGGCATAGTACGGACCACAGCCTCGAACGACCAACTCCTCCGCCGGCGCGCGGCGTAGAACCTATTCCGAAGCCAGAAAGGGGCGGGCCTGACACGGGGAGCAGCGAGGTGCAGATTGCGATCCTGACCGCGAAGATCAGAGGCTTGGCGCTCAAGCTCGAGGGGCCCAAGGGACATAGAGACAAGAACAACAAGAGGAGTCTCCGGCTGATGTGCCACAAGCGGCAGCGGCTGCTCAGGTATATGGAGAAGAAGGAAAGAGGGAGCGGGAGGTGGGAGTATCTAATCGAAACCCTCGGGCTATCTCCGGCCACTTGGAAGGAGCAGATTACTCTCTAGGCCAAGGATGTCCTTTTGTTTCGTCACGTAGGAAGTTGTCAGGAGAAAGTGTAGAGTATATAAAACCGTGTAACCACCCTATGTACAACACGCTAAACAAAAACAATATCAAGATTCAGGTGGCCCTCGATCAACTGGGGATCTCATCAATGCGCCATTACCTGTTCCGACTTGATGGTCTGAATTATTATACAACGACACAATCACCCCCCGACCCCCTAGCCAACTCAGAACACGCTAATGTAGTTGTTGATGCGCTCTTTCTGGTTTTGAGCTATACACTCGGCAATCCAGGTGATGTTGCGGATTTCCTGCACGAGAGGTGTTAGGCCAACGCTTCGATTAGATCGCCCAGTCTCCGGGAAGAAAACATACCTGCTCTCTCAACTTGATCCAGGCATAGACAACACCGTATGTGAACTGCCTTGTAAAGGCAGACTTTGAGATCTCCATTTCCTTCTGGTAAAACATGTCCTCCAGACTCCTGCCGTCAGTCCCGGTACCGCCTCCCATGTTGCCAGGACCGGACGAGCCGCCTCCAAGACCAGCAGTGTCGAAGAAGGTCTTATAGTCTGTAACACCATCCACTGCAAGCCGAACGCCATCGAAGTCGTCAGCCCGCGAGAGCATTAGAGTGCCTTCGGGATAGAGCTTCCCAAGGCTTGGGTACAATTTCAAGCGCTCCGCCTTGGTCAACTCCGTGCCAAACGAGTTGAGAGTGATGTTGATTGCGCGCCTGTCCGCCTCAAACTCTAGGATTTCGGACATGACCTCGGAAGTCGGGGTACCTGCCATATCGGGGTGGGTGTTGACGAAGTTGTAGAAGTCTTCGAGATAGTTCTTGTAGAGCGTGTTGCGGACTATCTCGATGTTCAGCTCATCGAGGTCTTGATGGCTCAAGCTGCCCTTGAAGTAGGGGGCGAGAGGGGTCTCGATCAGCACGCTGTTATATAGCTCCTCGATATTTGTTGCCACACAGAGCACCGGCATAGTCTCGAACCAACCCAAGGGATGGCATCGGTCCAGCAGTTCTCGGGTATCTCGCTCATGAAGGGTGCCGGTGATCAATAACGCAACGTTGTCGATCATATAGCCGTACGTCACATAGTCCATAAACTTGGCGAGGGTTCCCACCGCATTTGCGCGCACGTATCGGAATTCGGAAACAAGCTTGTCTGTTGTCTTCCCGGCCAAGCTCGAGGTGGGTGGATTCGGCGGAAGGGAGGCGAGGAAGTCGCCGTATGCGGGTCCGAGTTGCAGTTTGAGATCTGGTGGAGAGTCAGTATCGGCGGCCGTATTAGGGAATCATAATAACTGACCATCGATATTTTCACACTGGGTCATATTGGTGTAGTTGCTGCCCGTGAGGAGGCCATTCCTGTATCCACGGATAACGCCCTCAATGTAGCTGTTTCCATTCATCAGCCGACTCAGTTGCAAAAGGCGCATACTCAAGAACATACCCATTGTTCACGTTGAAGAAGAGGCCCTCCATCTTCGGTGTGCTTGGTTTCGCTGCAAGCCCTCGAGTTGGGTCAGGGAGCTGGGGTCTTTAGAGCTACAGCTTCGTAGGTCGTTGAATGTTGGCTGCTCGGGCTTACGTTGTGAGGCTGGTGCAATGAGGCTGGTGCAATGCACGGACCAGCTTTCTTTTAGTTTAGCTTCCACCAACCAGAAACCCCCGCCCCAATACCTAGTGGAATGAGAAAAAAATTGTTTTTTGAGTTGCAGCTATTGAACTTTTTTCTTGCACATTGCCGGCTTAAGAACGAAGTGACTCCCCCGACGAGCTGCTGGCGTTCGCACAACACCAATTTTTCGAGGATCGAGAGGTATTACACTACCGCCAAGATGCCTCTTTTCATTCTCGCAGAGACGAGCGCCGGGTATGTATCTCGCTTCACCTCCTCTGCGCTCTGGCTTGACCTTCAGTACCGCCGTAAGTCTCTGTAGTAAAGCTAACAAATTTCTGTTTTAGCTACGGCATCTTCAAGGCAACAGACAAGAAGCTTCTCGATTCGGAGGACCTCATCAATCGCCTCTCGACGCCGGAGAAAATTGCAAATGAGTAGGTCCCCAGCCATCACCGCAGTCTTCCTTGATGATACTAACACGGGCCGCAGAATCAAGTACAAGGAGTTCGCCAAGTTCGATAGCGCTGCGAGCGCGCTGGAGGAGATCGCGGGAGTAATTGAAGGGAAGGTTACCCCGAAGCTCGCCAGCCTGCTCAACGAGTTCAAAGACGAGAAGAAAATTTCACTGGCGGTGGCCGAAAAGCAACTCGGCAATGCCATTGTCAAGCTCCCCGACCTGAACATCAAGACGATCTCGGATTCCTCCACCAATGACCTGTTCAGGGCCATTCGAGAAAACCTCACCAATTTGATCCCGGGCATGCTTCCCGCCAACTTCAAGGAGATGTCGCTTGGCCTGTCTCACTCCCTGTCACGCCACAAGCTCAAGTTCTCTCCCGACAAGGTGGATGTCATGATTGTCCATGCTATCGCCCTGCTTGACGATCTCGATAAGGAGCTGAACACCTATGCGATGCGCGTACGAGAGTGGTATGGCTGGCATTTCCCCGAGCTTGCCAAAATCCTTACGGGTAATCTCGTGTATGCCAAGGTTATCCTTGCCATGGGCATGCGTTCAAACGCAGTAAAGGCCGACCTTACGTTCCTCGAGGAGCCCGTCGAGGCCGCAGTGAAGGCGGCAGCCGACATCAGCATGGGAACCGAGATCACCGAAGAAGACCTGGAGAATATTAAACTCCTCGCCGAGCAAGTTGTTCGGTACGGGGATTATCGGGACGATCTGGCAAGATATTTGGAGAGCCGGATGAAGGCCATCGCACCGAACATGACGGAGCTTGTCGGCCACTTGGTTGGTGCGAGATTGATTGCACATGCTGGATCGCTCATGAACCTTGCGAAGAACCCCGGTAGTACCATCCAGATCCTCGGTGCCGAGAAGGCTCTTTTCCGGGCTCTCAAGACGAAGCACGCCACCCCCAAATATGGCCTGCTCTACCATGCTTCTCTTGTCGGCCAGGCTTCCGGGAAGAACAAGGGAAAGATCGCTCGGCAGTTGGCATCAAAGGTTGCTCTCGGGGTCCGCACCGATGCCCTTCACGAACCGGAAGATGATGAAGATTATCAACCCGGAGCGTTGGGAGCATTGGCGTTCGCCAAAATTCAGAGAAACCTTGCCCACCTGGAAGGCAAACCGATCAAGTCGGGGATTTCCATTGCCCCGCCTCAGGCCTCCCAATTCGACCTCAAGGAAGTCCGCAAATACAACATTGACGCCGATGGCCAAGTCGTTGGCGAGCCAATGAGCACTGACCAGGAGGAACGACCAAGCAAGGAGAAGAAAGATAAGAAGGACAAGAAGAAGAAGGCCCTTATCGAGGAGGTTTCCGATGTTGAGATGGCCAGTTCAGATGAGGAGGAGGAAGATGACGAAGAGATGGAGGAAACACCTGCCCAAAATGGCACATCTGCCCCACGCTCGCCCAGTCTTGCGTCTGTTTCCGAAGATAGCGACGAGGAAGCAGCGGCCGAGAAGGCGAAGAAGGCCAAGAAGCGCGGCGAGGCGACACCCGACAAGGCAGCACGACGTGCAGAGCGGAAGGCGCAAGAGAAGCGTCAAGCCGAGCGCGAGGAACGTCGCCATGCGAAGAAGGATCAGGAGAAGCGCCGAAGCAACAAGTCCGCGAAGGCCTCCACTGCGACTCCGGGCAAGTTGACTGATGCGGACATGGAGCGTCTTGCCAAGGTCGCTGGCATGTCAACTTCCAAGTTCACCCGCAAGTATGAGCGTGGCCAGATCAAGGTCAACTCGGACGGAACCCTGGACGTCAAGAGCAAAAAGGAGCTCAAGGCTGACGAGGCCGGTTCCAAGAGCTCCAAGCGCAAGCTTGAGTCTGAAGACGAGGGCGAGGACGTACGTGCCAAGGAGGAGAAGCCGAAGAAGAAGAAGAAGAAGCATCAGCAGGAAGCATAAATTGCACTTGCTGCCCTTCTCGGACCCCATATCTTCTCGGTCACTCCTGTAATATACAGCCCCCCCCGACGATACCGTCTCATGATATCCGGCGTTCCGGTCTCGATAAAATGGCGGCGTATTTGGTCCATTTGGCTTTCCACCCGATGTATTGCGTCGTTTGGTTCATAGTAAGGGGAGGAGAGGTCTGACAGTTGTTGAAGTCGTAGCAGGTCTTCGGGATCTAGAACTCCGACATCTAGTGAGGAGGATCTGGTTCTTGGGATGTTGCTCACAGACTGATTTCAAATAGGCGTTGGTTGGAATGATAAAATTTTGCTTGTTTACCCTCTTTTGCCTTGATCCTTGATCCAGATGCAAGTTCACCCATTCTACCTAGTAAGAACAGCAGTACCAGAGCTAATCTGGTGCAGCCCCATCTTGCTCGTCGTCTTCACCTGCCACCCGGGTGGGTGTTACCCTCTATCTGACCCTAACCTCGCCATCGGGGTAGAGATCAGGTCGGAGATCCCCATTGCGTCTCCCTCCGACGGTGCCTGCGAACATCTGGATTATAGCAGGTCTGCCAACTATTTGGCAGTATTCTCCTCTTCGACTCCGGCGAGACTGTCCTCATTCGTTGTTCCCGAGGTGGCTGGTTCACTCCTTGGCCTCGAGTTTTCCCTGAGCGGGCTTGGTCACTAGGCATCAGAGATGGGAGGCATGTTGTTAATTTTATGGGCATCTCTCTACGGTTCAACATGTGAATCTCCAAAATCTGCTGGGACGAAGCCTTAATATCACCCCCTCCCAGATAAGGTGGCATTTTCTCTTGTGTTTGCCATCAGATAAATTCGTCACGTGATAACGCGCCATGGCCCTCAGTGACGTCGAATTGCCGTCGCGTAATAGGACGGGAGCGCGCCCTAAAGGTGACATCCTCCGGCAAAGTGGAACTAGAGAGAGGAGCAAGCGCGTATAAGGGCTTGGTCATCCCACATCGATAAAATAGAATCGTGATACTCTTTTAATAAACTGCTCCCCAAGCACTCCCATCATCGCGCACCCCAACATCTCGATCAGATCTCAACGTTTCAATAAAACCAACAAAAAATGGCAGCCGGCACCAAGCGCAAGCATCGCGCTGACGAACCCGACGGTCCCGCCCTCAAATCCGCCAAATCCGCAGCCCTCTCCCTGCCGTCGCCACCGCACAACGACACCCCCACAACCAAGAAGGCGATGATCCCCGCCAAACTCACCACCACCGCCGTCACCGCCGCCGTCGCGGGGGAGGACATGACGCCGCAACTCGAGCGGATCGCCTCCTCCAACCGCACCCCCTTCGAGAAGCGCGTGTGGACCCTCCTCTGCCAGGTCCCACGCGGCCAGTTCACGACATACGGCCTCCTAGCCGCGGCCCTCGGACAATCCTCGTCCTCCTCCTCGGCGTCGTCTCCGCGCGCCGTAGGCAACGCCCTGCGGCGGAACCCCTTCGCTCCGGGGGTGCCCTGCCACCGCGTCGTGGCGACGGGCGGGGCGCTAGGCGGGTTCAAGGGCCGGTGGCCGCGGGACGGGGAGGGGATCACGCTGGACGAGAAGAGGGCGCTGCTCAGGGCCGAGGGGGTCAGGTTCGATGCTGCTGGAAGGAGGGTGCTGGGGTCGCCGTTTCTGGCGTTTGTTTAAGGGGGTCCGTATCTAGTCTCCCGGTGGGGCAAGGGGGAGGTGGGGGGGGGGGTTACCTCTGTTGGTGTTATTGCTGGGAGGGAAATAGGGGGCGGGCTGGCGCGCCTGGAGGAGTTTGGAGTGTGCTGGATCGAGGCCGGGACAAGCTGCATGCATGAGAATCGACCTCATTTGGAGAAGCTGCGTTGGTCTTTTTAGGGACAAGTGTACTACTCTGAGGCATTGAGAACGACGGCCTTATGATACCAAGTCTGGCCAAGGCTGTCAAACATCAACGTTTTGGGAACCATGTTGGCCCTTGATATCTCGTACCTGAGTTTTACTTTGCTCGCATCGATTTTTCCCCAACTTACCTAGCGAAAGGTAGAACAGAATGAAATGCGAGAGGCAGATTTCGACCGTGGGTGTAGAGCATTCGTTAGGGCCTCGTCGCTGGAGCTTGCAAATCTACTGGTGCCAGACAATATCATGTATCGTCACAGCGCAGAACGGCGGTCATGGGGTATTATCTCGTTTTCTCTGTCCTTTCTATGTAAACCGCGCGGTGTTACACGAGGTATCTACCCCTTATCCATGCCATCCATGATCCGTCAGTCATGCAAAGGTTCCATCCCGGTGAGCGTCATGTAGGGTGATAAGCAAGTGGGCGAACCAAGAACCAAAAGCCAAACCAGGCTCTGAGCAATAATTTTCCAGTATCCATGTCGCCGGTAGTTGCTTCATGAAAGGGGGCGGAAAGTTGGGGGTGAAAGTTCAGCAAGCCTGCACTAGGCCCCTAAATAAGCCAACGCCAGCCAGGAATTTTGGTAATAGAGAACGCATCGACAAACGCCACAATTAATGCCATCAGGTGGGGACTCCGGCGGCACATGCTGGGGACAAGAAGGAGATCAGAATGCTGATAATGGCAATGGTACGCATTGGGACAGGGACGAGATGCTCTAGGACTCGTCACCTCCCCGTCGAGGGCCGCCGCGCACGCCGCCACCACCACGCGGTCCACCACGGCCACGGCCGCGACCATGACCATCACCGCGGTATCCTCCACGGCCGCGGTAGCCGCCACGCTCGCCACCACGTCCGCCTCGCCATCCTCCCTCACGGTCGCCACGGCCACGGTTGCGCTGCACCTGGTGGAAGCCATCGTCAGCAGGGGCAGCAGGAGCCTCTGCGGGGGCATCGGGTTGCTCATCAGCCCAGGACTGAGTAGCATTGGCAGCCGGCGCAGGGGTGGCGGTAGGGGCAGCCTCGGCCTCAGCCGGGACCTTGACGTCCACCCACTCCTGAGACATGGTCATCTCATTGCTAGTGTCGATGGGGGTCTCTCCAGCTGCATTGGCACCGCCGTCAGCCATGCCAGCGTTTACGGTATGGGTGGTCTCCTGAGCGTGTTCGGTTGCGTGGCCGTTGGTGAGGGTGGCGGTATCGCCCTGGTCGATCTCGGTCAGACCTGCATGCGCAATGGTCAGGTCCGTGCTGAGTGGCTCCTTGGACTCTGCGACCTCAGATTCTACGGATTGGATGGACGACTCCGTTTGGAAGAGAGGAGCGCCGTGGGCCACAGCCACGGCCTTTACCTGCGCATCTAAAGTGGAGGTTAGCACTGATGCTTGGTGGATGGCACATATCGGGGTGGGAAACATACAAGTCGTCTCCAGAGGCTCGCCAGCGGTGCTTCTAGTCGGTTCTTCGGCACCTTTCACCAGCTTAACCATGGTGGCAACCGCATTCTCATCTCCCGAGTACACGTTCAAGAGGACACCCTCGAGGGCAAGGTTCTCGTCCAGTCCGGCATCAGCGTCCTCGGCACGGCGAGCGGCGGCAAGACGAAGGAACTGAGAGAGAACAAGGAGGCTGTCGTGGATTGACTTGTTGATGTCCGCCTCGGCCTTCTCCTTGATCTCGGCAACAGCATCTGCCTTTTCCTTCTCCAGCTTCTCAGTCAGGTTCTTCTCAAGCTCCGCCTTCTCGGTGGTCACGCGAGCTCGGTACTCCTGGTCAATCTTCTTGTACTGAGCAAGCTGCTCCTCCAACTGGGCAAGCTGGGCCTGCAATCCAGGTTTCTTCAGGACCTGAGTCTTCTGATCGGCATTGATAATCTTGGCAGCCACTAGATCGTCGAGGGTTTTGCCGGGGTGGTCGGCGATGAGCGAGTCGGTCTTCGAGGCATGGGTCTAGGTAGATTGACATGTGAGCGGTGAATTTGATAGGTAAACTAGGTAGAATAGGGCAGAGAAGGCAACATGGGGCGGTGAGAGTGGCGACAGCTTACGATTTTCTTGTTGACGTTGCGAATGTTCCTACCGAGGCAGTGAGAGTCAGATGATTGTCAATACGGTTGGAAATAGGACAGCAAGGACTTACTTCTGCAGCTCGCGGACGTAGGGGCTCTCACCATCGTCCTGGCCCGTGCCATTGGCAGCAACCGAAGCAGCCTTCTCGGAAGTCGCAGCCGTGACTGGGGCGGGAGAGTCTGTTCGCCCAACCTTGGCCTTCTTCTTCTTGGAGGTCTTGGACTCAGTCTGGACTGGAGGGTTCTGAATAGTCGAGGGAGCCATTGCGGTAGATTTGAGGATCTTTACAAGGGCTGTGCAGGATCAAGGATAGAAGGGAACGCCTGATGACCCACGGAGAACCGAGAGCTGCGTGCGATGCCGAAGCTTGGGAATGTGTCAGATCAAGGTGGCGCGATTGAACGAGAGCTCGGCTATGGGAGGGGCCAAGATGAGGAGGAGGTGGATTTAAAAAAAAAAAATTGGGGAAACGTAGGTAAACCGAGTCTAGTCGATTAGGAGTAGGAGGTACAGAGATTTGTGAGGTCTTGCAAAAGTGGTGCTTGGGGACGAGGTTGTTGATTCTTGGAATGGAAGGCTGAAATTTTTTGTATGGTTGGTCAAGGTACGCCCCTCTTTCTCCAAAACCCCTGCTCCAAATAGAAGAAGGCTAAAGAAACACCAAGAATGTCAACTACACGGGCCTAATTTTGGGATGCAGTACAGTGAATGAAAGCGCATGTCAAGGTTAACACCGCCGTGCTATAAGTCTAATCTCTCCATTTTCTTCATGCTTCCCGCCTCATTGCTATGCACACCAAATTATGTATGTATTTGTGTATACATTTACAAAACCGACCCGAACCTTTTGCCTCGCTCGCAGCGCGTTACTGGCCGTAGTATGCATGTCGGAGTCGCGTGCTGTAAATCGACGCTTAGCTTCCCCACTCTGATGGAACTGAACGAGCCTGAGAAGCAGCAAACCTTGTCGCTCCGTGCGTCTTCGAAGGCGCTATCTCCCGCGGCTCGATCGAGACCCCCGGGGCTTGATGGTAGGTTATGCTTCACCCATAATAGTTTTAGAAGCGACAATGCTCATCCTTTAAACTTTGCCAGCGTATCCTGTCTCATGCATCCGTCATTAAATGGCTTTTCTGGAGGAGGGGGAGGAGGAGGAGGAAGAAGCAGGTAGGTCTTACCGCAGTGACTTTCTTGACACTTCGAGCAGTAACACCTCTCTCGCCCCCCTTCTTCGACTCAATGGCTGCCTCCTTCATCAATCTGTCATAGCAGTTAGCGCAGCATCTCAGGACCGGGGCGCATATTCTCCTACGATTGCATAAAGAGGACGTAGTCGAGGAATATCTGGTTGTAAACATGATTAGGATTGGCCCTGGGAGACGCGACCAGGGAACTTGCGTACAGTGACGTCGACGTTTTTGCTGACATTGCAGTTCGAGTGAGCTTTGACGATCTTCTTGACCGTCGCTCGAGGGTAGAGTTTCTGTCCTGGCGCCATATTTTCGCTGGTTCTCAAGTGCCGTACGGTCCTGTATTGGCGATGATAGTATTTAGTCTTTGGAACTCAACTTTAACTTTAACGCGGGACCTTTTGGGAGCTGTTGATCTTCACGTGGATAGCCAATCAGCTCTTTTCAATATTCTAACCCCACATGTGGAGCCCAAATCGCGACCAGACCCCTCAAAGTTGGCATCCAAAACTTCAATGTCCCCTCTTAGCTGAGCTCCGGAATATCGACACACGGCTTTTCTCCCCACAAAGCGGTCATGATGCAGCGGCGCATGGTAATAAGTCTCGTACTCCCCGCAAGAGCCGACCAAGACTAACCTGTCTCCCTCATAGCTGACGAAAGAAGACGAGGAGGCCGCAGGGGAAGAGATCGAAGTCCGGCGAGAGGACCAAAACAAGATCAACAGATTCAGCCGCCTTCACCAACGAGAACTTATGATTCAGGAGGAGCTGAAGACAAAAAATGTGAGGCATCCGCGCACGGATGGGATTCTACCCTCGGCTGCTTACCATGTTTAAATCTTGCGCAGAAAGAAAAGGAGGAGCTCGACGATATCACAGCAGAACTCGAGCTTGGCGACGAAGACGAGCCTGTCCCGTGAGTAGCGGCCCACAATACATACCTCTGGACGAAAGTCGCTTATATGGAGGCAGGTACAAGATTGGCGATGCTTTTTTCCATGTGCCACTACCACAGGCTCAAGAGATGCTTGCCATCACCGGAGCGAGAGTCGACGAGGATATCAACGGACTAGAGGAAAAGCTCGAGACTCTACGAGATGAGATGACCGAGTTGAAGGTCCAGTTGTACGCAAGATTCGGCAAGACCATCAACCTAGAGACTTGACGAACAAGACGAAACCCTCACCAAACCCCTCCCTGCTCATGCTTGTCCTTGTGGTGTGGGTTGGAGGGGTGCCACTAAGGCCCAACTGGAGTCATCTTTGGAGCTATATAAGGAAAACCTGTTGGGGTCAGCCCAATGAGCCACACAAACAGGTCGTCAAGGTCGGCGGTCTAATGAGGGTGCCACCACACCCGCTGCCAACCCTTGGACAACAGGATTTAGTCTGTAGGCATTTGGGCGGTCTATGACTACACTTATTCACCTAGGTACTCAGTCAATGGAATATTGGTGGATTTTGGAGCCTGGCGGGACAAAGGGGTGGGTGGCAGGCCGGACGCGGCCCGAGACGGGAAGCTGTGGCTTGGGGGCCGATTTTGGCGGGAACAAGGACCCACTGTCAACGTTCCCTCGGAGTCCCGACGTCAGTATCACCAATAAAAGCGGCTGCACTCCGCATTGGCCCCTCACGAATGTCCAACCCGTATTCGCTCCCAGCATCCGATATCGCATGCAAGTATACTATAAATGTGTGGTGGACTCGGAGCTGTGATGGTTGACGTTCAATCAGGGTGGGGCTGTTACTAATCCAACCTCGAGGAGCAAGGGGAGAAGCAATCCCAAGAGCCTAGTGCCCGGCTATGATCTTCCTTATTTTGTTCCACAATTGCCAGATTCTACGCGACTCCTGACCTCAATTGCGACCAAATCAACCAATCACCGCCTACTGAGATGGAGCTGTTCCCGGGGATAAGCGTTACACCCACCTATTCCTCATTCTTTCCCAGCATCCAGCATACTGCGGGTACACTGTTGCTCAAAGTGACATCAATGTCCAGGATCTCTCGTCCCGTTCTTTGCGGTCAGCGTCCTTTTTTGTACTTTTAGCAAGGTAGTCTTATGGCAGGGCTCGCCAGTTACAGTCACTCTTTGGCAGTTGCATACGTTATGAAATCTTGCTGCTCTCCAGTCCTACGGTTACCTGAACAAACGACCACATGCTTAGCAGCATGGGAGATGTATATGAGCATGGGCATGGGCAAGCCCGCCGTTCTCAACACAGCCGTGAGTTTCGCACCCAAGGAGCTGTCGGCGGCACTAACACCTACGAGGCGACAATAGCCGGCTAGAGACGCTCGTCACTGAGATTGACCAGATAGATGCGTCGATGAGATACCGAGAGGAAGAGGCGGACAACAGGATCGCCAGTGATCAGAACGTGTCCAGCTCCTCGAGCATAGAACAAGAGAAGACCATTGTGTCCTGGGAGCCAGACGATCCTGAGAACCCTTACAACTGGTCCGCTGTACGCCAGCATCCCCCTCTCGCCATGTCTTTTCTCTAAACCGTCACTCTAACCCGACTGTAGAAAAGGAAAGGATGGATTCTCTTCATCGCGATGATGACCATCATCAACTCCACCATGGGGAGCGCTCTGCCGAGCAATGCCATCCCTTTTATCACTGCTCAGTGGGGCATCGAGGTCCCAACCCAAAAGGTTTTGCCAATTGCCATGTACCTCGTCGGTAAGCTGTGCAACCCACCTTCTATTTTCCTCTAGGCACTGACTAACCTTTTGCCCCAGGCTATGTGATGGGTATGATTTCCTTTCCTTTTCTAAGGACGCTTGCCTATGAAGACAGGGAAACTGCTAACTCCATTGGAGGACCTCTTTTCTGGGCTCCTCTTAGCGAGCAATATGGCCGCCGCAACCTGACCCTCGGCACCTTCGCAATATTCTGCGTGTTCACCATGGCCTGCGCCCTGTCGCCCAACTGGGCAGCGTTCATCGTATTCAGGTTATTCACCGGCGTCTTTGCGAGTGCCCCTATTGCGATCGTGGCAGGCGTCTTCGCAGATATCTATGATAACCCCTTAACTAGGGGCCGGGGCATGGCAGTGTTCATGGCGGTAAGGGACCACACAACCCCCACCCCCCCCCCCCGTTCCCGCGGTGTCGAACCCACCGCATAGGCTTACAGGAATCACCAGACCACAGTCTTTGGCCCGCTTTTTGCGCCCATAATATCCGGTTACTGCTCGACGACGATCGGATGGCGGTGGACATTTTGGATAGCTCTCATATACGCTGGAGCGACCATGGTCCCGCTTATGCTCCTCCCAGAGACCTACGCACCGATCCTGCTGGTCCGCCGCGCAGTCAAAATACGCAAGGCCGACCCGACAGCTCAGGTCGTGGCGCCTCACGAGCTCGAGCGGAAGGACTTCAAGCAGCTCGCCACCGTCGTGCTGACCCGCCCGGTCCGCATGATCATCTTCGAGCCCCTCGTCAACACCAGCTGCGCGTACCTCGCGCTGTGCTACGCTATCTTCTACATGTCGTTCCAGGCCTACCCGCTCATCTTTCAGGGCGTGTACGGCCTGTCGCCGGGTGTCTGCGGCCTGACCTATATGGCGATCGGCGTCGGATGTGTCATCTCCTTACCCATGTTCTGGGCCTATGACGGGATTCTCATCCGCGCGCAAGCTCGGAATGCGCCCTGGACCCGCAAGGAAGAGTACCGTCGGCTGCCCATCGCCTGCGTCGGCGGCCCGCTCTTTGTCGTTTCCCTCTTCTGGCTTGGTTGGTCGGCCCGGGAGTCGGTCCATTTCGTCGTGCCGATGCTGGCGGGAATACCATTCGGGATCGGCTTTATGTGTATATTCATGGCCCTTCTGTAAGCTAAGCTCCCTCCACTCCCCTTTCCGCCTTGCCTCCCTCCCGCAGGCTACACTAAATCTCCTAAAAACGCGGGCCGGTGCCTGGCCCCTCTAATCCTGTTCGAAGCTGACCCGGCCGCAGAAACTACCTCGTCGACGCATACGAGATATTCGCCGCGTCCGCAAACGCCGCGGCCAGCTGCTCGCGCTCGCTGCTGGCGACGGTCCTGCCCTTCGCCACGGCGCCCATGTTCGCGCGGCTGGGCATAGCCGGGGCCTGCAGCCTGCTCGGGGGCCTGAGCCTGCTCATGTGCGCCATCCCGTTCATCTTCATCTGGCAGGGGGAGAAGATCCGCGCCAACTCGCGCTTCTGCATCGCCCTCAAGGAGAGGAAGGAAGAGATGGCGAGGAAGGTCGAGGAGCAGCGTCTGAGGGCAGAGGCGTCCGAAAAGAAGGTCGCCCAGGGGCCCAAGGCCGAGGTCTGAGGGGGCTCTCCTCTTGTTATTGTGTCTCTTAAGGTGGGCAACTTCGGTCAATAGATAAAATTTCTGGCTCTTCATACTCCCCTTGTCAGTGACGCCTCCAATCTCTTTCACCCCTTTCCTGCAGGTGCAGACATGCCTGCGCCTGCACATCTCTAGTGCAACTCTCTGCTGTTCTTCCAGCTGCATGGTCACTGTCCGCACCTGCGCCGCCTCTCCTAGCCCCGGCCACACTACCGCCACGACTCGCTCTATAACCCCGACCTCTTCTCTCCCCCCCGACCCGCACATCATCATACCAACCCGATCCCGCCCATCAGTCCTGGCTTCGAGACCAGGTAACAGGCCATATAGGACCAAATACCAGAGAGGTCTTTCACCCCTTTCCCCCGAACATTGGGTTGCACTAATAAATTGCCTAGATGCCGTAGTTGGCTACTTGCCACACTATCTGAAGACTGGAGAAATGGTCTGCCATTCAACTCCTCTATACAAACAAACAGTTTTTTTTCTTCCCTTTTTTTTATATTTTCCTTTTCCCCTGCTCCCATTTCGTTCCCTCCCGTTTCTTTTTCTTGTCCCCTCCTCGAATGTAACGGTGGGATGTCCTCCTCAATAGCCATGTGCCTGAGGCTGTTTTCCTTCCCTCTTTGTCTTTTCTCCTTCCACTCCCGGCGAGTTACGGTGCCGTATAGGGGAGGATTCAAGACCATTTGGATAAATAGACACCAGAACATTCCGAAGGGTTGACGCTAAAGCCCACTTCCTCTGCTGAGTTTGCGAAGCCTGCTCGGTCTGCTCATGTGACGCAATAGGCGACTTGACTGGGAGATTCACGGGAGAATAGACCGTTAGACCATAGACGTGCAGCTGGGTGGATGGAGCAAAGGAGTCGAGACTACTAGAGTAGTGGATATCTAATGGCAAGTTGGCACAACGGAATGTGTAGAGTCTCCAGTTAAGCTGAAAAGGCACTCCCATGTTGCGGCTTGGGTTTAGCCCTGGTAATAACGTATGCCAGCTAGGCCGCCTGGCACACCGCAGTGTGTACTCCGAAGAGCTCGAAGCTCAACGGATCTAGTGATAGCTAATGAGAGGATACATGGCCTTTCCCCCCATGAGACCAACAAGTAAAATGCCTAACCCTCATGCGACTCCCTCCCAGCCTCTCAAGCCTCAACAGCAGCCCCTTCGAGACGAGCGCCATGGGTCGAATCCCAATTGCGCAAGCAGGCCTCATAGTTTGCCTTCACGAAGGCCATGTCCTCTAGTCCAACACCAAACTCTGGGGCACTCTTCATTAATTTCGGCCCGTCCCATGTCAGTCCACCTCTCGCCCCTGTTCTCCCCTGATAAGTAGCCGATGCCCCGCGCCAGAATGCATCAGGTCTAAGTATGTCAAGTCGGGACCTTCGGATCACAGTTGAATCGCTTTTGACCGATTGGGCGTCCGCATTCTGATCCGTAAAGCTGCTATCTCGACGTTGGATGTCTCGCGACCGGCGGTCACCTCGGGGGTCTGATTGAAATGATAGACTGCCGCTGCCGTTGCTGCGAGATGTGCTTTGAGACATGCGACTCGAGGCTGTAAGGTACTCTTCGGTGGTAGTGCTCGAACCCTCTCTAGCCATGCTGGGGCTTACTGGCGTGGCTGGAGCGATGCCGCGTAGACTCGAACCCAACCTCACTCTAACGGTACGCTCATCGATATTGCTGGGAGCGCCATATGATACCACTTCTTGACCTAGGCCATAGAATGTTTTCGCCAGATCCGTCTCATCCCTGGGACTCTTTTTTTTCTTGTAATCGGTGGCGAATAGAGGGGAATCCAGGTTGGTATTCTCAAAGGCCTTTGCTTTCTCCTGGCCCCGCTGGCGGCTCTTCAATAAGTCAACTGAGATGGTGTGGATTTTCTTCAACCCGGATTTCATCTTTCTCCCAATTTTTCCAGACATTGTCCCAGTTCCAGGGGTTGTCTTCTGACTAGGAACAATCGGTGCCTTGTTAATCTGAGTCCCGTTTTGTGGCTGTGGCATCATGTCAGAGAAGTCCTTGGACACAACTCCGTCTGCTAGCCCTGCAGGCCCATTCCGCTCGGCTCGGGAGTGCGTCGGGAAACGAGCCCACGCGCGCGGAGGTCCTGAAAACTTTGCTGGGGATTGTGTTGTCTGTCTATCCGGAATGTTCATACCGCGTTCGCCCTGAAGCTGACAGGATCCATTCGCAAGGGTTTGCCGAGACTGCTTGGAGAATTCGTAGGAATATTCGCCAAGTGATTTCATCACAGTCGCAGGATTTTCTGGAGAGTGACCACCGGAGCGCTTGGGAGACGAGATACTTGTGCTATAGTTGGGCATGCCTATTCCTTTCATGTTGCTGAGCTCCTGAATCTTGCCCTGATGGTTGCCGCAGTCGGCTAGATGCTGCACACCACTACTCCTGCGGGTCTCGGAGCTCCATATCCTAGCATCTTTCTGAGAGGTTAAGCTGTTTGGCAAGAGGGAATCCTCGGAAGCCCCTCCGCGAAGGTTTGAACTGGAGGAGGTGCTTGTGGTGTCACGAGAAACCAAAATTCCAGGCAGAGGGGACGAGCGTGTGACGCTTGCAGGGCCGGCCCCATCGAAGCGCTTTTGGCCCAGTTGAATTCCTCTTGCACGACCAGGATGAAACCAGGGGAAAGTAAAGGATATCGGTTGGCGGTTCTTGGAAGATGCATCGGAGGTGTCGCGGGACTCCCAGTGCACCGAGGGTGGTCGATCACGACGGAAGTGGAGCTGGGAGACTCCTTTAGCTTCTGGCTCAGGATTGCGGGATATCTCAGGTGCCACGTCTGAATAATTCTCCGCCCCCCTTTTGCGCGTCTCGAGATGCGGGAGGCAGTGAGTTACTATATTGGTAAAGTATGAGCACGAAGTATTGCTGGATCCTGGAGAAGTTGCGGGTGCATAAGGTCGATGCTTCACTGACCTCAAAGTTAGCCATCAATGCATGCTGATAGACCAATGGAAGGTCCTACGTACATGGGCGGCGAAAAGCCATGAACCTTCTTCGAAACCAGCCCTGGCGGTGAGACGTAGAGGTTCGGGGGCTCGGCCGAACGTTGTGAGTGGTAGAAGGAACCCAAGAATTGCTACTAGTAGATGCTCCATCCTCTGGGATTGGCGTTGGGCCGTACTCAACGGCCGGTTGACTGTCCGCAGGTGAGGTAAATTGAGGGTTGGATGCAGTTCGCGGACCTAAACCTGGTAGCTGATATTTCTGACCGGATACGGAGCGGCTAGAAGAGTGTGCTGGTATTGTACTATGCCGTTCATGGCTTTGCATGTCTTGGCCTTTGGAAACACCAAGCCCTGGGAGGCTCCAAGAGTCCCTTCCCAGGGTTGGGAGGGAAACGCATCTCTTCAGAAGTCGGATATTGGTTGAGGTCGAGATAACCAGCGACGGAGGGCGAGCCGATTGCTCCCCTGATGGATCAGTCCTAGCTGTCTGACTTGAAGACTTGCCTTGAAAGACATCTTCCTGTTCAATGTCCAGGGCACCACAAAGTTGGCCGGCAGTATATGGCGAAGACGTGCTTTGGAAGAGCTTAGGGACCAAGTTTGGGGAGGAGGGGGAGGAGGGCGCTGAAGGAGGAGAGCTGCTTTCCCAGAGCCTACTTTGGCAAGCTGGCTGAAAACAGTTGGGACCGGTGTGGGTTTCCAATGAAATTTCGCACACTGTCTCTTGTCCTGCCCCACTGCCTGGTTCCTCTCGGCTTCCCGTGGGAATCAGACCTTTGGGTTCAGGTCGCAGGGTAACCTCGTCACTGCCAGAATCTAGGGGATATCCGTGCTGAGAGAGGGTCTCTTGGGATGAGCACTGTGGAAGGTGGGTATTGACCAGATGAGCGGAATTGGGGCTCGCGTTGCGAGGTTCCTGATCTTGTTCACCGTCGTGGTCCGACCCAGAGGCAGCAGGTTCGTCGAGCCTTCCAGGTCCGCTGCCGTCGTTTGTTCCGAGTTGGGTTGATTCTAAGGATGCATTGACATGCGTAAACTCGTTGGATGCCTCGGATGGTGGTGAGCCAACAGGGTCTAGGCTTGCTGTCGTCTCATGAGTGCCAGGTCCAGTGCAACAGAAGAACCCAGACATCTCTGCGGCGCAACGAACCACCGACTGAGGGGATAAAGCGCAAACGAGCCCAATTTCCAAAAAGGAATGTCAGTCTGATCTGCACATAGCTGGCCTGTCGTGTAGCGATTGCAAGGGCCTAGAAAACCATAGCAAACTGGAATGCATGAAGCTGTTGGTCCAAAGATGGTCGAGGCAGACGTCGCCAAACATGCATGGTGTTTCCTGCTGGGAACCTGAGTCATCTCCAGTTTTGCAGGGAAGGGAGTTTGAGGCGGGGGAAGGCGCATCCCATGGACAAGAACATCTAGGGAAGGACCGTAATTCGAATCAATTTGCGGAAATTGCGATCAATTTTCTTGACTTGGAGCATACGCTGAGTAGCCCCTATCTTTGGTTTGCGACCTGTGGCCTATAAACAGGTAGATTCTCGTCGCCATCGACAAAATTGCCACTCCCATTGTAGGGAGTCTGCTCAGTCATATGTGTCATCCAAGCCATCCTGATCTTCGCCAGTACAGGAAGCTCTCCGGCACCGACCAACCGCACGTTAGGAGACGGAATTGGCAAGAAACTGGCCAGGCCGTCGTTGAGCGCGCCTAGATAGGAGACCGAGTTGTTCACACTCGCTGCGTTGTCGGGAACCTTATTCCGCGAGTCGCCAGACAGATCTGCTGCAAGCTTGAAAACGTTTGCTCCCGACATCGTACCTGCCCAGGTTCGGAAGCTCCCAGTTGTGCTCGACCGTTGACAGGATGCTGTAGTGCGTATAGAACGTATCGTCTGTTGTTCCCTTTAGCGCCGGCGGAACAGCGCTCCCGAGCAGCAACATAACAATACGATTCGGCTCCTCGTATGTCTCGGACTCGTCGTACGTGAGCATGATTAAGGTTCGGCCGTCGGATGCCTCGTCCGCCAACAATGGCTTCAGGAATTTGTTGGACCAGTCTGTCACGTACTTGAGCGTCGAATTGTGCCCGGTGTTCATCATGTTGGGCGTCATGAAGACGAACTGCGGTACGTCTCTAGCGGCAAAAGTGCGCTGGAAGTCGTCGAACGACTGCAGTTTGAGCAACCTCGATCCGTTCATGTTGATGCTATCGAACGAGACGAATGGGCTGCCAAAAAAAAAAAAAAAAAAGCGAGTCAGTGACTCCTCCCAACAAGCTCTTCCTGACCCATACCACCTCTCGCATACTTGTGCTTCCGAACGTAGTCCCATTGCCCGCTGCGGGTCTTCCCATCACTGCCCATGCCCATGCCCATGTAGCCAGGGCCCGGCATGTCCTCAAAGTAGCCCGCCCATGGGCTATCTTTATAGTCCAGCAGGCAGATCGACGATGGTTGACACATTCTCGGGCACGCGGACGAACCCGCCGTGGTTTAAACCGAAGTAGTCACCCCCCACGGCAGCCAGATAGTTGGGTTGGCTGGGATGGGTATTTCCATAGTAGCGAGTGAGGAGGATGCCGTGCTTCTTTAGGTCCTTGATATTGACATCTTCGGATACCTTGGCAAAATCCTGTTGAAATAGCAGGGTTTTTTTCAGGTCATCCAGGTCCTACAGCTTCCCTCCGTTGCTTGAAGTGGAAGGGGAGCTGACTTGGTTCTCCAGCCAGATGGTTATCAACCTATCAAACGCTCTGCCCGGCACGAGCGGTGCGGCATTGGAAAGGTATACCAAGCCAAGCGCGCAGAATGAAAGCAAACGCATGTGGTCAATGTCCTTCAATGCATTTTGGTGAGTAACTTGCTATCGTCGAGTTCAGATGAACATGGGTGGACCCTGGATGTCACGTTGGTGAGAGGCTCTGCCTGCGGCGCGCAGGTAATTGGTTGGATGGGAACAGGTAGGAACCCAGTACAGGTGGCCCGAACTTCCTATTATTACATACAGGACATGTAACCCCCCCGCACCAAGCAGACCAAAACATCATTTTCCTCTTTCAATTCCTCCAGCGTCACGCGCCGCCAGTTTTGCAATGCCTCTAGAATCACTTCCTGCCTTCCGGTATCGCCAGCCGGCACATGGAACTTGTTGAAGATGTCGAGAAACACGTCCCTGCCAGCTTCCACCCCGTCGACATCGGCGACGTGATCGGCACCGGAAGGGCTACAAAGTCGTCCACAAGCTTGGCCATGGAGGCTTTTCGACTGTCTGGCTTGGCCATTCTTGTGGAGACGTGCCCTCCTACTTCGCGCTCAAAATCCTCGTTGCTGACGTTGACAACGACAATGAAGTTCTCGGCCCTATCATAACCGAGAGTCTTGGTCCCATATCCTGCCCCCGTCATTTAGCCCAACGAGGGTTGTTAAGACTACCAGCTTCTCAGGCTACTGGGAAGGGGCCGGCAGCATAACAAGACGGGCTCGAGTAGTGGTACGAGGATAAAATACTAGAGAAATCGCACGATGAACGGCTTTCTAAGAAGGCGCCGAATCTCTCCACTCACCGGAGGGAGGAGTTTGTTCGCTTGCTCTACGACATGGTGGCATATGACCCAGAGAATCGACTTTCAGCACGGATTACTCCGTATCGGACGTGATATTACGTCTGAAGCCAGTGGCGCTTTTGGACAAGTACACTAGCCACGTGATTCGCTTCGACAGGGGCCTGATAGCGCTAGTTTCCAATTTGGTTAGGGGTGCGAGCTAACATTTATTACCCTGGCGGAGGTAGGCGACGGTATCCGTCCGCTCTGTAATTTCTGCACACCTCCTATCAATGCTTACTCCATGTCTCCAACTAACCTCTCTCTAGCCGGCCCTCCGGAGTCCTAGGCGGTAATATTGCCCATCGTTTGTGTCCCTACCCCGGGATGCACGGCCCGGAGACTTCGGCGCCAGAGCTGTGCTATCGGCAGGAGCGGGCAGTTAGCTACGCATAGCAGTTGTTTCTGAAAGCATGGATGGGACCGTGTAATATGTAACAACAAGGACCTGCTACAGGGGTGCTGAAAATCGCTGCTCCTGGCAGCCAAAAACGGCAGCCCAGACAGCACACAGTCAGTTTTTGGGCAGTTTTGCCTTGCCTGCCGCTACCCCTGCCCGCGTAAGTTGGGAACGGAGTTAGTTCTATCTCCGTATTACCATGGATTCTTCCATTCGCACCTGCCAACAAGCCCGGTGTCGGCTCTCTATAAAGTGCGCCGAGATGATGTGGCCCATTACGAGCGAAAATGCCCTTTTAGGAAGCCGCGTAAGGACGACGAGTCGATTATGGTGGCCAAGATGAACAATGTTAGTCATAGCTCGGCGTCCGAGCTGGGAATGTGGGACCTTGCTAATTGCCGAGCAATTTCTCGGCCCCATATCGGAATTCCGAGGCACCCAAGTGCGAGCTTGACCAAGCAACAGAAGAGATGGAGACTTGAAATGAAAAACAGATTGCTGATGTAAAATTCGAGGCACTGCCCCATTCTCTTCTCGACATTGCATCGTGTGACCATTTCTTATCAGATCGATTGATAAACCTCGGATCTGCCCCCCTTGCCTCGGAGACAAGCCCAATTAGGCCAACCAGAACATCCAAGAGCCTAGAGTACCCCAGTGGTTGGTCGGTGGCGCAAGCGTGCCCTTAAGTACTACATTTCCTTCATCTTTACCCCCGATATTTCCTTGAGACGCCATGTCGGAGCCGAGCTCCGGCGACGAGAACGAGTCGTCCCACCTCGCTGCCGAGGTCAACGAGAACGGGGATCAGCCGCCGCCGAGGAAGAGGCAGAGGGTCAGGCTCTCGTGTCTCGAATGCCGACGGAGGAAGTTGTCGTGCGACCGAGAATTTCCCTGTTCGCGCTGCCTCCAATCCGGAACCCCGGAGAAGTGCGAGTATGAGACTCGCCCCGGTCTAGCCCCCCCCAACAAACTCGGCCTCTCTCAGAGCCCTCTTGCCAGCTTCGACACCCGGCTGTCCTTACCCCATGGCGGCCGAGAGTCCTCGCCTTACCGGAAGGATTCCTTTCGCGACCATGACAGGATCCGTAAGCTCGAGCTTGAAGTCGCCCAGCTGAAGGGCCTTCTTGCCAAGCAAGTCTCTGTGGACGGAAGCACTGTGGTCGAGCAGTCTCCCACTACTCAACAGGCCGAGGACAAGTCCGAGGCTGAGGCGAAACTGCCTTCCTTCCTCCAGAGTCAGTTCGATGTAGGCGGCTTCGAAAAAGAAGAGCTGCGATTCTTTCGCGGCAAAGAATTCAAGACTCGATATTTCGGGCCCCACAATGCCTGTCTGGCGTTCTCAGAGGTAAGGGGGCTCATTTTCTTGCACCACCCCGTGTATTCCTGTCGTCCTCTTGACCTGACTCCCTCTCCCAGCTTACCGGCCTCTGTCCCTTCATGAAAGAGACTGCTGAGGAGTGGCTTCAGCCGCTCCACATCCACAGCAACAAGAAGGACAGGAAGAAGAACAAGGAAGAACGGGAGAAGAAGTTTCATCTACCAGATCTGGAATTAGAGGCCCTGTTGCCGTCCAAGGAAGAAACCGACACCCTTGTCTCGGTCTATCTGGACCAATTTGAACAGGTCCATCGTATCGTCCATGTCCCGAGTTTTCGAAGAGAGTATTCGAAGTTCTGGGAGCCGGGACATACACGGACTGCGGCCTTCACCGTCCTTGTCTTGTCTATTCTGTCCATAGCCAGCTGCCAGCGGGATCATGGAACCGCCAAGTTCGAGAAGATGGTATCTAATTTCCACAATTGCGCCTTGAAATGGATCAAGGCGTGCGACCAGTGGCAAGAGCGTCAGAGCCAGAAACACAGGCGACTGATTCACTACCAGATCGCCTGCCTCCTTTATCTTTCCAAGCGTGTCAACACGGTGAAGAAGAAGCGGTTCTGGAAGGGGGCTGGGGCACTCATCCAAGACGCCATCTCGGTTGGTCTGCACAGGGACACCAGCCAGGCAAACGACAGTATTTCACCATTCAACCAGGAAATGAGAAAGCGGCTCTGGGCAACGATGGAAAATTTTGATCTGCAAGCCTCGTTCGATCACGGCTTGCCGTCCATCCTAAGCGCCCTGCACTACGACGTCCGGCCGCCTGGCAACCTCGACGACGACGAGTTTGACGAGGATACAGAGGAGCTGCCGGCGTCGAAGCCGCCCACCGAGTATACCTATTCATCATACCAGCGTCTCAGCCGCCAGAGTCTCCCGCTCCGCTCGGAGCTCAGTCGCGTTCTCACGGGGCCTCGGGAGGAACTAGACTACGACCAGGTCATTCGATACACGAACGAGATCAATCAAGAGATTGATTCCCTGCCGTCGTGGGAGAACAACGAGGGTGGAAACCCGGAAGTGCACAAGAAGCCGCTGCTTGCGTACACGCTTCTGCATATCCAGCTCCGGCAGTACATCATCCCTTTACACCAGCCGTTCCTGCGCCTTCGAAAGACGAATTCCAAGTATCAGTATTCCGAGATCATCTACTACAATGCTGCCCGAGACATGGTGCTCTTGAACGACAAGCTCGTCCAGCAAGGCGTCCGGACGCTCAACTTCCTCCGCGAGGACAGCCTGACTCTTGCCATAAATCTCTGCAGCGTAACCATGCTTCAGCCGCGGGGGTCCACGAACATGATCATGATCAACTCGCAGCACACGCTCCAGCTGCTCGGGAAATGCCTGGCCATGAAGGAGGACCGCATCCTGAGATGCGGCAACAACGAGCCGTGGGGCTACTCCATCATGTGTGCGGCCGTCGGCCTGCTCGAGGCCCACCTCGACACCAAGACAGCCGAGGCCGCCAAGGCCGGCGCCGCGGAGCGCTTCATCAACCTCCACCTCAAGCTGCTCGCGGGGCAAGATCCGCCGCAGTCGAGCCAGCAGGCCGAGCTTCCCGGCCCCGCGAACACGGCCCCAATGCCGGCCGCCTGTGCCATTATTCCTCCCCCAGTACCGTCAGATATATTCGTGCGATCAAAGGTGAGTTGTTCAGAGAGAAGCGCATCCATGTGTCACACCCGGGAAACTAACTTTTCGTGCTCAGTCTGTGACGCCATTCTTGTCTGCCTCACAGGGCTCAGCCGGGCAAGCACCCTCCGGTCCGGTGGAAATCCCCGGGACCCCATGGTGGCTGCCCAACACTGGCGACCCGACCATCGCACCTGTAAGTTCTATTCTACTCATACGCCGCTGGCTCCTTCCCATGCATTGTAGAATACCTTCTAATGTGGCAACCGCAGATGCAACCGGTCAATCCCGATTTCAGCTACGAGTCGCTGGGGCTGAACCTGAATGAGCTCTGGGGTGATCAGTGGGATTGGGATTATCAATGAGTGGGATGGATGGGTGCTACTGGTTCGGAGGTAAAAATGGGACGGCGTGACTGGCGTTGCTTTGTGAGAAAACGATCACCACTCAAAGAGTATGGGTAGGCTGGGGCTCGATACCCTTTGTGCAGGAATGGTTCATTGGTTACCTTAGGTATTGATCCCTTCTCACCCGATAATTCAAGTAATATCAATTAGGACTGGTCCTATCCTTCTGTGCCGCAGACCCCCCCCACCAAAAAAAAAAAAAACCAACAGGCATAGGTACCCTTTCTGGCCCACCGGAACCTGTTTGTGTTGGGAGCTTTGGAAGGAGCCAGGGCCTAATCTCACAGTCGGGGACGGTTCCTTCCAAACACTCCGCAGCCTGCTCATGATGTGGGAGGGGAAGGCACCGTATAAGCCGCGGCTTTCCGTCTTCTTAGACGGGCAGGTACTGCTTGCACAAACGAAGTGCCAGGCTACCAGAACGGAATGCCTATTCGGGTCGCTCCGATCGCAGGTCCCTTGGATATCGTCACCATCAATTACTTTTACACCCTGGATTGCCGCTTCCCGGTAAGCCCGCGTCCGAAATGACTCCGCGCGTCACAGCCTTGCAAGCACGGCCTGGGTCCTTCCGATATCGGCGATGGCCCCGGGCTTCGACGTGTGACAGTCAAACTGATGGGCGCCGCGTGAGCGGGTTGATGATGCCATTTAATCACCACAGTCATGAACCTGCTTTGGGCGAGAGACCTGCGTTTGTGACACACTCCAGGTATGAGGCTACGAGCAGAAGACGTCCCCGGCAGTGACTAGCCGGCCGCGGCACCTGCTTTACGGTAGGTATGTGTAAGTCAAGTTGCACCCGCCTGCCGGACCCCGATTTGACTTCCCATTCCTGACCAGCCGCTCAGCATTCTAGAAAATATACGTCTTACAGCCTCAATCCGGGAATTTACATAGTAGCAAGTTCCAGGGCCTGTTTGTCGTTGGTCTGACTATATTTCCAAGATATTTGCAACCAGCCAGTGACCAACGCTTCACCAGGGGTCAGCTGAGCATGAAAACCGAACTTCTGCACCATGCTTTCCCATTTCCCCGTCAACAGGGCTGCGTAACGATGGCGAGACTCGGTTGAGCTAAATTGTGTACGATACGCCATGTATCTGGCCGTTTGAGAGCAATGAGCATAGCTGATTTGGTTCCGTCACAGCCCAGCAACCGCTTCAGGAGCGGGTGTTTGCATGCTCAGGCCATCGCTTGCCCACTAGCCCCCCCCGGCGTGGTCTCACGAACGCATGGGAACCACGGTAACGGGGCCTTGGGGAGCAACCAGGGGACACCAGCGTTGCTACACATTGTTTGCATGGGCCAGCCTGCGTCACATGCCCAAGTCGACTCCTGGCGCCCTAGACTCTTGACTTCACTCCTCCCAAAGGCCGGCGTTGGCTCTGACGGTGACTACTCTGACACCTAGGCATCGTCAACGCCCTTGCGTGTGCATGGGGATTTACCTTCCTTCCAGTGACACAGCTTTGTAAAATGGCCTCTGGACGATATTGACATGAGGTTTGGCCCATCCCTGGCAATCCTGTTAAAGGCCCCGATTCCTTTCCCGACCTCAATAGATTGGTCCCTATTAATCTTCACGGACGCCCGCAACGCCCTGCTGAGAGACCTTGGGATGCTTCCCAATATGGAAACCAAAACTATCGTATTTTTTGTCTTCTTTTCCATGTCTAACTTTTGTCTAGCTGACCCTTTCGCAGATGCAGCCGCAAGACTGCCAACTTGTGGAGTAAGTCAACGTCAGACTCTGGCTGTAAGACCTGCCCAGCTAATGTGTTGGACTTATCTCTAGCTGAGCTGCATCTTAAGCTCAGTTCCCAATTCTGTGTGCCACACAGTCGCCAATACCACCTGCATTTGCACTGATGACGGTCTCCGTGATGCTGTTTCTCAATGTGTCCAGGTCAGCTGCACTGTATTGGAAGCCATAGGTTCGTCACTCCGCCCTGGACGAACGATCCCTTGCTAATTTGCTCTTAGACACTGCGCGCATCGAAGCAGAAGCGTGCCAGAGACCCAGGAGATCCAGGAAACAAGACCTTCTGGCAGTTATATCGATCGAGACGTTCGCGTTTCTCTGTGTCCTACTCCGACTCTTCTCACGATGGTACACCATGGCTCATTTTGAGCTAGACGACTACATAATGATAGCAGTCACGATGATATACGTGCCGTTCGAAGTTATAGGGCAAATAGGTACACCCCTCTCACTGCCTACCTAGGTGTTGCTATAATCTCCATGCTGACAGTGGATAGCCGGTGCCATGGCATTCGGCGTCGACATCTGGACTGTGGACAAAACCTCCTTAACAAATGCATTCAAGGTATGCCAACTGCCAACCTTCGGGATGTCGCTATTTGTTCCTCTCTTACGTTCCGTAGTTGTTCTACATCGCTGAAAGCCTCTATCTCGCCATTATCAGCCTCACGAAGCTCTCCATATTGTGTTTTTACCTGCGCATCTTCCCAAACCGAACATTCCGACGTCTGGTCTTTGCCGTGACGACATGGGTTACAGTGTCGGCTCTGGTCTTTATACTTATGCAGATCTTCCAGTGTACGCCGATTGACTTTGTCTGGAAGGGGTGGGACGGTACATACGGTCCACACAAATGCCTTAACGTGAACGTCCTAGTCTTCACGGCAGCAGGGTTTAGCATCGCCCAGGACATCGTCATTATCTTCATGCCCATACCCTTGCTCGCCCAACTCCAGGCCTCGTGGCGGGTCAAGCTTGGGGTAATCCTCATGTTCTCCCTGGGCATCTTTGTTCTCATCACGAGCTGCATCCGCCTCCGAACCATTGTCCTCTTCGCCCGCTCGACCAACCCCACCTGGGACTACATGGACACGCTCATCTGGACGGGCCTGGAGTGCGCCGTCTCCATCATCGTCACCAGCCTGCCCGCAATCCGCGCCCTCGCCGGCCGTATGTCGCCTGGGCTGTTCAGCAGGGCCGCCGCCGGGATGGCCGGTCGGCCTTTGCCGCCGACAAGCTGCACGGAGGAGCTAGCGGCCGGTCATTGATCGGCCGCTTCATTTCCATGGTGACGATGAGGACCGCCTCTCGGGTCGATACGGAGAGCCAGCTCGAGCTTGGGGACAAGATCATGTGCGACGTGTGCACCGAGATAGGTGCGGGCGGGAGGGAGGTTCGTCGTGGACCCAATTCGACCAGGAGTCCGTTGGGTACTGATGGTGATGGGCCTGGCGAGGACATGTTGATGTCGTCGCCCAGGCCCGGAATACGGGTCCTGACGACCACCACGACGACTGTACGGAGGCATTGATCTCGGCTCCTGGCCGTATCTTGCCGGTTTTAACTACCATGTGGCTTGGACCTGACAAGGTTTGGGGGACCATGGTGCCTCTATGGTTGGTTGTCTACTGTTACGCAGGTGATGATATGGGTTGCAGCTGGCGAGGAGGACAAGCGAAGTTGAGCCATGATTAGTTCCTCTCGATGCACAAAATTTGGGGCCATGACGTCATCCCACATCCCATAACCCCCAATCTAATGTTTCGTCCGTGCTTGTCCTGGGCGCGCCAGACGCCCAAGCATCTTCCCCCGGATTTCTTTGAGCCGCAACTCAACGTCCACTCTTCTCGTCCCATCCCAAACCGCCACAGGCACCAAACACTACCGGCGCAACAGGCCCACCATTTCTCCGGAGGGTGTGCACCATCCATACCCAACCAACGAACCGCCCATCCAGGACCCAAAAAAAAGCCAAACCAGCAGCAGAAGCCCGTCAATGGCATCACCCCAGTCCCCCGACCCCGCCCCGGCAGTCCGCCCCGCCCCGCCGGTGACGGTCCGGAAATACCACCCACCCCTCGGTCTGGACTGGGTCGTGATAGCCGGCATGACAGCCTACATCGCCAGCTTCGCGCTCGTCCACCTCTGCGGTCTCGGCAGCAGCCCCTCCCCCCCACCACCCGGGTCCCCATCGTCATTCGCCGCCGCCCTTCTGGAGGCGACCGGCTTCCCCGGCGGCGCGCCCGGGTTCCGGCGCCTCGTTGACGCCATTGCGGCGCCCGTCCTGGCCATCCACGTCGCCGAGGCGTGGTGGATGGACCGCTCGCGCCTGGCGGCGCACGGCGTGGCCCGGGGCACGGCCGTCTGGTGGGCGTGGGTAGGCGGGTGCCTGGTCGAGGGGGTCACGGCGTTCCGGAGGTTCGACCGCGTCGTCGCTGCGCTTGAGGAGGAGAGGGGGAGGGGGAGGGGGAAGGGAGGGGAGCGGCGGGGGAGTTGAGGCGCCGGGGGGGGGGGGGGGGGGGGGGGGGGGTGGGGGGGGCGGGGGGGGGGGGGGGGGGGGGGGGGGGGGGGGGGGGGGGGGGGGGGTA